GACTTTTCAAAAATACCCCAATATGGGTATCAATCTTCACCAAATCATATCCTAACCTCACTCATGTTTATATCATTAGATTAGCTCTGTAACTATAATTTTCTAACTTGGAGCTATTCTACTAACTGTTATTACGTCAGCAGTCAAATTTAACAGATACAAATTCATCTGTGCATAATACCTCAATATGGGTATCAAAATTCTTATAATTTTATGCTCATTCCATTTATGACTATAAGGTCCTCATTATAACCCTCTAGTTTAAAAGTCATATAATTAGGGTTATTATAGAAAGCTTGTAACGGAACATCAAGTTATTTTCCTATCACGGTAGGTGTACACCAAGGGTCGGCTCTAAGTCCTTATCTCTTTGCCTTAGTTATGGATGAACTAACAAAAGATATTTAAGAGGAAGTGCCATGGTGTATGCTTTTTGTAGATAATATTGTGCTTATTGATGAGAAAAAAGATGGTGTTAATAGAAAACTTGAATTGTGGAGAAGCACGTTGGAATCTAAAGGATTCACATTAAGTCGGAGCAAGACTGAGTATCTGAAGTGTGAGTTTTCTCTGGTAAGAGATGTAGACGAAGATCCCGTGCATCTAAGTGGTCAAGAGGTACGCAAGAAAGATGTTTTTAGATACCTGGGATCCATTTTACAAAAAGGTGGAGAGATTGATGAGGATGTAAATCATAGAATCAAAGCAGGGTGGATGAAATGACGTAGTGCATCTGGGTTTTTGTGTGACCGCAAAATTTCCCTTAAGTTAAAAGGAAAATTCTATAGAACAGCAGTAAGACCTGCAATGCTATATGGAGCTGAATGTTGGCCAGAACATAGGCAACATGAGCATAAAGTGGGAGTAGCAGAGATGAAGATGTTAAGGTGGATGTGTGGTTATACGAGGATGGATAAGATAAGAAATGAAGATATTCGACGAAAGGTAGGAGTACTGCCGGTGGCTGAAAAGATGAGAGAACATAGATTGAGGTGGTTTGGGCATGTAATGAAAAGGCCCCTGGATGCTCCCGTAAGAACAAAAGTTTGTTACCAAGAGCTCAACACAAAAAATGTAGAGGTAGACCGAAACTTACTTGGGGGAAGGTAGTAAAACAAGATTTAATGGAGTGGGATATAGTTTGACGGACGGTATGCCTTAGAACGGAATGGAGAAAAGCTATAAGCATGGTGGAGGGTTAAACCCGTTGTTATTTCTATGTTCCAGATGGTCCCTTTTTAATCATTTTTCTCTTCATTTCCCCCTTTTCTTCTTTTCCCTTTCTTTTATATATATATATATATATATATATATATATATATATATATATATATATATATATATTTACTATTTTATTTATTTTTATTTTTATTTTTATTTTTCAACCTTTTTGTATCTTTTATTTGGGTTCATCTACCATCGACCCCAATTAATTTGGGATAAATGTGTTGTTGATGTTGATGTTGATGAACTCTAGGTGTCATATTTAATGAAGCAAAACTAATTACATGAAGATTATAAATTAAAACTAGATCCACATCTAAATACACAATCTGACTCTGATACCAATTGTATAAAAAGAAAATATATATTCTGATACCAATTGTACTTGAACATCCATTTTATTCGTTACATGTTTCAATAAATTGAAAATATATACTCGAATATGTTATTTAAGACAGTGGTGGACCGAGAAGATTTGATTTATGTCTGCACATTTAGTGGCGGACGTTTGAGGCAGTGTCCCCGAAAAATATTTTTTAAAGATAATTTTAAATATATTAAAAATAAAAGAATATAAATAAGAAAAAAAGAAAATTTTAATTTAACATAAAAAAATAGTAGTCAATAGTGAACTAAACTATTACAATAAAACAATTACACTCGTTCCTTGAAAATAAATAATGTATGTTTAGTAATGATTTTTTTTAATACAGATTAAACTAATCTAAATATACACCCAATTAAATCATCACCAAACATCCACTAAAATAGTATTATTTTATTATTTATTTTTATTTTTATTTTTCTTCCCTCTCTTTGCTGTCTCAGTCTTAGTGTCTTATATTGGCCATGGCTACTTGAATACGAATCTTGCAGCTTCTAAAGACAAAGAGGTTTTTGATTAAGATTTGCTTCTTGGGATTTGCTCAACTAAACCAAAAATTTGTGACTTTAAGATGTTTTTGTTGTTTCAGTGAGTGACTAAGTTTTTCGCCTTGTAATGGGGAAGGTGGCGGTGGGAGCGGCGCTGCGACGGCTCTGGTGGTGCACCACCGCATGAGGAGTTTAGAGAAGTGCGGTCGTGCGGTGGCATGGAGAAGGAGTTTGAAGAACAGTGTGGTGCCCCGATTGGGAAGCTTATGCAAGTTTCTGATGCCATGGAGGTTGAGATGCATGACCGGGTGATAAGTTTCTCAGTCCTTATTCTCCTCTGCAACCCAACAGTCAGTAAGGTGGTTGAGGCTAAAGCTACGCTATCCCGAAATCCTTTAGCAATTTGAACTAACATGTACGGTGCACGTGCAATTGTAAAATTTTTTTTTCCCACAAATTTATGTCTGCACTTGCGTACAAAGGCGCAAGTGTAGATCTGCCGATGATTTAAGACAAGAATGTAACGGGGGGAAACATATGGACCCGTTTGTTTAGGACAACACAAACAACAATGGGGAGAACTAATTTTTTTCTTTTTCCAACAAGCATTGAAAAATCGATATGAGATTGCTTGGGATGAAAATAAATAGGAAATTAATAACAATATTAACAAGTGGATTTACACTTACTTTTATTTCCCTAATAGCTAGTATTCTCTATGTATACACGGCCAATAGTGGGGTGGTGGTGGTGGTTAAGTAGAGGTGACAAAGTGGGCAGCCCGTCCCGCTTCGTTTTTGAAAGTGGGCTAAAAAACTCGATCTATCCCACCGGCTCGAATCTGTTTTATACTGACCCGCTTCAGCCCATTCCTCCCTATCATCAACCTGTCAAAAAATGAGTTCGTCCCGCCTCGTCCCATTTAAGGCATGGGTGGGGCGGGTCGGCCAGCCGAACCGAACCCGTTTTGCTAGCTCTAGGGGTAAGGATAATTTTATATTAAAATTATTAAATATATTTAATTGTCAGAATGTCATAATACAAAGGAGTTAATTACTCTAATAAAAAAAAGTAGAAGGCAGTCTTTCGAAAAAATGTCAAAGTACAAGGTGGTTTTATATAATTTACTTTTTTTTTATGGATAAATTAACAATAATAAAAAAGAAAAGACATTCAAATGGAAAATAATAATAAAAGTAACGGTTAATTTATCTATAAATAATTAAAACCATCGCATAATATGATGATAATAAAAAATACATGAAAAATCTATTTTCAAACTGAATATATGAGATTTAAAAATACTTACCAATATTCTTAGTTTACATGCATTTTTATCCAATTTAACTTGGAAATAGAATATCATGGCTACATATTTTTTTAAGCCTACTCTACAAATATCGTAAGATCACAATCTTATATCTCAGTTGACCTTTACATTTTTTCTATTCTTTTAAAATTGTGATCTAACAGTATTGAAAAGAATAAATAAAATAGGCCTAAGACAATGTAAACATAATATTATATCTTTAAACTTCATATACTAAATTAATTTTTTTTTTCTTCATTTGCTTCGAGTCTTATGAGAGTTTAGCCAAACCTGTGATCACTCCTATAATCCGTGGCGGACTCAGGAAATTATATGAAGGGGGACGAAAATTTAAATTACTATTATAAAAAGACAATGCCAATTTTGGTTGGATAATCACACAAAGAATATAAAAATACCTGTTAAGAAGAACCTAATAAAATTATATAATTTTTTGCCAATTTTTTAGTTGGAATGTCAATTTTTTGCTTCCGGTGACAATGGTCTAATACACCCTCTATTTCAATGAGGAACTAGCCTTAAAACCCTATATTTTTTTTGTAAGATCAATTTTTTATTATTTACCTCCATGCCTTCTGGTGTTATAATTGCACTTTCTTTGATTTCTTTAGAATCTTATTTTCTCATTTATTTATTTTTTTAGCACAAGACACAGTAAATTAATTAATGTGTTATTTATCTTTAGCATTTGGTCCCAACTAATAATTGATAACTATTATTGACCTTTTTTCTTTCCCAACCAAATCAAAACTTAAATATTCTTCTCCTGAGTTCTGACATGACAATCTGTACAAATTTTTAATGATTATAAAAAGAAAATTAGATAATCAATCAATATAAAATCAAATTCTAGACAAATTTGATAGGTAAAGTGAATATGCATTACTAACTGAACTCTTCTTTGTATACAACGGAAAAGTCAGCTTTCCACATTGATTGGGGAGGGTAGCAGACCAAGAACAGAATCTGCCATATATACTGACAAGTTGAATCTGGTAAATAATAATTATCTCTAATTGGGTGCAATGAATGGGTGGAATATTTTTTTTATAAATAGCATTGCTTGTCTTTCACTTGTTAAAAGAACTTTTAAAATTTTGTTTTTACATACTATGTTGCATATCATATAGTAGAACCTATTTTCATATTTTAGAGGGAGGCGGGAGCCCTCCCTCGCCCCCCATGTAGGTCCACCCCTGCTTATAATATGGATCGATCATTGATGAATTATTCGAACTCTTTTTTATGTAACTAATAATTTTTTTTATACAGGGTAAGAATACACCCATAACCTAATATAAATCATGAGAAAATATTTTCTCATGTCATAGGAGAAATATTTTTTTCTATAGTGATCCTTCAATTTTTGTGTAATAATTTTTTTTTTGATTTTATGTTTTTTTAATAGATGTAACCCCACACAAGATGCATCTATAGCATGAAATTTTTTTTCTCCTATCAAAATATTGAAACCCATAAATCATATTAGCTTTATGCAAGTAATATTTTTAAAAATTTATTGTTTTACTCGGTTGTTTGAGTAAAAAGGTCACCAAAAAGAGTAACACAATGTTCTCTGTTGTGCGGAAGAGCATAGACCACAAAATTTCACTGTTCTTCCTTTGTTTCTTCTGATTCCAAAACCATGCACGAGAATTCTCCTGGTTCTCGATTCAACTTCAAAATGGGGTTTTCTTTCTCTTTCAAGTGCACAAACAACATTGAAATTTTCTACCATTTGAGAAAGGTCGTGAGTGAAACACAAAATCATGGCGGCACCTGTAATCCTTAGCATCATGTTCTTGTGTTTTTTTTTTCTTTCTAAAGTTCAAATGTTGCATTACAACAGAAGGTATGTACCTTAATTGACATATTATGCGATGAATACTTTTTCTTTTATTTCATGTGGTATTTAATTTGCTGCATACATTATGTTTGTGGAAAGTCCTGAACGAGTCAAGCTTGTTTATTACTAACATCCATTGTGTTATTAAAAATCTTGCTTCTTAAAGTTGTAATCTTTTTTTCATGGGATTCAGTTATATATTGTTAAGTTGCACTTGAAAATCATGTCAGAAATTTAGAGTAACAAAGTAGGAATAGTTAGACAATGTTGGGTGTTTTCATTAAGAGTACTCTGTTTGTGCATCAATTTCTTAGTGCAGTCTAACTGTAGTTGTTTCTCCCCTTTTGTGATTTGGTGGTGTTTGAATACATGAAGTAATGTCTTATAATCAAGGAATGTCTCGAAATTGTTTTTATTCTTACCCTAACCCCTAAAAAATAAGAGGAAAAGATTTCCGAATTGTATCTTCAGATAATCAAGCGAGCATTTACAACTCAGTTAGTTAGTTTTTTTTTTTTTTCCCCTTTTTAAATTTGTAAGTTACCCTCATCTCACTGCCGTTTCATTGATCTATAGGTTAGAAACCTTGAGTGTTTCTTTAGAAAATTCCATTTATTTATACAATTTAATGCTTGAGACGCAATCCCATTTGTGTTGACTAGAATTAATTATGATTTGCTAGTGAACTTAAAGTGATTTGCTTCAAGGTCTCTTCTGGTATTGTGTTTACTTAATGGCTTAAAAATTTGAGCAGTTTGTTTGAGAGAAAACTTCCATTAATGTTTATAATCACAAATCTAATCTATATTTGCCACCAATTTTCATTGTAAGCTAACTTTTATTCAAAGATTTTATAAAAAAAAAGTAGTTATTATCATTCTCTAAAAGATGTTTTAAAATTAATGCTCTGTTTGTCTTTAAACAAACAGTTGAAAGAAAGACTAAATTTCATTATTGGATTTTAGTTGATTACATATTATGTATCTAACTTCCCATGATAAATTTCCATGCAGAAATAAAATTTCACAATTGCTTAATGGAAATTTGATGTCTTTTTCTAATTGCCTAGCAAGAAACATGCAATTGCTGGTTGGGGCATTGCAAGTCTTATGACAGGCATGTGTGCACCAGTAATATTCATGTTTTTGGGTTGGATTGCAAAAGTAATTAAAACCAATAATCAGTTATGGGGTTTGGCAAAACTGACTTTTACTCAACATGAGGGTGTAAATTATTCTTTCAAATTAAAAATTTAATTTTTATATGTTGTTAAGTCAAATTTCTAATTGAGCCAAACATGACCTAGTGATATATGTATAATTTTTTTTTTCTTAACTTTCATAAACTATTATAACTTGGTGGGCATTGGTGGAGGGAGGGGGCTAGGGGTGGCCATGGCTCCACTGGAATTTCAGAAAAAAACTATTTATATGCAGGGGTGGAGGTAAAGGGAATGTGCCAAGAATGGGAGGATATACCATCTGTAGGGATCCCGATGATTATTTACATCTGGGGTAGGTTATCTCAATTATGCGAGTACAAGTTGTCAAACAAATACAAGTTATGGCATAAATGATTGCCAGGCTATTTGCGGGAGCAGCTTAGCTGTGTTGGATTCAAAGAATATCATAGTGATGGAACTGGCTGTATTTTCTTTCCATATAATTTTAATTTTCATGTGCTAGTAAAGAGCACCCAATGATTTCACAACTTCCAACTGCACTTTTTAATTTATTTTTTAACTTCTTTTATAGTACACAAATGGATTATTAATGTGTTACTTTAATCGTGTATAGTATATGACAAACAGGGAATCACATTTAAATATTTGTCATGTATAGGATAACTATTTATCTCTCCTTTTTTCTATAGACTTATCTCCATATAGAAAGCCATGATCTGTTACTGCATTTTGCACTGTGTTGAAAAATTAAACTGTAAAAGTGATTGTTAATGTAACTAACTCATATTCATTCCTCATTTGAATACTTTATGCAGCTACAAAGAAATAGATATGGATAAATGCAATAGCAACTAAAGTACTCATGTTCTTCTCTTTCATTCTGCTTGGCCTCGAAGAAAAGAAAATATGTGCTTGAAGGTTAGCTAAATACGTCAAAAACATTGCACTAGATACTTAACTGAAAATTATTCATAATCTTTAACATTACGTTTCCATCTAAACAGAGAAGAAAAGAAAAGAATGGAGACTGAAATGCTAGATTTAGCAGCTTCGGATGGATTCTCTGGCATCAAAGATCTTGACGATGATTTAAAGAAGTAACGTGTTTTAAAAGTATTTAACTATACAAAAGTTGTGGTGGCAATGAAAAGTTGGAGGCTTTGATTCTGTTTATACGGTGACTTGAAACTATCTACTTGGATGGCGTTTTTTTTAGCAGTGATGATTTTTCTTATTGTCACTTCAGAGAATCCTTCTAAAATCAATGTATAATTTGGCTCCCCTTGGTCAAAATTTCTGGCTCTGCCATTGTTGGTGGGTATATGCAACGCAAGCAAATTGCAGATGATAGTGTAATTTTTGATGAGACCAAGGTTGGTGTTAACACTAAATTGGAATTATGGAGAAGCATATTGGAGTCTTAAGTTGGAATAAAACTGAATACATGGAGTGTGAGTTCACCACGACAAGAGGAGGAGATCATGAATTTGTGAATATGCTAGGACAAAAGGTATCCAAGAAAGGTGCATTCAAATATCTGAAATTAATCTTGCAAAAGGGGGGAGAGATTGATGAGGACGTAAGCTATAAAATCAAAGGTGGTTGGATGAAACGACACAGTGCATCAGGATTTTTGTATGACTGTAAAATCCTTTTTAGGCTAAAAGGAAAGTCTCATAAAACAATATGAAGACCTGTTAAAATGTTATATGGAGTTTAATGTTGGCTAGTACATAAATGACATGAGCATAATATAGGAGTAGCGGAAATGAAAATCTTATGGCTGATATTTGGTCTTATGTGGATGGATAACATAAGAAATGAAGATATTAGACGAAAAGTTGGAATAGTATTGGTTGAAGAAAAATTAGAGAACATAGATTGAGATGGTTGGGATGTTATTCGAAAAACATTAGATGCTCTCTTAATAAAAGAAGTTTCGTACAGAGGGCATGAAATGAAGAAATGAAGAGGTCGACCAAAACTTACTACGGAAAATTAGTAAAACAAGGCTTAATGAAGTGGAAATACATAGAAGTGTAGTTTATATATTATTCTTTCCTATTTAATATTTATTGTCCCTTACTTTGTTCTTGTTTTTAGATTAGTTCATCAATTGCCAACCCTAACTAGTGTGGGATAAATGTGATGTTGATGTCAATTCAGTGTAATCAAAGTCACTGAGGCAATGCACCTGAAGGGATCAATGCCTCTTGCTGAATGAAGTTCACCCCTTCATTGAAATGCACACCTCTAACATTTTTGGCACACCTTTCTGGTTTATGTGAGGCATGCCTTTAACTCTTTATTGAGTAACTGTTAAAAAATTCAAAAATCACAATTACAAATAGTTGTCATCCTAGTGATGCTAAAGAGGGTAATTAAAACATAGTTGTCATACAAGTGTTGGACTTGGACAGTGTCATGTGGGATACTCCTCAAACACCCATTGGATGCTTGTAGTCTATGTACTACAGTTCTTAATGTTAATTTTGAATTATTGTTAGAGATAATTTTACTAATTTTGTACGATTTATGCTAGGAATGAGTAATGACCACATTGTAATGCTTATAATTTAAACACAGTTGACCATGTTAGGATTTGTATTTATATATTAAATATATATCTTTAACAAAGTTATCAAATGCGGATTGCGGTATGTCGCGGCCAACCCCAAAAAATGCTATAGCGGGTTGCAATTGCAGAAATAGCGGAATAGATATAGGACAGAAATAATGACAAAAAGAAACATTTTTTAAAGGCAGAGATAGCAGAAGTGACCTAGAGAGATGCAGATAGACTAAAAAACCCTTAAAAATTTTCTGTTACACATTTAAATTTAGGACAACATTAACATTTTGCCTTATGACAGTAATATGGCCGCGATTTGCGATCGCAATGGCCGCTGTTGCGTTCCGATGCGGCGCGGAGCGGTTTCTTGCGGTGAGGCACCGCAACGCTCATACGGCGCGGCTCGCGGCGCAATTAACTACTATGATTTTTAAGATTTGTGCTTTTTTGTTAATCATATATTAATTTTATATGTTTTACTTTAACCGTGTCGTGTCATTTCTTTTTATAGAATTTTCTATGTCCTTGTGCCGATGTTATGTCATATCCATGCTTCCTACTTAGTCAGTCTATTAAAAAATAATTAGTTGTCAGTATTTTAGATCCTTAGCAGAAAGCATCTTACTGTTTTGTAAATTGAACATTCAAATATTCCGTTTTTACTATGAATGTTATGCTTGATTAGTTAATTTGTATGCCCAATTTATGCAAAATAGTCAAATAATTTACTATTGTTTTTTTTTTAAAGGTAATACCTTTCTTTATTGCGATATATGTTTTTTGGCGCTTCAGCTATAGTCCCCTTCTTCGGTATATCCAAATTTTAAAATTTATCAATATTCTGACTTATAGTGACAAATGGTGAGTAAAATGCATTTTTGTGATATTGTCAAATGGTTAGTCATCATTCACATTTATGATATTGTCAAATGCGTTTTTGTTTCCAAATTTTGAAATTTTCAATATTTGGAACCAATGGGAAACAAGCTTTAATGTGTTTTTCTTGTATTTTATTAGTGTGTCGAATATGCCTTCTTCCTTATAAGAGGGTTTTAAGCTCAATCATAGAGGCACAAAGAGAGGCGAGAGAGAATGTCGGCGCAAAGGAAATCGGGAATGGCGAAAGGGAATGATGACGGCGATGCAAACCAACATTGTCCAAAGGGCCTGCCTCCATCATCATCATCCGGTATGGATCTATATGCCTATCTACCGATTGTTTAATTTAGTTCATTTTGATGTTGTATTCGTCGTCTTGTCATATTGCCAGCTGCATATATGTTTTTAATTGAAGACTGTTTTTCGCTGTTCGATAAAAAAATAATGGCTCAGTGCACGAGACTAAGGGAACCATGACTGATACCGTTGCGTCAATGTTTGTCCTCTGTTTTTCCCCTTTTGATATCTCAGTTAAATTTTGTAAGTTTCAAATGTTTCATGTTTTGTTGGTATGAGGGAATTCACTTGTAAATTTGAGATGGTATAAGCTTTCAAGGTTCATGTTCTGCCTCTGTTGGTTTATTCTTTTAGATAAAGAAACAAGTGTATGAGAATTTGGGCTTGATTTTACAATCGAACGAATTAATTAGAATTCGAGTAAACCTCCGAATTCATCCTCCAAATATATAAGCGTCATCATTTTAGTCCTCAAAATTTTTGTCATCAATTTAGTCTCTTAATAATACAAAGTGCCTGTTAATTGGTCCTTCTTTGTCGGATTGAGAGACTGAGTGTATTGGAGTCCTAATTTAGAGACTAATTTGATGGTATTTTGCATGATTCCAGAACTAAATTGAATTAAAAGATCTCTACAGGATCAAGGTGATGATGACACTTTGCGTTATTGAAGAATTAAATTGATGACAAAAGTATTTAAAGTATTAAACTGATGATGATTGTATCTTTGGATGATGAAAATCGGGATTTATTCTTGAAATTTAATAAGTTTTCAGCATCTTCCTTTTTATACCCATGGGACACTACTGCCGACTAATATTGGCCATGGAAGCTTCATGTTGCTTAAACAGTCTTTTCTAGTATTTCTATCTGTTCTCGTCTTAAAAGATTTTTTCTCTACATAGTTTACAAGTTTGATGCTTGTCCATACCATCATGTATAGGGTAGAGGTGGAGCCAAGAACTTCAAATTGGGGTTGCTAAACATTAAATTGCATGAAAGACTTTCAAAGAAAAAAAATATATATTCTAAAATGAAGGTGTTGAGGCTTGGTAATGGCATTACCCAACCTGCTAGTCCCTTTGCATATGTCCTTGATTGACTTATTTTGTAACTATGGTGTCCTCACAATATCTCTTGTTTAGTGAGTCTTAAAAGGGGTAGATGCTAATCCTTCCTGTACTTTTATGATTGTGTAATAGGGGTTGATGTCTGTCCCAAACCCTTGCCATCATCTTGATTTATGCTGGTTATAACAGCCAACATAAATGTAGAACTCTCTTTTAGTCTGACTAAGGCTATTGACAGCAGGCATAAAAATTATGATGTTTCCACCAAATTTGGCCCCAAAAGGAAAACTATAGTTATCTTCACAATCAGCAAATTGTTTATAATTGCAGTACATTTTTGAAGGATTATTTTATTCCTGTATGAGTATGATAGGACTGTATCCACCTTTTTCTTGAGGACAAGGTGAAGGTTTTGGAGGGATGTATTGATAGGACTACAACCATTATGTAGTTGTACACTATGGAGGGCCGTAAGGGATTGGGCCCTTCTCATGTTGATCAATCATGACTTTCTATATGCCTCTCGAATGCTCTGGAATTACATTTCCTTCTTCTGTCTGAAACATTGTACCTGTTTCATACAATAACCAGTTTCTTTTCTTCACTTTCTTCCCTAAATTCACTCGAATCATATCAGAGTACTATGCTGTTAATGTCATGATTGTTCATCTTAGAAAAGAGCATGGGGACCAAAAACTTATTTAAATAGATTGTTAAGGAATGCAATCATAACGGGTTTCTTCACATAATCATCTCTTGGATCCATTTTCTTGAAGTTCTAGAGCTTTGGAAGCTAACTCCTACAGCAAACAATTTATAGTTCTCCTATCACTCTGTTCTTTTCCATGATGCTTAATGCTTCAATTTTGGAGTTAGAATCATATGATAAGAATGCATGATGCATCCAATCTATGCCGCACATTCCAGTCCATGCACTAGAGCATGTCTGCAAGTTAATGTGGTTTGTATATACTAATTATATGCTAGAAATATGGATGAGAAATCATCATAAATCCTTGCTACTTATCAAAAGATTCAGAAATGTTGAATTGTGTTTCGATATGTTTATTCTTTCTTGTTAAACAGCTTGTCTTCTCTTAAGGAAGGCAGGTTTCTTGCATTATTTTACTCTGACCATTGAGTGAACTGGGAGGGCCAATTAATTGAGCTTGGGGTTTGGTTTTATTTATTAAATTGTCATCAACATATTTAGAGGGGGTTGATCTTATTTATTAAATGTTCCTTGGGAAAATTAATCTGAAACTGTCACATGTGAGCTCATTCTCTATTCCTAGTTTTACCATTTTGAGAACACTCGATATATTTTTTTTTTATTCTTTTTACTATTAGGGATGACCTTTTGTTGTTGGTAAGTGGCAATGTTGTGTTAAGAATATTCAACATTGGTTTGACTTGAATGTATTCTCACAGCCAACCTCACTCGGGAGCTACTAGAGGCAATTGCAAGTTTAAAGAATGAAAAATAAATGTGTCAAGGGAAAAATGTTCAATATTGTCTTTAATCTAGTGAAGAGTAATCTTGTAAATATGTTTACTGCTGCACTGCATATGTTCTTGCAACTAAAACCTTTTTCACAATTTCACCTTGCAGGTTATTCGTATACCTTTTTTTCTTTGATAGCATAAATGGTTTTGTGTGTTTGTCTTTAACCCTTCAATAATTCTACTCAATTGTTTTTTGAAGTTGCCTGTCCATTATTTCACTTTTCAGTTTCATTAGTATTATTCTAGTTTACTGGAAAATGAAAGTTATTGAACGCAATTTCCGGTTTCATTAGTATTCTAGTGTCACGCCTAACAATTTTAGTTACATCATTCTGAAATTGTATTCCTGATAGATTTCTTTTCTCCCACATGACTTTAGGAAAACCACATGGAAATGTTTTTCCCCCACTACTTGCCTTTTCTTATTTCAATTATTCCCTTCTTTTTTTTCCTTTTTCTACGGGAGTAGGGGTCAATGAAATTCCATGTCTATTGTTAATATCTTATGCTTTCAATTAGAAAGCTTATTTCCATGTGAGGATGAAAATAAATAATTATTGTTTACTATATAGGGGCATATCATGAAAAGGGAAAACAAGATATTCACATTTTCAAATTAGAATGGTACATAGTTGTATTAGATTTTGGACTTGAATATTGTTTGGGAAAACGGGGATAGAAATCTTTCTTTGTTTCCTCATTTCCTATAATATTATCTGATAAATGAAAAAAAGTATATGGGTTCCTTTTATTGACGTTAAAATTACCCATCCTTGTCAATTTTGTGATATGCAGGCAAATTAATGAAAAAGGAAACAGAGAGCAGTCAGCTTCCTTGGGATGCACTTGATATCATTTCCAACAAACTAGATTTTGATGACCTCTTTCAATTTGCTGGAGTGTGCAAGAACTGGAGGACATTTCATAAATTTTTCTGGAAAAATTTCATGTCTTCACAAGCACCGTTGCTTGTTCAATCTTCTTCATACGCTAAGAAAGCTTATTTTTTCATTAGCATATCTGAACGAAAAGTTTACCGCGCAAACGTGGATTACTTCTGGGGGTTAGCCTATTCGGGGTCTTCTTGTGGATATTTAATCCATGCGGGAGCTGATAATACACTTCTACTAATGAATCCTTTTACAAGAAGAAAGAAGTTAATCAGTACGTTGGCCCTTGAAGGTAATTTGCAATATATATCTTGCCAGCCCTTACTTGCTTTTGTCAAAGGTTCTGAAGAATTTATCTTGGTGGTTTTATGTAAAAGATCTTACAGTTTGCATATTTATCAATCTCGACATTCTTGTTGGGTTACTTATTCAACAAGAGGAAATCCATGGAAGGTTGTGGACTTTGTGGTTTTGAATAATACTCTGTATGCTCTCACTGACGAGGCCAAGATAGGGGTATTGAGCCTGAATTCTGCATGTCTGAAATTTCTAGCACTGAAGAATACTCCCAGTGTAACTTCCTCATACCTTAAGTTGGTTAGTAATGATGGGCAGCTTTTAGTGGTTCATTTTGAACCAAAGGAAACATTTGATGTGTACAAGATAGACTTGTCAGCCATGGAATGGATCAGGTTGGAAACTTTGGGTGACCTTGCATTGTTTTATGCTACGCGGACAAACTGCTATGCTTTGAGCAACCCTGGTAAGTGGGGTTATGATAGCAACTCTGTGTATTACATTGTGGCTGCATTACCAGAATGCCAAGTATATTCAGGGGATAATAAACTGAAATATTGCATTGTACCTAGTGGTCTTCGAGCTCCTTCTAGGTCAAGCTTCTACTGGTTGGATTGGTGTTTTCGACATCAACATAATGAGGTAGATTATTCCATGGTCGAGTAACCTCGTTTCTTGACACCATGCAGCTTGTGACCTTGTTCCTTGTGTTTCCCTTTTGTTTCCTAATAATTTAACTAGACTGGATAGACTTATCATGGTATCTAGTTTCCATGACTCTGCTCAGATTTTTATTTGACTTTGGATTATTGTTTACCTGGTAATTTCCCGGTTTATCTTTCTATATTCTCTGAAATTTTTAGGCTTGAAAAAGCCAATTAATTGTGTTTTATAAATTCATTCAAAGTCTTGATATTCTGTTATTTAATTGAAATATCTGTATTAAAGTCATTTGAGAATTTAATTGAAGACATGTTTACGTTTTTATGTATGTAAACCGTGGGTCTGATAAAAGACAGTGATATTGCACTTTATCACCAAATTTTTTGTTTCAATTTCTTCTATTATTTTACAAGTTCCACTTTATTTTTCTAACTATCAAAGTAAATAGTAATTTTTTTTATAAAATTTTATTTTATTTTCAGGCCAAAGATGAAAAATATTTGGCATACATATACCACCAATTACGTGAATGAATGTGTTTATTATTAATAATTGTGTTTAAATTCTATAAAAAGTAGCTTTGCTTTACTATAGACAAATTTTGTTTGTATTCGTTTTTTCGTTTATGTTGGACTGAAATTCAAAAAGCTTAATTTTCAGAAATGAATTCATATGGTAAATATTAGACGTGAGAGAAAAAAGAACTTGGCATGTATCTTCAAAATGTTATTGTTTTTAGTATATTCGTATTATTTTTTTAAAACATATATAGTTGATATAGCCTTTATTGTAATTATAAAGTAGTCGTTATGTTCTTCATTTTCTGTTTTCAAAAACATAGAAACTTATACATGTTATAATTTCATTTTTGAAAAAAAAAATACTCATTCACTGAGGTGTTGTAAAGTGAATTTTTAACGATTAAAAAAAAAGGGTCAACTCATGATTTTTTTTTTTTTTATAAACGACTCGTGATATTTATCTATATTCGGAAATGGTTGAGTGATACTCTTATACTCTTAAAATCTATTTGTTTGCTTTATTTTATATGAACATTTGCTTTTATTCATTACAAATACACACAAAACTGTGTGTAACATTAAGGGGACATTTTGTAGAGGAGAAATTTTTATTTACTCTGGAATCATGATTAATGGGAATATAGTTAGAAAACTTGTTTTCTGGTAATGTTATGAAAAAAGTGTTTGGTAGGCGAAAATATTACCGGAAATTATAATTAATTTTACTGAGATGATATTTGGTTGATAATAAAATATTGATGGAAATATGGTGTAATTTTACCAAAATGACCTCATAACTTAACTATGTATTTCCAGATTAAAAAACAAAAACAGCCTTCCGCGAAAATGAAAATATCTCCTAGTTGACAAACTCTTCCACCATTCATGTAAGCATTCGTGTTGAATATTCATAGCTTGTGATTTATGTACTAGACTTCATCCTCCTAGTAAGTTTGCTGTGCATTGACATAACCCCATTTATTGGGGTCTCTTTCGTTTGCAATGTTCTTTCATGAATAGAGAGTGATTGTGTGTTTCTTTGTCATTTTTTGTTTTTCCAGTGGAATAAACAAATCAGATCTAAACCCCCCTTCGTTTTCACTCCGAAGCGCTTCATTACTGATGAAGAAAGTGAGACCTATATGAAGACCAGCTGTAACACGAAGGTTAAATTTGTCCCAAAAAATTAGATAAGATTTCCTCGAATCGGGGATCTCACAAATACCACCCATTTGGAGGACATCTGAGGAGGTGATCTTGTCTATATTTTGTTCATAACTGAAAAACCATGAAAAACTCGATACCCGGTCATTACCTACCAAATCTCTTACCAAACGTGGTCTTTCACAAAAACTCAGTTCACTTTCCTGGTCAAATTTCTAATATTCCTCTACCAAACAGGCCTTAAGAGCCCGTTTGCATTGGCTTATAAAAAAGTTCTTTTTATGACTTCCTTATTTTAAAAGTATTTTTTATAAAAGTTATAGTTATTTAGATTTTTAAAAAAATATTTGACTTTTGACTTCTGTTTTTTTTAGAAGCTGAAATTTTTAGCTTCCGAAAAAAGTAAGTTTTTGACTTTTTTATGACTTCTGCTTTTTCTAAAAGCATGCATCCAAACAGATTTTTTTCGAGAAGTGCTTTTTTTTTTCTTAGAAAAAGTAACTTTTGCAGGGGGGAAAGCTCATCCAAGCAGGCTCTTAGTCTCTGTAATGTCCCACATCGGTTGGAGAGGGGAACGAAGCATGCCTTAAATAAGGGTGTGGATACCTTTCCTTGTAGGAGGCCTTTTGGGGTAACCAGAAACGTAAAACCGTGAGCTCGACAGTGCTTGTGCGCGGGGCAAAGCGGACAATATCCTGCTACAGGGTTTGGGGCTGTTACAGTCTCAAATCAAGTGTATTTCAAAAAAATTTATTAATATGGTTTATGAAAAATGAAGAAAATGATCTTGGCCTCTTGGGAGAAGTATCAATAATATGGATCTCACCTATGTTGCACCGATACGGGACACGATACGACACGCCGATATTTTAATTCTAAAAAATATTAAATTTTGACACTTAGGAGATATTTTGATATTAAATAATATTTTTAATATATAATATAGATAATAAATCATATAATCAATCAAATATTCAAATTCCATAACATAAGTATAAAGAAAAAATAATTTTTCATGCCTTATTAATTTTTTAGGTCACATTTGATAACTAAAAATATCTTATTTATAAATTAATTTTTCATGTTTAGTTAAAAAGATAAAATTAAAATAAAACTTGGATATAAAAAAATGTGTCAAAAAACATTGACCGCGTATGAGAAAATATTGATCGCGTGTCGGACACTGACACACATTTTTTTTTTTCAAAGAACGTGTCCATACATAGGAGGATCCCACAGTACTCGAATCAGATCAAACCGAAATATAAAAAAAAATTACTAATGAAAAATCTCAAATATAATTCGACAACCTATACTTGATTAAAAAAAAAAAAAAAAAACTCCAAAACATAAATTCTATCACAAAACGTGACCATAACCACAAACCCCTAATATGCAAAAGCAAATAAAACCTTATGTTTGCCATGTCCGAGAATTCTCCTGGTTCTCGATTCAACTCCAAAATGGGTTTTTCCTTCTCCTCTGAGTGCACATACGACACTGAACTTTTCTACCATTTGAGAAATGTTCGTGAATGAAACACATAGCCATGGCGGTATCTGTAATCCTTAGCATCACTGTGTTTTTTTTCCTCTTTAAGTTTTACATCTGTATTGCAATATAAGGTGCAATCATACTAGCACTAATGCACCGGATCCCATCACAATTCCGCAGTCAAGCATGTTTGGGTGAGAGTAGTACTAGGATGGGTGACCTCTTGGAAAGTTCTTGTGTTGCACCTCTCTTTAAATTTCGCCTATGTGTGTTTGCATGGATGGCTTGTCCTAAGCTAGGATAGAAATTGAGGGTTGAGGTCAGGTGTAACAAGTCGGACATAAAGGGTAGTTATATTTATGAGATGAACCCTTATAATTTTTCGTTGGGGCATACCCTTCATAATGACATGTTGCATCGTACCCCAAGTGTAGCAAAAAATGGGCTACGGCCTTGCCACAAGGCAAAACGTTGCATCGTAGGGTGTAGTGATAAATGAGCTAGGGTCTTTGCCCCAAGGTAAGGTGCCACATCTTCATCTGGATTTGGTGACAAGTATGTCAGGATCTCAACACGCAGATGAGAAGACATAGGGTAGGGTTCCAAGAAAAGTTTTATGGTGGGTTCTTGAGGAAAAAAAAAGTACCATCAAAGTATGTAGATGCAATCAAGGATATGTATGATAGTTTTCCTATATGTGTGAAAGCCTGTAATGGAACATCGAGTTATTTTCCTATCACGATAGGTTTACACCAAGATTATGCTAAGTCCTTATTTCTTTGCCTTAGTTATAGATGAACTAGCAAAAGATATTCAATAGGAAGTGTCATGGTGTATGCTTTGTGCATATGATATTGTGCTTATTGATGAGACTAAGGTCATTGTTAATAGAAAACTAGAATTGTGGAGAAGCACATTGGAGTCTAAAGGATTCATGTTAAGTTGGAGCAAGACTAAGTATATGAAGTGTGTGTTTCCTCTAGAGCATTTGCTTGGGCACGAGGTACTCAAGAAATATGCATTTTGATATGTGAGATCAATTTTGCAAAGAAATTGAGAGATTGATGAGGATGTAAATAATAGAATCAAAGCAGGTGGATGAAATGACATAGTACATCGGGTTTTAGTGTTACCACCCAATTTTCCTTAGGCTTAAAGAAAAATTATATAGAATAGGAATAATGTCTACAATGTTATATGAAGCTGAATATTGGTCAGTACAAAGGCAACATGAGCATAGAATGAGAGTAGAGGAAATGAAGATGTTAATGTGGATGCGTTGTTATACGAGGATGGATAAGATAAGAAATGAAGATATTTGACGAAAGATGGGAGTAATACCGGTGGCTGAAAAGATGAGAGAACATAGATTGAGATGGTTTGGACGTAATGAGAAGGTCCCTGGATGTTACTGTAAGAATAAAAGTTTGTTAGCAATAGCTTGACACAAAGAAAGGTAGAGGTAGACCGAAACTTACTTAGGGGAAGACAGTTAAGTAAGACTTAATGGAGTGAGATATAGGCTCGTGAATTGTGCTTTAGGACGGAATGGAGAAAAGCTATAAGCATGGTGGATGATTAGACCCTTTTTTTTATTCCTATATTTTATATGGTCTTTTTTTGATCTTTTTCCTTCTTCTTTTTTTGATATATGTCCTTTTCCTTTTTATCTTCCTCTCTTTTGTTTTTTTTTTTTTTCATTTTTTTTCTCTTACTTATTAATCTATGTGCTTTTCTTTTTCTCTTTTTTATTTTTTATTTCTTACTTTATTTATCTTTTTTTGTCCTCTTATACATCCTTATCTTTAATTTATTTTAATTTTTTACAGTATTTTATGGATAATTTTAATTTATCTTTTTTTTCAATCTTTTCATATATTTTATTTGGATTCATCTACTTCCGACCCTAATTAGTTTGGGATAAAATCGTCATTGATGTTGATTCTGTGAACAATTTTTCTTTTATTTCATGTGTGATTTAATTTGCCGCCTACATTATGTTTGTGGAAAGTCCAGAATGAATCATGCTTGGTAATTACTAACAACCCTTTTGTTTTACAAATCTTGCTTTTTAAAGTTATAATCTTTTTTTCATGGGATTCAGTTATATATTGTTAAGTTGCACTTCATAATTAAGGCAGAAATATTAGAGCAGCATAGAAGGAATGGCCAGACAATAACAATACTCTGATTTCGCATCAAATTCTTAATGCAGTCTGATTGCTAAGCATGTAAGCCATGTAATCAGAGTAGGTTGGATGAAACAGTGCACTACATTGGGAATTTTGTGTGATTGTGGAATCCCTCTTAGGCTAGAATGAAAATATGATATAAAGTATGTAATATTACAGGGTCCCTAACTTCTTCTTTTACTGCAGAAGACATTTTGTGCAGCAATTAATTATAATTATATATTATGGGTAGTATATAATTATAATATTGAAGTTGTTTTTCTCTCTCCGCCATGTCAGTCGACAGCCTAATGAGGAGAGAGAAAATATTTTTTAAAATTACAGCTATGTATTATCCATAATACATGATTGTAATTGATTACTGCACAAAATTTCTTCGGCAGGGAAATGAGAAGTAGATTTCCCAATGTTACATGGAGTTCAATGTTGGCTAGCACGAAAATAATACGATGAGAGTAGCCAAAATGAAGATGTTAGGGTTGATGTGTAATCATAAAATATTAAATAATATAAGAAATAAATTTTTTTGAGGAAGAGTTGTAATAGTATTGGTGGAACCGTGGAAGAAAAAAATAAAAGAACATAGATGGAGAAGGTTTGAGCATGTTGTTTGAAGACCAAACCAATAAATGCTATACTAAGGAAAGAAGTTTTAATGGAATTTATTCTTTTATGATAATGTCAAATATGTCCTCTTTATAAGAGGGTTTAGGGCTCAGTCATAGAGAGGTGGTGGGTGAAAGGAAAGTAGGGAATGGGGCAAGGGAATGATGAAGACGATGCCAACCAATGTAATGGTTCTGAGGGCCTGCCTCCAACTTCATCATCAAGTATGTTTTTATATGCCTATATACACATCTTTTAACATGTTGTTTTATTATCTTTATGATTTTTATGAAGACATTTTTAGCTATTTGATAAAAAAAATTATTGTAGCTCATTGCATGAGACTTCCACTGTTGTGGGGTCTAAGGCTTTTTCCGCAGCTGGAACCATGACCGGGTAGGTCACAAGATAGCAGCCTTATCATTGTGCCAATGCTTGTCATCTGTTTATCCATTTTCAATATCTAAGTTAAATTTTGGAAGTTTCAAATGTTTCATCTTGTTTGTTAAGGGTATGAGGGAATTTACTTGTAAATTTGAAATTTTGCAAGTTTTCAAGGTTCATATCCTTCCTCCATGTGTTTCATTATGTTTATTAAATTGGTTCATATACTTGTTGGGAGGGCCAATTAGTTGTGCTTGGGGGTTTTGTCTTATTTATTAAATTGTCATCAACATTTTTTTTAAGGGATTTGATCTTATTTATCAAATGTTCTTTGGGTAAAGTTATTCTGAAACTGTCACATGTTGATCTCATTCTCTATACCAAGTTGCACCTTTGCAAGAGCACTCGGTATTTTTTTAACTATTAGGAATGACTTTTTATTGTTGGTAAGTGGCAATGTTGTGTTAAGAAGATTCATCATTAGTTTGACTTGAATGTTTTAGTACAGCCAGCAACACTCAAGCTATGAGGGCGATTTTAACATTAAAGAATGAAAAAGAAATGTGTTAAGGGAAAAATATTCAATAGTGTCGTTGATCCAGTGAAGATTAATCTTGTAAATATATTTCCTGCTGCACTAAATTTGCTCTTGCAACTAAAACCTTTTTCACCTTGAGTACAGGAAAATCACATGGAAATGTTTATTCCCCACTACTTGTCTCTTCCTATTTTCTTTGGGAGTAGGGGTCAATGAAATTCCATGTCTATTGTTAATATCTTATGCTTTCAGTTATAATGCTATTTTCCATGTGAGGATGAATATATATATATATATATATATATATATATATATATATATATATATATCTTGTTTTCTATTTAGGAGCATCATCTTGAAAAGTGGAAAACAAAATATTCACATTTTTAAAATGAGAATGGTACATAGTTGTATTACATTTTGGACTTGAATATTGTTTAGGAAAATGGAGGAAGAAATCTTTCTTTATCTCCATTATCAGATAAATGAAAAAAAAAAGTTTACATATGCCTTTTATAGACGTTGGAATTCATTTTTGTGATACGCAGGCAAACTAATGAAAATTGAAGCAGAGAATGGTCAACTTCCTTGGGATGTGCTTGATTTCATTTCCAAGAAACTAGATTTTGATGACATCTTTCAAATTGCTGGAGTGTGCAAGAACTGGAGGACATTTCATAAATTTTACTTGAGAAATTTTAAATCGTCCCAAGCACCATTACTTGTTCTAACTTCTTCATATACTAAGAAAGCTTATTTTTTCTTTAGCATATCTGAACAAAAAGTTTATCACCCGAAGCTAGATTGCTTCAGGGGCTTATCCTATTCAGGGTCATCTAGTGGTTATTTAGTTATGGCAGGTGCTTATAAACTTCTGCTAATGAATCCTTTTACAAGAAGAAAGAAGAAGGTAATCAATACATTGGCCATTCGACATAATTTAGGTTATATGTGTTGCCAGCCCTTACTTGCTTTTGCCAAAGGTTCTGAAGAATTTATCATAGTGGTTTTGTGTAAACATTATAATAGTTTGCATATCTATCAATCTCGACATTCTTGTTGGGTTACTTATTCAACAATGGGATATCCATGGAAGGTTGTAGACTTTGTGGTTTTGAATAATACTCTGTATGCTATCACTGAGGAGGCCAAGATAGGGGTATTGAGCCTGAATTCTGCAAGTTTGAGATTTCTAGAACTGAAGAATACTCCCAATGTAACATCCTCAAGGCTTAACTTGGTTAGTAATAATGGTCAGCTTTTAGTGGTTCATTTTGTACCTAAGGTAATATTGCATGTGTACAAGATAGACTTGTCAGCCATGGAATGGATCAAGTTGGAAACTTTGGGTGACCTTGCATTGTTTTATGCTAATGGCAGAAGCTGCTATGCATTGAGCTACCCTTGTAGGTGGGGTTATGAAAGAAACTCTCTGTATTGCATTTCACCTTCATTAGAGAAATGCCAAGTATATTCACTGAATAGTAAACTGAAAAGATGCATTGTACCTAGTGGACTTCGTGCTCCTCCTAGATCAAGATTCTATTGGTTGGATTGGTGTTTTCAACATGTACATGAGGAGGTTGATTATTCTCTGGTTGAGTAACCTGTTACTTGACACCATGCAGCTAGTGACCTTGTGTTTGTACCTTGTTCTTTGTATTTCATTTTTGTGTGCTCATAATTCGACTAGACTGGAAAAAACTTGTGATGGTATCTAGTTTCAATAACTTTTCTCAGGTTGTTATTTGATTTTGGATTGCTGTTTACTTGGTAATTTCCTGGTTTATCTTCTATATACTCTGAAGTTTTTAGGCTTGAAAAGGCCAAATTTTTATGTTTTTTAACTTTGATTGAAAAGTCTTGATTCGATATTATGTTATTTAATTAAAATATCTGTATTAAAGTCATTTCAGAATTTAATTTAAGACATCGTTTACATGTTTATGTATGTAAACTGTAGGTCTGATAAAAGACATTGACATTGCACTTTATCAACTTTTTTTTACTCTTTTTTTTTTTCAATTTCCGTTGTTTTTTTTTTTAATTTCCACTTTATTTTTCTAATTATCAAAGTAAATATTAATATCTTTGTGTAAATTTTTTTTTTAGTCCAAAAAAGAAGAAAATACTTGGCATGCATATCCACCAATTAAGTGAATAAATGTGTTTATCATTAATAATCGTGTTTTAACTCTATAAAAATGAAACTTTGATTTAGTGTAGACAATTTTTTTTTTTTTTTGTATTTCTTTTTAGGCTGATTGACAATTGCCCGTTTTAAAAAGAATTACCATTTTGCTCCTCTTTGTAAATTATATATTAATTTTAACATTTTACGAAGGGGGAATCTGTGTCTCATGTTACATAAGATAATTTTGTTTCATGTAACACATAAAAAAAGTGGATATTAATGACATTTTATGTGTGTATGAGATAATTTTGTCTCATGCAAAATGAGAAATATATTTTTCTTTATCAAAATTATATTAATTTGTCCTTATTTAATCACGTTTGATTCACAATTTCTTAAGTATTTGATTTACTTGAGTAAATACTAGTGTATTATCCGTGCGTTGCACGAAAAAAAAATCAATTTGTTTCTCTCGTAAAAATTAAAGCAACACATAAAAGTATATTGCTGTTTTTTACCTTGTCATGTGGTTATTCAAAAATTACAAAGTTTGAGTCAACTTCTTTCAGTATTTCTCAGAGATGAACTTTCATTTAGAAAGATCAAATTTACAAAATAATAATACATAAATATTTTTTTGCAAAGATTTGTGTTGTTAGTATTTGGAATTTTTCAAATTCGTATTTACAAAAATTAAAATCAGAATTAGGAATTTAATTATAAAAGACGAAGAGCGAAAATTTAATTTAATTATAAAAATATGTTGGCGGGCTGGTCCTCCGGACCGAGTGCAGTTTGCAACCTCTAATTGTCTGCATTATATACCAACATGTAATACGTTTTTATATTTATCCAAACTTTAAATTCTTATAGTTGCATATAATTTTTTATATTTTATCTCAGATATGGACATTCATTTATTACAATCAGATTTATAAAATAACAATAAATAATTATTTTTTTGCAAGGATTTGTGTCCTCCGTATTTTGAATTTTACAAATTTGTATTTACAAAAATTGAAATCAGATTTAAGAATTTAATTATAAATGAAGAAGTATGAAATTTTAATTTCATAATAAAAATAAGTTGGAGGGTCGGCCCTCCGAGCCGAGCTTGGTTTGCTACCTCTAACTATCAGCATGTAATAGATTTTTATATTTATCCACAAATAAGGCTCTTATAGCTGCGTCTAGGTTTTTATATTTTATCTCAGAGATAAACTTTCATTTATTATAATTAGATTCACAAAATAATAAGAAATAATTATTTTTTGTAAGGATTTGTGTCTTTAGTATTTAAAATTTTACAAATTTATATTTACAAAAATTGAAATAAGATTTAAGAATTTAATTATAAAAGAAGAATATGAATTTTTTTTATAATTATAGTGAAATTTTAATTTAATTATAAAAACTTGTTGGCAGGCGGGGCGAGCAGGCCCTCGGGCCAACCCCAGTTTGCAACCTTTAACTATCAACATTTTATGTAAATAATAATTTTTTTGCAAGGATTTGTGTCCTTAGTATTTTGAATTTTAATAATTTATATTTACTAAAATTGAAATCAGATTTAGTAAATTTTTTTTTTTGGTAATCGATTTAGTAATTTAATTATAAATGAATAATGATGAAGTTTTAATTTAATTATAAAAATAAGTTGGTGGGCTGACCCTCCGGGCCTGACCCAGTTTGTCACCTCTAACTATCAGTATGCATGTAATATGTTTTTATAATTATCAGCACAAAATTGTTCTTATATTTGCATCTACATTATTACATATCTATATTTTTTACAATTGCCTTTAAAACGACTCTTCGTAGTCTATGTATTTGTGACATATATAAGAGATAAAGAGTTGAAAAAAAATTGAGTTCGTACGTTTAATATTCTATCAAACACTTTATAGTTGAATAAGGTAATATTAAAAGACCATTTGTTAGTTTAATTACATAATAATAAATATTATTAATAGGCTTACCAAAATATTATTAATAGGTTTAACAATTTTTGACGCAGAAAGTTGTGGTATTATTAATAGGTTTAATAATCATCTATGCAAAAAGTAGTATGATATTAATATAGCTATTTGACAAACAAAATTTCAAACTTTTTTCCCCACCTATGAAGTTTAGATTTCAAATTTAATTTTTTTTTTATAAACTATAAATATATTTTTATAATTTTAAGTAGATTTTTTGGTTAATCTATATTTTTATTATATATGTCCTTTTTCCACTGCAGAAACATTGAATGCTGAACTCTTTCCCCACCTATCAAGTTCAAAATTCTAATTTAAAAAGTTTAAATTTTAAATATTAAATATTTTCTCACCCAATATATATAATAATAAATTTTATTAATAGACTTAATAATTTTTCATACCAAAACTAGTGAAAAACATCTATGGAAAGTTGTGCACTTTTTCCATGTAATAGCTTTTAGTTGTTCATTCACGACATAGAAAATTGTGTTAATTATACTCTTGCAATAAAAAAATGAAAGTTCAATTTCTTTCTTATATAATAGATTAAAATTTTCATTTTTATAGTTATTAAATTTTTATAATTTTTTATAATTTTTTTTACAGAATGATTGATGTCATTTTATTTTTTATTTAAATTTAAAATTTAAATTCTTTTGTATTAATTTATGATTTTCATATTTTTTTTTAAATTGGTTATACATATATATTCAAAATGTTTATGTTAAATATTTTCTAAAAACAATATTTGTATGGAATTTTTTTCTCTTTTTGTACTACTTTTTTACGTTTAAATTTTAATAAATATTCTTTTAAAGTATAAATTCGTCATTTCTTATTTTTTATTTAATTTTAAAATTTAAATTATTTTTTTATCAACTATACATATATTTTATAATTTTTAATAATTTTGTTTAATCTATAATTTTATATTAAATTCAAATTTCTTATATAGATATCTTTTTACCATTATAGAAATATTAAATGCTAAACTATTTTTTCACTTCTTAAATTCAAAATTCAAATTTAAAAAATTTAAATTTTCAATATTAAATATTTTTCCAACCAATAGACATAATAATTGATATTATTAATAAGCTTAATAATTTTTCATATAGAAAGTAGTGGAAAACATGGATAAAAGAATGTGCACATTCTCCAAGTAACAGTTTCTTGCAGTGTTATAGGCCGGTTCGAACCGAAAATCGGTAATCCGGTGGTGTGACCGGTCCGGTTAACAACAAGGATCATATATGCAAGTGAACCGGTGTGAACTGGTGTGAATCGGGTTGAACCGGCCGGTTAGTGGTTAAACCAGTGACTCGGGGGGTCAAACAAATCAACCGTGGTGAACTTTCCTAAATTTCTTCTGGACATCTTCAAGATCTGTGATAGACAAAGAAGAAGAATACTCCATCGATGTGATAGGTGAAGAAGCAGAAAAGTAACAAATTTAGATCCATGGCAGCAAAAAAGAACAGGGGAAGAATGAGACTGAGAAAAACCCCGACGGAGGAGCCAAGAAAGACGACAGACCCATCCCTGTCGTTTTTAAATTGGACATGCATTGCAAAAGATGTGTCAAGAAGGAGCTGTTCGCCATTTCAACGGTACTACCATCACCAATCAGATCTGGATTGAGCTGTTCACCATTTCTTTGTTCTAACCATAGAAGAAAAAGAAACAAGGAAGAATGGAAAAAGGGAGAGAGGGGAAAGCACTGTGCTTTTTGCGCTGATGTGAACAAAGATTGAGTCTTTTGATTTTCCCCCAAAGTTAATTACAGCTGGATGAGTTTTTTAATTTTCTATAAATAAATTATTTATTTATTAGTATTTGAGTAAAGTCCCTTTTGGGTCCCTAACAAAAAATACGATTCCCACTTTAGTCCCTTACAAAAATAAATTAGTCAGTTGGTCCCTAACAAATTCAAAGTGGACCCATTTAAGTCCTTTTGAGGGACTAATATGGCTCTTTTTTGAATTTGTGAGGGACCACAATTTCAACTAAATGGATCTATTTTGAATTTGTTAGGGACAACCTGACTAATTTTTTTTGTAAGGGACTAAAGTGGGGACCGTGTTTTTTGTTAGGGACCAAAAATGATATTTACTGTTAGTATTTAGTACATGATGGAAGAGTGCCCCTCGGTAACGTCAATTTAATTAGTCCATTTATTAGTACATGAATGGAAACTGAAAGGGTTGATTTAAAAAAAGAAGAAAATTTAATAATTTTTAAATGAGTTTTATATTTTCATATTTTCTTCCTTTATTATTTTTTCTTATATATATATATATATAGGGAAAATATTTTCTCATGTTGCATAAGAATTTAATTCTCATGGTATGACTCCTTCGATTTTCGTGCAAAGCTTTTCTTTTTTTCTTTTTCTAATAAATGTAGGGCCCACCACTAGTTGAGTCATGCAACATGAGAAAATCAAACCCCATATATATATATATATATATATATATCCGGGTCATGCGGTTGAACCAGTGACCCACTGGTTGAACCAATGACCCAGTGACCTAATACTCTGACCGGTTCGATAACTGTTTTTATAACATTTCTTGTTTTCATTTATGGCATATGAAATTGTGTTATTTATACTCTTACATGAGAAGAAGGAAAGTTTAATGTGTTTGTTATATATTAATTTAATTTTTTTTCTAATAATTAAATTTTAATATTTATTTTTGCAGAACGATACATGTCATTTTTTATTTTATATTTAATTTTAAAATTTATATTCATTTTTTTTGGTAAATAAATTTATATTCATTTATTTTCATTGTGTGTATTCTTTTATATTTATAACATATAATGAACAAATATGAGTTGATACAAAAAAGTATTCTACTAAATCGAATATTTGGTGAATTTAATTGAACTGCATTTAATATAATCAAATATTTTATTATTTAAACAAAAACATAATTAAAAAGTGTATATATATATATATATATATATTTATATTTATATATATATATATATTAGAAACACGGTCATAAGAAAAAACGTAATTAGAATACTCTCTTTAATCAAATTTCAATTTTTGATAATTTCAGTTTATGCTTTATACTCTTTTCCCACCTATCAAGTTCAAAATTAAAATTTAAAAAGTTTAAATTATAAAAATTAAATACTTTTCCCCCAATAGATATAATAAATAATATTATTAATTGATTACCAAAAATATATATTATTAATTGGCTTTACAATTTTTCATGCAAAAAGTAATGAGAAACATTAAAATAGTCTGTAAAATACTTAATGACAAACATATTTTTACGATACAAGAGTTGGATGGTCAGTGGTCACTGAATGGTCATTTGTTATTATAGGGATTAAATTTTTATATTTTATTTTATACATAATGATAAATGTAATTTTGTTTATTAATTACACATATTATTTGAAAAATTAATTTTTTTATCTTTTAATTTATAATTTTTAGATTAGATATACACATATATATTTAAAATATTTATGTTAATTGTTTTTTAAGAAAATACTTGTACAGATTTTTCTCTCTTTTGGTAATAATTTTTTAAGTTAATTTTTTTATTTTTGTTATAGTATAAATGTGGTATTTCTTATTTATTTTTTGCATTTAAATTTTATAATTTATATTTTTTAACAACTATGCATATATTTTTAAATATTTTTTCATAAGATCTATAATTTTATATTAAATTAAATTTATTATATATATATATATATATATATATCTTTGCACTTCAGAAACATTAAATGTTGAATAAATGCTAAAAATTAAATTTAAATTTAAATTTATTATTATATATAGGTGAAATTTCATTATTATAATATATGATTGTTTTTAATTGATCGAAAAAATTAGCCCAAATAACATAATAATAAAATTTATTAAACCTAACCATAAGAATATATTTTCAAATAAATATATAATAATACAGTTGTCTATCACTAAAAAATGTTGAACTTTTTTTTCACCTATATCAATTTAAAATTCGACTTTCAAAAAAGTAGTGGGATATAAATAAAAATATTTGCAACCAATTAATGCTGAACTCTTTTTCCACATATATCAAGTTTGAATTTCAAAATTTAAAAAATTAATATATTAATCATAAAAAAATGAATATATATTTTTTAAAAAATTACTTGTACGAAATTCTTTTCTCTTTTTGTATTATGTTTTTGAATTTTTTTAAAAAAATCTGGAATATTTATTTTTTTGTAGAGGAGGTTGGTTTCAAGGCTAATTATGATAAATTTAATTATAAGATAAAAAGCTTCATATGCCTGTATTATATTTTGAAATTGAAGAGCCATCAATTTCTTTGCTAGTTCATATTCTGAATATGAGCATGCAAAACAGAGCTTTTCAATGCCTAATTACATTGAATTAAGCTAGACACTTATACAATAGACACAAACAAAATTTAAAAAAGTAGAAAGATAAATTAATAGTGATAATTAAAGCAAAAAATTCCTAAAAGAAAAATTGCTTTGAAACTATGTTGCTGGGTTGCACTGGTCTAGCATTTGGCACACTTCCAACATTCTTTGAAGAAATAGAAGATGGTTTTATGAGGGTCAAATTAGTATCATCCCTATCCAACTCATCACTCCCATCATCACGGTAAGAATATTTGTCAAGAGCAAACATAAATTAAAGAACAACAACAATAATGCGAAACAAATTATGTATGGACAGGAAAAATAGAAGGGAAAACTCATCTTGCTCTTTCAGAAATTAAAGATAGAAAATAGAAGAACTTTAAGATAAAAGAGAAATTTTTACGGTGTTGAATTTTGAGATGGTGCCCAAAGTGCACATATAACACACATGAGAGAAGAAGAGAGAACTTCCTAAAAGGCCGAGATGATCCACGCATTATGCCATTGCTCATTGCTTGTTGTATACTTTTGTTTCTTTATTGCAGCTTGTAGATCTTTCCAAAGAAGGCTAAAGTCAAATATTTAGTCATTTAAAAGTTAAGACATTTTATTATATCATCTCATTCATTCATGATATTAGATTATGGAGAAAATACTTATAGAAGAAAAGCAGATAAAGAAGAATGTCGTACCTTCCTCTGAGGAAGTATAAAAGCACATATCCCAGTGATTCCAAATCATCCCGTCAGTTTTGTTCTCCAACAAAGCTGCGAAAAAAAACAAAAAAAATATATTACATGTTCATGTAATAGAACAACAATTTGAGAAGATGAAGAAGATAAACAGATAGATAAGAGAAGAAATATATGCACATAAGCTAATTATCAAATTTGAGAAGATGAAGAAGATAAATAAGAGAAGAAATATGTGCATAGAAGCTAATTACCAAATGAAAAAAACCCAATAACACATATCCTATTTATACACAAAATATTTGCGTTTTTTACAAAATATTTTTGTTTTTTTAAGGATTATTTTTTAACAAAATAATATTTTTTTATGCAGCATTAATAGGATTAACAATTACCCATGTAGAAAGTAATGGGATAATGTCTACAAAAAAAAAGAAAGAGAATAGTAAATGAGCTGTCTGCCACCAACAATTGTTCAAATGTTTTCCCACCCTTTAAAATTTAAATTAAAAATTAAAAAATTCAAATTAAAAATTAAAAATTAAAAATTGAAAATCAAGATTTCAGAAAACAGTGAGATATTATTAATTTGGAAATTTCAATGCAGAAAGTAGAGGGACATTAAATGAGTTATCTGCCACCAACAATTGTTAACATATTTTCTTAATTGAATTTAATTACAAATTTGATTTTATTTAATATTTTCTTTTTATTCTTTTTACCAAAGAAGGAAAGGTTTTAAATATTTTGTAGCGTGAACACAAAGCTGAAATTGAAGGAGAAAACGACACGTCAGCATACTTGTCAAAGAATGAGTTTCTTTTCTTTTTATTCTTTTTATTTGCCAAAGAATGGTTTCCTTTAAAATATTAGATGGGTGATATGCTCGAGTAAGTCATGAGAGAAGTGAATAACTCAAATTTGGATCCACAAATATTGTTTATTCAAATAAGTTCTAAAGTCTTCTACAAACAACATGTACTTGGGATGTCTGCTTGTGACTTGTGAGTCCAGGGACAGTTCTCATTCAATTCAAGCTATCAAAACATGATTTTTTGTTGATAGAAATATTTGGTTAATAAATTTGAACTTCATAAGTGGGTTCGCGATTCTAAAACAATCCCCATCAATAAACATTTGAAAGCCCCCCTTTTTTTTTTCTGGATAAATAAACATTGGTAAACTATTTTTGCATATGTGCCCTTCTCTGACGCTTGCATCTTTTCCAGTATTTTGCAGATCCATTCCTATGACACGTCAGTCCTCACAGTTTTGTTCTAGGACAAGGAGACACTTATTAGTTAATGAAATGGGAAGAAGAAATCAAAATTCAAACTAACGTAGACATGAATAATACGATAATAGATCTATGTAAGGGAAAAATATTTATCCTTTTAAATTACACAATTTATATTTTTTCACTCTCATAAAGATATGAGACTGACGCCTTTATTTTTTTTTTGTTAACTCTCTCACCTCCTTTATCTATCTATTTTTCTATCTTAAAAGGACATAACTTTATATCTTTTGAAATGACACACACTTTATTCATATGTAAATATTTGAAAAACTCTCCAATTTTATGCCTTCACGGGGGAATTTTTTTTTTGGTGCTCCAGGTCTCATATCTCATGTGGTCCTTTCATTCAAGAAGTGACATTTGGACAAAAAGTTATTTTTTATTTCTTCTCTCTTTATTGGTAGTATGATTTTGATTAGTCTAGACCATTGAATAAATGGTAGTCCACGCCCATTAAAATTCTTCTCCTAAGGCTGTGATAAATTTACGAGTTTAATATTTTTTATATTATATAGATAAAATTATATTTTATATATATAAAAATGTATGTACGAAAAAATGAGCGAAAAAGATAATATAATTTCACACACTTTATATATGTATTGAAAATAAGTTTTATCTACTATAACAAAAAAAAATAATTAGACCCTAAATTTATATTATACAACCTATCTATTAACAATAGGTGAGATTTAAGAAACCTTTCTAGCACTTTCAAGCTCCACCCCCAATATATAGTGTTTTTACATATTTCTAATCTTCTTTTTATTTTCAGTAATTGAAACTGAAAATTATGTTAACATCTATTATCGTTTAATAAATTATTCTAAGTTTTTCTAAAATAAAAATAAAAAATCTAATCTTTGTAAACTGATTTTATTTTTTGAAGTTAATAGTTTTCTATTTTTTTTTAAATTTATTTTAGAGTTTGTGAAAGAAGAAAATAAAAATGGCCATGCAGAGGAACAAAAACCTTAAAATTTCAGTGATCTTGCTTTGGTTTTTGATTTTCCACCACCATGTCTGAGAATTCTCCTGGTTCTCGATTCTACTCCAAAATGGGGTTTTCCTTCTCCTTTAAGTGCACTAACGACACTGAACTTTTCTACCATTTGAGAAATGTCCGTGAATGAAACACAAAACCATGGCGGTACCTGTAATCCTTAGCATCATGATGGTGTTTCAAAATCTGCATTACAATAGAAGGTATGTACCTTAATTGGCATATTATTCAGTGAACAATTTTTCTTTTATTGCATGTGGGATTTCATTTGCTGCCTACATTATGTTTGTGGAAAGTCCAGAATGAATCAAGCTTGTTAATTACTAACAACCCTTTTGTTATTACAAATCTTGCTTCTTGAGGTTATAATATTTTTTTCATAGGATTCAGCTATATATTGTTAAGTTGCACTTCAAAGTTAAGGCAGAAATATTAGAGTAACAAAGAAGGAATGGTCAGAAAATATTCGGTGGTTTTATTAACAGTACTCTGTTAGTGCATCAAATTGGTGGTGTATGAATACATGAAGTAATCTCTTATAATCAAGGAATTTCTGGCCCATTTCATATTTCCAAATTGTTTTTATTCATACCCTACCCCCTCAAAAGGAAAAGAAAAATAATTTCCAAGTTGTAGCTTCAGATTATCAAGTGGGACTGGGGCTGGTGCTGGTGAAAACCCTCTTATTTAGGGTTTGCTGCTGTAAGCTCAAGTACAAAGTGTTGGAGCATTTACAGCCTTTTTAAATAATTTTTCTTTTTAAATTTGTAAGTTACCCTCATCTCAATGCCGTTTCATTGATCGAAGGATAGAAACCTTGAGTGCTTATTTTTAGCAAATACCTTTTTATTTATACAATCACCAGTTTAATGCTTGAAACGTAATTCCATTTGGGTTGACAAGAATTAATTATGATTTACAAGTGAATTTCAAGTGATTTGCTGCAAGGTCTCTGTTAGTATTGTGTTTACCTAAGAAACTCTAAAATGTGAGCAATTTGTTTGAGAGAAAACTTCCATTGACTCAATTTTTGTACAGATATATAACAGTGTTTTAACTTTCATGAAATCTTGTAATTAATACCTTACTGGTAATTTCATATGGAATTTGTTTATTTACATTAATGTTTATACTTACAAATCTAATCTATATTTGCCACCGATTTTTCGTTGCAAGCTAAATTGTATTCAAAGCTTTTATAAAAATATAGTTTCTTATCATTCTCTAAAAGATGTTATAAACTTAATGCTTTGTTTGTCTTTAAGCAAGTATTTCATAATTGTGTTTTTATTTGGTTACATATTATTTATCTAACTTTCCATGATAAATTTCCACGCAGAAATAAATTTTCGCGTTTGTTTGATGGATATTTAAATTCTTTTTCTAATTTCCAAGAAATAAACATGCATTGCTGGTTGGGGCATTGCACGTCTTGTGATAGACAAGTGTGGACCCAAGGGAGTTGAGTAATATTTGTGTTTTTGGGTTGGATTGTAGAAGTAATGAAGATCAATAATCCCTTGTGGAGTTTGGCAAAATTGAGTTTTACTCAACATAGGGGTGTGAATTATTCTTTCAAATTAAAAATTGAATTTTCTTATGTTGTTAAATCCAATTTTTAATTGAGCCAAACAGGACCTAGTGATATATTTAATTATTTTTTACTTTTAAAACATATATAATTTGGTGGTATATTCAATGCAATAAAGTTGCAAATGATATCGTGTTTATTGATGAGACTAGGGTTGGTGTTAACTCTAAATTGGAATTATGGTGAAGCGCATTAGAGTCTAAAGGATCTTATGTTAAGTCGGAGTAAGGCTACTTGGAGTGTGCATTCGCCACGCCAAAAGGAGGAGATCATGAATTTGTGAATATAATAGGATAGGAGGTAACTAAAAAAAGGTGCATTTAGGTATCTAGGATCGATCTTTCGAAAGGGGAAAGTGATTGACAAGGAAGAAATCCATAGAATCAGAGTGGGTTGAATGAAATGGCACAACGTATCGAGATTTTTGTGTGATCACTAGGCTAGAAGGATAATATGACAATAGTATGGTTTGCAATGTTATACAGAGTTTAATGTTTGCTAGCACTGAAATAATATGAGCATAATATGGGAGTAGCGGAAATGAAGATGTTTAGACGGATATGTGATCATACAAGGCTAAATAATATAAGAAATGGAGATATTTGACGAAAAGTTTGAGTGGTATTGGTGGGGGGAAAAAAACGTAGATTGAGATTGTTTGGGCATGTTCTTTGAAGATCATTAGATGCTCTGGTATAAGAATTTTTGTTACCGTGATAGTGACATAAAAAAGGAAGAGATTGACAGAAGCTTATTTTGGGGGAAGTTATAAACTAAGTTTTATTGAAGTGGAAATACATTGTAGTGGGTTTAGATATTATTCTTTCTTATTTATTATTTATTTTTCCTTAATTTGTTCTTGCTTGTAGATGGGTTCATCGATTGCCATCCTGAGCTTGTTTGAGAAAAATGTGATATTGATGTTAATAAAAGGCAATTAATGTCACTGAGGTGAGGCACCTTAATTGATGAATGCATCTTGCTCAGCCGTGCAGCAAAGTACACGCCTCAAACACTTTAGGCACGGCTTGCTGGTTCAGGCGAGGCATGCCCTTTAACTTTCTTCTGTAGCTGTCAAAAAAACTCAAAAATCACAATTACAAAATAGTTGCCCTACTAGTGAAGCTGAAGAGGGTAAGATAGTCAGCAAGGAAGCATGTCAATTACAACATAGTTCCCATACTGGTGTTGGACTTGGACATGTGATGTTGGATACTCCTCAAACAAACACTTGTTGGATACTTCTAGTCTACATACTACAGTATTTTAATGTTATTTTTGAATCATTGTTAAAATTATTATACTAAATCTGAAAGACTTGTGCTAGTAAAGAGTAATGAATATGTTGTGATGCTTATATTTTAAGCAAAGTTGACTGTGTTAGGATTTGTATTTATATCATAAATATATATCTTTAAGATTTGTGTTTTTATGTTGGTCATATATGAATTTTGTATGTTGTACTTTAACTGTGTTGTGTCCTTTCTCTTTTTGTTTAGAATTTGCCATGTTCCTGCGCCAGTGTTGTTTTATATGCATGCTTCCTACATAGTCAGACTAAAAAGTAAAAAAAAATAAAAATCACTCTCCATTATACCCCTGATTAGCGAGGCTGGGGCATAGTCAGACTATTAAAAATAATTAGAGTTCAGTCTTTTAGATTCTTAGCACTAAGCATTTTACTGTTTTGAAAATTTTATTTTTACAATGAATGTTATGCTTGATTAAGTAATTTGTATAATTAATGCAAAATAGTCAAATAGTTTATTATTATTATTTATTTATTTATTTATTTTAGTGGCAATGCCTTTCTTTATTGAGATATATGTCTTTTTGGAACTTTGCTTTTCACATTGTCAAATGTGCTTTTGTTTCCAAATTTTTAAATTTTCGATATTTGGAACCAATAGAAGCCCACCGTGGTCGTGTTTTCTTTGTATTTTATTAAGAGTGTCAAATTCGCCCCCTTTATAAAAGGGTTTAGTGCTCATTCGAAGAGGCACAAACAAAGGCAGTGAGAGGTGGTGGGTGAAAAGAAAGTAGGGTATGGAGGAAGGGAATGAAGACGATGCCAACCAATATAATCATTCTGAGGGCCTGCCTCCGACTTCATCATCAAGTATGGTTTTATATGCCTATCTACCAATCTTTTAATTTAGTTAATTTTGATGTTGTATGCATCATGTTTTCATATCACTTCTGTATATATGTTCTAAATTGATGCATATGAACTCTTAACTTGTTTTTTTCTATTATTATCTTTATGGTTTTTCTGAAGACTTTTTCACTCTTTGATAAAAAGATATCGTGGCTCAGTCCGCTGTTGTGGGGTCTATGGCTTTTTTATTACCTTACCATTGCGCCAATGCTTGCCCTCTGTTTTTCCATTTTCGATATCAATGTTCAATTTTGTAAGTTTCAAATGTTTCATGCTTGTTGGGAATGAGGGAATTTACTTGTAAATTTGAAATGTTGTAAGTTTTAAAGGTTGTTTCTTTTAGATGAAGAAACAAGTGATTGAGATTGATTTTAAAATTCACGAATTATTTAGTTACCTAATTAGAGTTTGAGTAAACCCCGAAACTCATCCTCCAAAGATATAAGCATCGTCGTGTTAGTCCTCAAAATATTTGTCATCGATTTAGTCCCTTAATTAGTGTCATCATTAAAATGGTCCTTCTTTGTTGGGTTGAGAGAAATGAATGTTACAGTATCCTAATATAGAGACTAATTTGATGATAATTTTCATGATTAAGGGATTAAACTGTGACACATTGCTTATTCAGGAACTAATTTGACTTGGAAAAATCTTTAGGGGATCAAGGTGATGACACTTTGCTTTATAAAGGAACTAATTGATGACAAAAATATGTCAAGTACTAAACTAATGATACTCGTATCTTTGGAGGACAAAATGTTGATTTATTTTTGAAATTGAATAAGTTTTCAGGTTCATCCATTTTATTACGTCCATGGGAAACTAATTGTGACTAATATTGCCCGTGGGAGCTTCATGTTGTTTTAACAGTCCTTTCAATTATTTCTATCACTTCTCATCTTAATTTTTTTTTCTTGTCATAGTTTAAAAGTTTGATGTGTTTCCAAACGATCATGTAGAGGGTTAAGGTGGAGCCAAGAACTTCAAATTGGGATGGCTAAGCATTAAATTGCATGAAATATTTTCAGAGAAAAAAAAAAGTAAAATGAAGGTGTTGAGGCTTGGAGCTGACATTACCCCACCTGCTAGCCCCTTTGCATCTGTCCTTGATTGACATGTTTTGTAACTATGATGTCCTTACAATATCTCTTGTTTTGTGTGAGTATTTAACAGGTAGATGCTAGTCCTTCCTGAGCTTTTATGGTGGTGTAATAGGGGTTGGTGTCTGTTCGAAACTCTTTCCATCATCTTGATTTATGCTGGTGATAGCAGCCATCATAAATGTAGAACTCTCTTTTAGTCTGTCTTAAGGCTATTGACGGCAGCAATATTATGATCTTTGCACTAAATTTGGCCGCAAAAGGCATACTATAGTTACCTCCACAATCAGCAAACTGTTTCTAATTGTAGTACAATTTTGAAGGATTTTTTTAATTCTTGTATGAGTATGATAGGACTACACCCAGCTTTTGACCTTGAGGACAAGGTGAAAGCTTTGAGGAAAGTATTGATAGGACTACAACTATTATGCGGGTTTACACTACAAAGGGCCGTAGAGGATTGGCCCCTTCCCATAACTCCCCTTTATCGGGGGAAGCTGTTACTAACTGCTCGAGAGTGAGAGAAAGAGTTATGTAGCGGGAGAGTGGTGTTTATTGGAGAGGGTTTTTGTTGTTTGAACAACAAGAGACACAATGCCTCTCAAATGCTCTGGAATTACATTTTCTTTTTCTTTCTGATACTTTTGTACCTTTCATATTGATATCATATCGGTATCAGCCATGGCTATACAATACTCTGTTTCTTTTCTTCACTTTTTTCCTTGAATTCACTCGAATCCTATCTGAGCACTATACTGTTAATGTCAAGATTGCTCATCATATTATACAGCACTGGGACCAAAAACTTATTTAAATTGATTGCTAAGCAATACGATCATACTGGGTTTCTTCACATACTCAGCTCTTGGCTCCATATTCCTCTCAAGTTCTAAAGCTTTGGTAGCTAACTCCTACTGCAAACAATTTCTAGTTCTCTTGTCATTCTGTTCTTTTCCTTCATGCTCTATGTTTCCTTAAGAATGTATGATGTTTCGAAGCTATAGCATACTTTCCAGTCCATGCACTATAACTTGTCTATGAGCTTAATGTGGTTTGTGTTTGCTAATTATATGCTAGAAATTTATGGATGTGAAATCATTATAAATCCTTGCTACTTATCAAAAGCTTCAGAAATACCTTAATTGTGTTTCGTTTTGTTTATGCTTTCTAGTTAAACAGTCTGCCTTCTACTAAGGAAGTCAGGTTTCTTGCATTAATTTACTCTCTCTTCCTGTTGAGGGAACTGGGAGGGCCGATTAGTTTTGCCTGGGGTTTTGTCTTATTGATTAATTTGTCATCAACATTTTTGAAGGGGTTTGATCTTATTTATTAAATGTTCTTTGGGAAAAGTTATTCTGTAATCGTCACATGTTGATCTCATTCTCTATACCTGGTTCACCTTTTCAAGAGCACTCAGTAATTTTCAACTATTAGGGATGACTTTTTATTGGTGGTAAGTTACAATGTTGTGTTAAGTACTTTCAACAACGGTTTGACTTGAATGTTTTCTTACAGCCAATAACAATCAGAAGCTACTTGATGCAATTGTGAGATTAAAGAATGAAAAAGCAACTGTGATAAGGGAAAAATATTCAATAGTGTCTTTAATCCTGTGAAGAATAATCTTGTAAATATATTTCCTGCTGCACTACATATGTACATGCAACTAAAACTTTTTCACCTTGTAGGTTATTCATATACCTTTTTTTCTTTGATAGCATAAATGGTGTTATGTGTTTGTCTTCAACCCTTCAGTAATTCCACTCATTGCTTTTTGAAGTTGCCTATCCACTATTTCATTTTTCAGTTTCACTAGAATTCTAGTGTCACACATGACTACTGGAAAATGGAACTTATTGAATGCAATTTTCAGTTTTGTTAGTATTCTAGTGTCACGCATGACAATTTCAGTTACATTATACTCAAATTGTATTCCTGATAGATTTGTTTTCTCCCACATGACAACAAGAAAATCACATGGAAATGTTTATCCCCCACTACTTGTCTTTTCCTATTTCTATTATTCCCTTTCTTTTTCCTTTTTCTTTGGGAGTAGGAGTCAATGAAATTCCATGTCTATTGTTAATATCTTATGCTTGCAGTTAGAATACTATTTTCCATGTGAGGATGAAAAAAGATAGATCTTGTTTACTATTAAGGAGCACCAACTTGAAAAGGGGAAAACAAAATTTCACATTTTTAAAATGACAATGGTACATAATTGTATTACATTTTGGACTTAAATATTGTTTGTGAAAATGAGAAAAGAATTTTTTTCTTTATCTCCTTATCTCCCTTAAAATTATCATATAAATGAAAAAAGTATATGAATTCCTTTTATAGACATTGGAAATCACCCATCATTCTTATTTTTGTGATACGCAGGCAAACTAATGAAAAAGGAAGCAGTGAAAAGTCAACTTCCTTGGGATGTGCTTGATATCATTTCCAAGAAACTAGATTTTGATGACCTCTTTCAATTTGCTGGAGTGTGCAAGAACTGGAGGACATTTCATAAAGTTTACTGGAGAAATTTCATGTTGTCCGAAGCACCACTACTTGTTCTAACTTCTTCATATGCTAAGAAAGCTTATTTTTTCGTTAGCATATCTGAACAAAAAGTTTATCGCTCAAAGCTAGATTACTTCTGGGGTTTATCCTATTCGGGGACATCCAGTGGTTATTTAATTATGGCGGGTTATGATAAACTTCTGCTAATGAATCCTTTTACAAGAAGAAAGAAGGAAATCAGTACGTTGGCCATTCAAGGTATTTTAAATTATTATTATATCCATCCCTTGCTAGCTTTTGCCAAAGGTTCTGAAGAATTCATCATAGTGGTTTTCTGTAAAAACTATTCGAGTTTGCATATCTATCAGTCTCGACATTCTTGTTGGGTTACTTATTCAGTATGGGGAAAGCCATGGAAGGTTGTGGACTTTGTGGTTTTTAATAATACTGTGTATGCTATCACTGAGAAGGCCAGGATAGGGGTATTGGGCCTGAACTCTGCATGTGTGAAATTTCTAGAACTGAAGAATACTCCCAGTGTAAAATCCACAAGTCTTAAGTTGGTTAGTAGTGATGGGCAGCTTTTAGTGGTTCATTTTGAACCAAAGGAAACATTTGATGTGTACAAGATAGACTTGTCAACCATGGAATGGATCAGGTTGGAAACTTTGGGTGACCTTGCATTGTTTTATGCTAAGGGAAGAAGCTGCTATGCATTGAGCAACCCAGCTAAGTGTGGATATGAAAGCAACTCTCTGTATTACATTTCCCCTGTATCACGAGAATGCGAAGTATATTCACTGAATAATGAACTGAAGAATTGCATTGTACCTAGTGGACTTCGACCTCCTCCTAGATCAAGATTCTACTGGTTGGATTGGTGTTTTCGACGTGTACGAGAAGAGGTTGATTATTCTCTGGTTGAGTAACCTGTTACTTGACACCATGCAGCATGTGACCTTGTGTGTTTACCTTGTTCCTTGTATTTCCCTTTTGTGTACTAGTAGTTTGACTTTGACAAAACTGGAGAAACATGTGGTATCTAGTTTCAATAACTTAGGTTTTTATTTGACTTTGGGTGGTTGTTTCCCTGGTAATTTCCTGGTTTATCTTCTATATTCTCTGAAATTTTTAGGCTTGAAAAAGCCAACAAATTATGCTTTATGAATTTCATTCAAGTCTTAATTAGATATTATTTTATATAATTGAAATGTCTGTATTAAAGTCATTTGAGCATGTAATTGAAGACATCGTTTACATGTTTTTGTAGGTAAACTGTAGGAGTGTAGGTCTGATAAAAGACACTGATATTGCACTTTATCACCAAATTTTTTGTTTCAATTTTTTCTATTATTTTTTATTATTATTATTTTTTAATCATCAAAGTAAATATTAATATCTTTGTATAAGATTTTATTTTATTTTTAGGCATACAAACGCCACCAATTGAGTGAATGAATGTGGCATATATCATTAATAATCGTGTTTAAATTCTTTAAAAAGGTAACTTTAATTTAACGTAGACATATTTTGTTTTATTTTTTTTTCTTTCATGTTAGTAGACTGAAATTCAAAGAGCATACTTTTCATAAATGAGTTCATACTGTAAATAATAGACATAAAAAGAATAAAGAACTTGGCATGTGTCTCGAAAACATTATTGTTTCTATTATGTTTTTTTTCTTTAAATTACAATTAGAAAGAAGTTAAGTTTTTAATTTTCTGTTTTCAAAAACATATGAGACGTATATGTTATAATTTCATAATTATCATGTTAAAGTTAAACTATCCACAGTTAATGTGATGAGGAACTAAAGTGATATACAGTGAATTTTTAATGGGTAAATATATGAGTCAACTCATGAATTTTTTGTATATTCCATAAGGGAAAAAAGTGTCATTTTAAATGACACACTTTATATTCTTTCACTCTCACAAAAAGATGGGATCCACATTTTTAATTTTTTTTTTCCTAAATTACAATTAGAAAGAAGTTATTAAGGGCCTGCTTGTTAACTGTTTTGTAAAACAGTTTTTTGTTTTTAAAAACAAAAAAATAAAAGAACTTGATTGAAGAGACTGTTTTCACTCATCGTGTTTTAAAAACCGTTTTTGTTTTTTGGTTTTAGAAATAGAAAAAGCAAAACAACTACAGGGTGTTTCCAAGGTTTTTGGTAAAGTGCGGTGACATTTTTGTAAATAAGGGGATTCATTAACGGCATTTTCGTAATTAGATCGATTTTTATTTTATTTTACATTATTTTGCAGTGGCAATTTTGTAAATACGAGGATTCATTAATGACATTTTAATAAATAACTACATCTTCTTTATAACTTTAAAATTAATCATATTTAAACAAATTTTATTGTTTTTTTACTCTCAAAATTAATTTTCAAACTTCATTGTTTTAAAAACAAAAAAATAAAAACACATTCAAACACACCCAAAGTTTGTGTTAGTCAAGCGAGAAGGGATCTTAAACTGAATTATTATTTTTTTTTAGGTAATGATTTTCTATTTTTTTAATTTATATTTTAAAAAAGGCCATGCAGAAGTGATCTTTCTTTGATTTTTTTATTTTCCACCACCCTGTCCGAGAATTCTCCTGGTTATGGATTCTACTCCAGAATGGGGTTTTCCTTCTCGTTTAAGTTTACAAACTACGCTGAACTTTTCTACCATTTGGGAAATTTCCGTGAATGAAGAAACACAGAGCCCTGACGGTACCTGTAATCCTTAGCATAATGGTTTTTTTTTTTTTTTTTTCTGTTTAGTTCAAAATCTGCATTGCAATACAAGGTAAATACCTTAATTGGCATATTATTTAGTGATCAATTTTCCTTTTATTTCATGTGGGATTTAATTTGCTGCCTACATTATGTTTGTGGAAAGTCCAGAAGGAATCAAGCTTGGTAAATGGTAATTACTAACAACCCTTTTGTTATTTCAAATCTTGCTTCTTAAAGTTATCATTTTTTTTTTTCATGGGATTCAGTTATATATTGTTGAGTTGCACTTCAAAGTTAAGGCAGAAATATTAGAGTAACAAAGAAGGAATGGTCAGACAATATTGGGTGGTTTGACTAACAGTACTCTGTTTTTGCATCAAATTCTTAGTGTAGTCTAATTGATAAGGATGTAAACCATGGAATCAGAGTAGGTTGAATGAAATGGTGCACTGATTGGGATTTTTGTGTGATTAAAATCCCTCTTATGCTGGATAGAAAATATGATAGAACAACAGTAGGTTCTGTAATGTTATATGGAGTTCAATCCTTGTACATGGCCTTACCCTTATATACTTGCAAAAAGACTATTTCTTGGATTCGAATTCGTGACCTTTCACTCACAAAGAGGCTGTGTGTTCATACAATGGTGCAGTGATCGGGTTTAAGCATGTTGTTCGAAGACCAATAAATGCTCTAGTAAGAAAAGAAGTTTTTTTATTGAGATAGCGCCGTAAAGAAAGGAAGAGGTTGGCTGGAACTTACTTGGGAGAAAGTAGTAAATTAAGATTTAATGAAGTGAAAATACATTAGAGTATGTATCGGTATTATTCTTTCTTATTTATTATTTGTTTTTCCTTAATCTGTTCTTGCTTTTAGATTGGTTCATTGACTGCTGACATGTTGATTTTAATTCAATGCAATCAAAGACACTGAGGCAAGGCACCTGAATGGATCAATGCCTCTTGCTGATTGTAGCTCAGCCATTCAACGAAGTGCTGCCTCTAGCACTTTAGGCACGTCTTTCTGGTTCAGGTGAGGCATGCCTTTAACTCTGTTTTGTGTAACTGTTAAAAAAACTCAAAAATCACAATTTCAAAATAGTTGTCCTGCTAGTGATGTTGAAGAGGGTATGATAGTCAGCAAAGAAGCATGGACAATCACAACATAGTTGCCATACTAGTGTTGGACTTGGACATGTCATGTTGGATCCTCCTCAGACACTCGTTGGATACAGACTACTGTATTTTAATGTTATTTTTGAATCATTGTTAGAGATATTATGCTAAATCTGAAAAATTTGTGCTTGAATGAGTAATGACTACGTTATAATGGTTATATTTTAAACACAGTTGAATGTGTTAGGATTTGTATTTATATCATAAATATATATCTTTAAGATTTATGTCATGTTAATCATATATTAATTTTATTTGTTTTGCTTTAACTGTGTTGCGTCCTTTCTTTTTTTTAAGAATTTGCCATGTCCTTGTGCCAGCATTGCATGAAGCCAAAATCGCTAGTATTGCCGGTCAGCCATATGGTAGGGAATTCATTCTCGGGCCTTGTACACACCACCATGTGTATATGGAAGTCTACTGTTCGGAAAATGTGCATGTGCTGTGTATCCTTGACTACTCTAAAAGTGTGTGTGTATAAATCCTTGACTACAGAAAAAATTATCCATTTTAATGCCTTTATTTGTTTGATTATACATCTATTTTATAGTTAATAAGATATTCATGCTTCCTACATTGTCATACTTTTAAAAAATAGTTAGAGTCCAGTCTTTTAGATTCTTAGTATAAAGCATCTTACTGTTTGTAAGTTGAACATTTTAATATATTTTTTATACTATGAATGCTTGATTAATTAATATATATTGCCAATTAATGCAAAATAGTCAAATATTTTACCTCTTTTTTTTTTTAATGTTTATGCCTTTCTTTATTGAGATATACGTGTTGCGATATATAGTCCCACATTGGTTGTATGAGCAACTAATGTGGAGTTTATAAGGCCTTGGGCACTCCCACCCTTTGAGCTAGCTTTTGGGGTGGTGACCTCAAGGTTCTTAACATGGTATCAGAGCCTTGCCGCCCCCCACTTTCTCTTGTGGAATTTCTTAGCACAGGTAGGTTGGGCCTGTTGCATTATCCACTCTTCAAGCCCAATGGGCTCTTGTGTGAGGGGGCGTGATGAGATATATAGTCCCACATTGGTTGTATTTACAAAAGATTTGAGTTGTACTGTAACCTTCTTCCCTACCCATTGTGTTTTTCAGGATCTCGCCACGGGGAAGACGATTGGTAGTGCTAAAGAGCAAGGTGGGCTGTACTATCTGGTGTCACAATCTCCCGCAAATAAAGTCACAAATCACATCTTGCTGTCTCATGGTCAATCAACTGCTGATTCTTTGATTTGGCTTCATCATAAGCGCTTGGGACATCCTCCATTTAGTCTACTCAAGTCTTTATTTCCGTCATTGTTTTTGTCTAAGTCTGTTGAGTCTTTTCATTGTGATGTTTGTGAGTTTGCTAAGCATCATCGTGTGACTTTTCCTTCTAGTATTACTAAGAGTGTTGAACCTTTTGATCTTATTCATTCTGATGTTTGGGGTCCTTCTAAGGTCCCTCATTCTTCTGGAAATAAATGGTTTGTTTCTTTTATTGATGATTGCACTCGTGTAACTTGAGTTTACTTAATGCGTGAAAAATCTGAGGTACCACAACTGTTCTTTCAATTTTATAAAATGGTTGAAACCCAATTTGGTAAAAAAACTCAAGAGACTAAGGACAGATAATGGTACTGAATATGTTAATCAAATTTTTTCCCAATTTATACGAAATAACGGTATGATTCATGAACTTACTTGTGTTGACACCCCTCAACAGAATGAGGTTGCTGAAAGGAAAAATCGTCACCTTCTTGAAGTGGCTCGTGCATTAATGTTTTAGACACATGTACCCAAATACTATTGGGGAGATGCTATTCTTACTGCAGCATTCTTGATCAACTGTTTACCCACTCGGGTACTTGACCATGTAAGTCCTATTCAATCTATAACTTCTTTTTTTCCTTCTATTCCAACTATGAGTCTTCCTCCACGAGTGTTTGGGTGTGTTTCTTTTGTTCATGTTCATAAACATCATCACAGTAAGTTGGACCCTAGGGCTATTAAATGTGTCTTCCTTGGTTATGTTCCTGATAAGAAGGGCTACAAGTGTTATCACCCTGGTAGTCGAATTTTTTTTGTTACTATGGATGTTATTTTTCAGGAATCTGATTCCTTTTTCCAAGGTCCTCATCTTCAGGGGGAAAATAATTCACCAGAAAACTCATCACATTCCTTCTTTGAGTCTGAATCTCCAGTGTCTATTCCTTTACCTGTGTCAGTGTCTCCTCCTCTTGTTCCTGTTCCTTCCATGTCTGATCCTCCTGTGACTGATACATCAAATACACCAGAGATACGGAAGATTGTGACACCTGAATTGGTATATCAAAGAAGGAAACAACCCACATTGCCTCAACAGCAACCTCAATCGTCTGAACCACTGGTAAGTCCTGAATCTCATATTTCTGATCACGATGTTAATACTTCTGATGACTTACCCATTTCTACTGCTTCTGATGATTTACTCATTGCTCTAAGAAAAGGAAAAAGATCTTGTTCCAAGAAATCTTGTTCTTCTTGTCCCTCTTGTACTCAATACCCTATCTCCCATTTTGTTTCCTCTGCTAATCTTTCTGTGCAGCACAACAGCTTTGTTTCAGCACTAGATTCTGTTTCAATCCCAAAATCAGTACATGAAGCCTTGAAAGATGGGAATTGGGCTCAAGCCATGCAAGAGGAGATGAATGCGTTGGAGAAAAATAAAACATGGGAGGTTATTGATAGACCTAACGGAAAGAAAGCAGTGGGGTGCAGATGGGTTTATGCCCTGAAATATAATTCTGATGGAACTCTTGAAAGATACAAGGCTCGATTAGTCGCCAAAGGTAACACTCAAACCTATGGCATTGATTATGAAGAAACCTTTGCTCCAGTTGCAAAGATGAATACGGTGAGAGTCTTGTTATCTCTTACTGCCCATTACAATTGGGATATAAATCAATTTGATGTGAAAAATGCTTTCCTCAATGGTGAGTTGGAAGAAGTCTACATGAAAATCCCGCCTGGTTTTGATTCTGTGAAGGGAGAAAATAAAGTTTGTAGATTAGAAAAGACCTTGTATGGATTGAAGCAGTCACCTCGTGCCTGGTTTGGAAGGTTTACTAAGGTTATGATGACCTTAGGATACAGACAGAGTCAAGGAGATCACACTCTTTTCTTCAAGCACTCCCAAAATGGGAAGCTTACTGTGCTCCTTGTATATGTTGATGATATTATTATCACAGGTGATGATTTTGTGGAGAGAAAGATTCTGCAAACACGGCTTGCCTCTGAGTTTGAAGTCAAAGACCTTGGGAAACTGAGATATTTCCTAGGGATAGAAGTAGCTCATTCAAGCAAAGGAATTTTTATCAGCCAGAGGAAATATGTCCTTGATCTTCTCAAAGAAGTAGGAAAGCTCGGGTGTAAACCCTCTAATACTCTTATTGAGCAGAATCACAAGATAGGCTATGAAGAGGAAAATCCTTCAGTTGATAAAGGACAATATCAACGGCTAGTTGGAAAATTGATATATCTAGCTCATACTAGACCAGACCTAGCTTATGTTGTTAGTGTTGTCAGTCAGTTTATACACGATCCAAAGGAGAAACACATGCAGGTAGTAGAGAGAATTCTTCAGTATCTTAAAGCTACTCCTGGTAAAGGATTATTATTCCGACGTGATGACAATCTCTCTTTAGAAGTCTACACTGATGCTGATTATGCTGGATCCGTGACTGACCGTCGATCTGCCACTGGTTATTGCATGTTTCTTTGTGGTAACTTAGTGACATGGAGAAGTAAGAAACAAGATGTGGTTGTCAGGTCAAGTGCAGAAGCTGAATTTCGAGCTATGGCTCAAGGCATTTGTGAGTTACTGTGGCTGAAAATTGTACTCGATGATCTCAAAATAAATTGTGAGGGACCTATGAAGCTGCTATGTGACAATAAGTCCGCTATTTGTATAGCTCATAATCTGGTTCAACATGATCGGACTAAACATATTGAGGTTGACCACCATTTCATCAAAGAGAAACTTGATAGCGGGTTGATTACCACTCCATACATTCTCACTGGGCGTCAATTAGCTGATCTATTGACAAAGGGACTTCCTTCAGACAGATTTCAAGAACTTACTAGCAAGCTGAGAATGATAAATATATATTCCTCAACTTGAGGGGGAGTGTTGTAAATATTAGGTTTTTATTATTATTATTATTTGTTGTATTGGGCCAAGCCCATTAGGTCAAGAATTAGGTCTGTTATTCTCTATAAATAGAGACCCCTTTGTATCAGATTAATTACACAATTATAATAATATTTTTCCAATAAAAAAAAAAAATTACCTCAAGGTTCTTAACATGGTATCAGAGCGTTCGAAATCTCACCGCCTCCCACTTTCTTTGTAGTGGAATTTCCACATGTAGGTGGGCTTGTATGTTGTCCACCCTTCAAGCCCAGTGGGCTCTCGTGTGAGGATGCGTGTTGAGAAATATAGTCCCACATTAGTTGTATGGGCAACTAATGTGAGGTTTATAAGGCCTTGGGCACTCCCACCCTGTGAGCTAGCTTTTGGGGTGGTGTACCTCAAGGTTCTTAACAATACTTTTTTTGGAACTTTGTGCCTCACCTTGGGTATATCCAAATTTTAAAATTTGTTAATATTCAAACACAGTGCAAATGGTGTGTAAGATTTTGCATAACAATACTCACTTTTATGACGTTGTCAAATGTGTTTTTGTTTCCAAATTTGAAATTTTCGATATCTGGAACCAATAGAAAACCAACTTTACGTGTTTTCCTTGTATTTTATAATAATGTCAAATATGCCCTCTTTATAAGAGGGTTTAGAGCTAAGTCATTGAGGCACAAAGAAAGGCAGGGAGAGGTGGTGGGTGAAAGCAAAATAGGGAATGGGACAAGGGAATGATGAAGACGATGCCAACCAATATACTTTTTCTGAGGGCGTGCCTTCAACTTCATCATCAAGTATGGTTTTATATACCTATCTACCCATCTTTTAATTTAGTTAATTTCGATGTTGTATGCATCGTGTTTTCGGATCACCGTTTGTGTATATGTTCTAAATTGAAGAACTCTTAACATGTTTTATTATCTTTATGATTTTTCTGAAGATGATTTTTGCTATTTGATAAAAAAAACATAGTGGCTCAGTGCACGAGACTCAGCTGGAACCATGACCGGTAGGGCACAAGATAGCAGCCTTACCATTGCGCCAATGCTTGCCATCTGTTTTTCCATTTTGGATATCTAAGTTAAATCTTCGAAGTTTCAAATGTTTCATGTTTGTTGGCTACGAGGGAATTTACTTGTAAATTTTAAATTTTTAAAGTTTTCAAGGTTTGTTTCTTCCTCCATTAACAAGTAAATGGGAAATTGAGATTGATTTTAAAATTAATGAATTAATTAGATACTTAATTAGAATTTGAGTAAACCGCTAATTTCATAATCCAAATATATATGTGTTATCATTTTAGTCCTCAAAAAATTGTCATCAATCTCTCAATCATACAAACTGCCTGTAAATTGGTCCTACTTTGTTAGATTTAGAGAATGAGTATAACAGAGTCCTAATTTAGAGACTAATTTGATGATATTTTGCATGATTAAAGGATTAAATTGTGACACTTTGCATTATTCAGGAACTAAATTGATGTAAAAAATCTTTAAGGAATGACACTTTGCGTTATTGAGGAATTATATTGATGACAAAAGTATGTCAAGTACGAAACTAATGACGTTGGTATCTTTGGAAGATTAAAATGTGGTAATATTTTTTAAATATAATAAGTTTTCAGTTGTACAAGGGTGAACTGAATCAAAGTATGAGGTATGAACTTGTTTCTCGTAAGGTGTTGATCTGATGGAGACAAGAGAGGCAGTGGTATATACCAAAGCTCTGTGAAGTCATCATACTAACCTCAAGCTAGCTGAGGGTGAACAGGGAGGTTGAACTTGTGGTATGGTTATGGCGTGGGGAGATTTCTTCGTGGTTGAGAAGGCGAATGTTCATAATGTTGCCGCAGGAAACGAGCCCCCAGATGCTGTTGTCGGGGACGATGTGGAGGTCATCAACGTGACAACTGGTCATGAAGGTGAGGTTTTTGTCTTTTTGAGGAGGATAAGAGCCAACTGAAGCTGATTCTTACAGTGGGTATCACACCTGTGGTTGAACAGACTCCCCTGCGCAGCGTCTGTTTGGGCGGAAGAGAGTCCCATAAAACTTAGGCATAAGTCTCGCGTCAAGAAATCCTTGAAGGTTGTTCTTAGCGACAAGGGTGATGCTTTTGATGACTCCCTTGACTGCAAGTTGGAGCTCCCGAGGAAAATTGCGGTCGTTGGACCAAAAAAGGTTAATATGAAGGAAGTTTTTTCCGCCTAGTATTCTTTCTGGGATTGTGCCCCCTCCCTTGATCGAAGTTCCTCAAGACATCCTTGACGAAGAGGGGATGAGGAGTGAGTTTGTTGAGGAGACAGTTAGGTGCCTTAGGACGGGGGCTGCTGACCTGGTCTAACTTTACTACTAGCAGATAGTGAAGGTCCTGAAGGAGCATTTTGACAAACAAGAGGAGGAGAAAATTAGCCTAGCCACCCTTCAGAGTGAGATAGACCTTCTAAAGATGAAGTTGGATGATGATGTTGCCATTAACGACCTTGGAGAAAGGCTCGATCAGGCCGACAAGGATCTCAAATTTGACTAAAGAATTCAAGGAGGCCAAGGAGGTTGTAAAGAAGCTTATGATGGATAACACTAGTTTAAATGAGACAAAAGGGAAATTTGAAGAGAGTTTTCGAAATGCCCAACATGCGGTTCGCGGGTTGAACAACGAGGTGGCGACTATGACTAGCAAGTTGGAGGCTGTGCAAAATGACTTGAAGGATGCCCAAGCTAAATGCAAAGAAACTCATGTGTTGGCTAGGAAATTGAGCATTGCCTCCTTCGATAATGTCGTAGAGTAAGTCAAGCTTCTCATCCAAGCATAATGTTTCCTCAAAATGAGATTTTCACAGTCATATTACTTCTTTAATTGACTATGTGGGTCTAGAAGCTATCATAAAGGAAGATGCTAGTTAAAACACTGTTCTGGTCCGGCAGGATTACATCGCCCAGCCAGGCCAAATGGTTGCTCGGCAAGGGCAACACAACTTAGAACGTGGAGCATGTGACTTCCTTATGCATGTGTCATTTCACACTTCCCATGCACATGTGACCTTCTACACGTCAGAGATCATGCTGCCTCACACCTAGTGGGGTCAATAGGGCTGGAAACGGTTATGGCCTCACACTTTGCGCACTTGAAAAGAATCTCCAACGTCCTATATAAAGGGACCTCAGCTCCCTTATTATCCATCTTCTCCATTCACTCACCATTGTTGTTACTCTACAGAAATCTCCCCATGGCATAACATAGCCCAAGTTCACCCCCCGCTTTGTTCATCCTCAGTTAGCCTGAGGCTATTACGGTAATTCCACAAAGCTTTGGTCTAAACTACTACCTATGTTGTCTCTATGTGATAATCATACTTCACCCTTATGGGAAACAATCCATACCTCATACTCTGATTTAGTTCAATGGGAAACTGATGCCGATTAATATTGCTCGGAAAAGCTTCATGTTGTTTTAACAGTCCTTTCAAGTATTTCTATTTGTTCTCATCTTAAAAGTCCCCCCCCCCCCCCAGTTTACTAGTTTGATGCATGTCCATACAATCATGTAGATGATTGAGGTGGAGCCAAGAACTTCAAATCGGAGTTGCTAAACATTAAATTGCATGAAAAAATTTCAAAGAAAAAAATCTAAAATGACGGCATTGAGACTTGGAGATGGCATTACCCCACCTGCTAGTCCCTGTGCATCTGTCGTTAAATGACTTGTTTGGTGGCTACAGTGTCCTTTACAATGACTCTGGTTCAGTGTGAGTATTAGAAAGTATAGATGCTAATCCTTCCTGAACTTTTATGGTTGTGTAATAGGGGTTGATATCTTTCCTAAACCCTTCCCATCATCTTGATTTATGCTGGTGATAACAGGCGGGATAAATGCAGAATTCTCTTTTATTCTGACTTAGGCTACTGACAGCAGGAATAAATTTTTTGATGTTTCCACAAAATTTGGCCCTAAAAGGAAAACTGTAGTTACCTTGACAATCTGCAAATTGTTTGTAATAGTAGTACAACTTCAAAGGATTCTATTATTCCTGTATGAGTATGATACGACTGCACCCAGTTTTTTACCTTGAGGACAAGGTAAAAGCTTTAGAGGAAAGAATTGATAGACTAACTATTATTTGGGTAACGAAGGGCCAAAACGGATTGGCCCATTTCCATGTTAATCATGCATGACTCCCCTTTGTCGGGAGAAGCTGTTACAGCTCGAGGGTGAGAGAGAGGGAGGGTGAGAGATAGTTATGTAGAGAGAGAAGGGGGCAATTAGATAGATTTTTTGTTGTTAGAATTGTAAGATACTGGGTGCCTCTTAGATGCTCCGGAATTACATTTTCTTTTTCTTTCTGATACTTTGTACCTGTTTCATATTGTTATCATGTCGGTATCAGTCATAGGTATACAATACTCAGTTTCTTTTCTTCACTTTTCCCCCCAAATTCACTTGAATCCTATCAGAGCACTATACTGTTAGTGTCAACATTTTTCATCATAGAAAAGAGCATGGGGACCTAAAACTTATTTATATAGATATTACGGAATACAATTGTACCGGGTTTCTTCACTTATGCAGCTATTGGCTCCATATTCCTAAGGTTCTAAAGCTTTGGAAGCTAACTCCTTCTGCAAACCATTTATAATTCTCTTGTCACTCTGTTCTTTTCCTTCATGCTCATTCCTTCAATTTTGGAGGGAGAATTATATGTTAAGAATGTATGATGTTTCCAAGCTATGGCATACTTTCCAGTTCATGCACTATAGCATGTCTATGAGCTTAATGTGGTTTATGTTAGCAACTCCTGTGCTAGAAATTTATGGATGTGAAATCATCATAAAACTTTGCTACTTATCAATAGCTTCATAAATGCCTGAATTGTATTCCTGATAAATTTGTTTTCTCCCACGTGACTACATGAAAATCACATGGAAATGTTTATTCCGCATTACTTGCCTTTTCCTTTTTCTATTATTCCCTTTCTTTTTCCTTTTTCTTCGGGAGCAGGTCAGGTATTGATGAAATTCCATGTCTATTTTTAATATATTATACTTTCAGTTGGAATGCTAATTTCTATGTGAGGATGAAAATAGATATCTATTGTTTACTATATAGGGGCATGATCTTGAAAAGGAGAAAGGAAAATATTCACATTTTTGAAATGAGATTGGTACATAATTGTATTACAATTTGGAGTCGAATATTGTTTCCGAAAATGGGGAAGAAATCTTTCTTTATCTTCTCCTTTTCCATAATATTATCAAATAAATGAAAAATAGTTTATGCATGCCTTTTATAGATGTTGGAATCACCCATCGTTGTTATTTTTGTGATACGCAGGCAAACTAATGAAAAAGGAAGCAGATAACAGTCAACTTCCATGGGATGTGCTTGATATCATTTACAAGAAACTAGATTTTGATGACCTCTTTCGATTTGCTGGAGTGTGCAAGAACTGGAGGACATTTCATAAAGTTCACTGGAGAAATCTCATGGTGTCTCAAGCACCGTTACTTGTTCTAAAATCTTCATTTGCTAAGAAAGATTATTTTTTCGTTAGCATATCTGAACAAAAAGTTTATCGCTCGAAGCTAGATTACTTCTGGGGGTTATCCTATTCGGGGATATCCAGTGGTTATTTAATTATGGCGGGTGCTAATAAACTTCTGCTAATGAATCCTTTTACAGGAAGAAAGAAGGTAATCAGTACGTTGGCCATTCAAGGTAATTTACATTATAAGTGTATCAAGCCCTTACTTGCTTTTGCCAAAGGTTCTGAAGAATTTATCATAGTGGTTTTGTGTAAAAAGTTTTACAGTTTGCATATCTATCAATCTCGACATTCTTGTTGGGTTACTTATTCAACAAGGGGAAATCCATGGAAGGTTGTGGACTTTGTGGTTTTGAATAATACTCTGTATGCTCTCATTGAGGAGGGCAAGATAGGGGTATTGAGCCTGAACTCTGCCAGTTTGAGATTTCTAGAACTGAAGAATACTCCAAGTGTAAATTCCACACGTCTTAAGTTGGTTAGTAGTGATGGGCAGCTTTTAGTGGTTCATTTTGAAAACACGAGGAGGTTGGGTAGAAAAATGGATATGTACAAGATAGACTTGTATACCATGGAATGGACCAGTTTGGACACTTTGGGTGACCTTGCATTGTTTTATTCTGAAGATACAAACTGCTATGCACTGAGCAACCCACGTAGGTGGGGTTATGAAAGCAACTCTCTCTATTACATTTCAGCTCCATTACAGACATGCATTGTATATTCAGGGAATAATAGACTGAGAAAATTCATTGGACCTAGTGGACTTAAACCTCCTCCTAGATCAAGATTCTACTGGTTGGATTGGTGTTTTCCACATCTACATGATGAGGTTGATTATTCTTTGATCCAGTAACTTGTTACTTGATACCATGCAGCTTGTGACCCTTTGGACCTTATTCCTTCTATTTCCCTTTTGTGTGCTAATTGTTTGACTAGACAGGAGAAAATTGTCATGGTATGTAGTTTGATTAACTTCGCTCAGGTTTTTATTTGACTTTGGATGGTTGTTTACCTGGTAATTTCCTGGTTTATCTTTCTATATTCTCTGAAGTTTTTAGGCTCGATAAAGCCAATTAATTGTGTTTTATGAATTTCGTTCAAAGTCTTAATTCGATATTATGTTATTTAATTGAAATGTCTGAATTAAAGTCATTTGAGAATTTAATTGATGACATCGTTGTTTATGCAAGTAAACTGTACGTCTGATAAAAGACAGTGATATTGCACTTTATCACCATTTTTTTTTTTTGAATTTTCGTTTCTTCTGTTTATTTAAATTTTTACAATTTCCCCTTCATTTTTTAAATTATCAAATTAAATATTAAAATCTTTGTATAAAATTTTATTTTTTTGGGCCAAAAAAGGAAAAAAAGTACTTGGCATGCATATACCACCACTTTAGTGAATGAATGTGTTTATCATTAATATTCATGTTTGAATTCTATGAAAAAGTAACTTTGATTTACTATGCACATTTTGTTTGTATTCCTTTTTTCGTAGGTGTTAGTGGACTGAAATTCAAAGAGCCTAATTTTCGTAAATGAATTTATACGGTAAATAATAGATGTAAAAGAATTTTGAAAATATTATTGTTTTTGGGGTATCTTGAATGTCGTGTTGCTGGATATCCTGTAACAATTTTTAATTATGTACTAAATATAGTACATAGTTATAATATTAAAATTATTTATTTTCTCTCCTCCACATCAACAACTTAATTTTTTTCTCTCCTCCACATCAACAACTTTAATATTTTAATTATGTATTATTCTTAATACATAATTTAAAAAATAGTTGCAGGACAAAAAATCCATTCATACAACATAATATTTATATTTCTCTTGTTTTTATTATTATTATAAAGTAGTTAATTGTGATTCTTTAGAGGGTAGTTATAGGGAAATCTTTTTCTTATCTTATATGAGAAGAATTATCTCATGTAATAGAGACAATATCACAAGCGGGATCCATAACGAAGATGAGAGAGAAAAATTAAAGGTGAGACTCACCTATGTTTTGTGTTCAGGAACTTGACTTCTTTCATGTGAAATATGTTACATACTTAGAGGTCACCACCCAAGTTAGCTCAAAGAATAAAAGTATCCAAGGCTTTATAAACCCCACATTAGTTGCCTATATACAACTAATATGGACTTGTAACATTGCCACCCCTTTTAGGGGTCGACGTCCACAACGACTTTCACTCTATCGACACTGACCCGATGCTAGCCATTTTTCTTTTGGTGGCTTCATTCACCTATTAATATTTATTACAACACCTCTTTGGAGGTATAACACCTTAATCCAGCCTATAGGTAGTCCTTTCCGTGATCTCAACTCTGTTACGTATCTTGAAGTCATCACCTGAAAAACTAACTCAAAGGGTGAGAGTGCCAAGACATTGTAAATCCCATATTAGTTACCTATACAACCAATCTAAGTTCAATGTTGTGTAGATAATCTCAGGATCGAAGATTCAACTTGGAGATGAAAAAAAAAACAAATTTTGGAGTGATCCTTGGCTCATTGGAAACTCTTGCATCCAACCAATACAATCGGCACACCTTACGAACGAGGTTACCACTTGGACGGTGGACAAACTAGTTGACAGTAATGGTAATTGGAATTGGAACTTGTTATGCTAATTTGTCTCTGTCCATTCTTGCGAAGCAATTGCTAACATTATGCCCCCAAGCACCGATAATGGAGAAAACTTAGTCATATGGGGTAACACCAGTGATGGTGTTTTCTCTGTTAGATCTGCCTATTGTCTCCTAGAAGAAGAAGTTTAGCTTCTAGGGACGTCCAACGTTTTTACCCCGTGGAGATGGTAGGGACCAGCAAGAATTCAATTGTTCCTTTGGAAAGCTCTAGGTGAACACCTACTAACTAACGTGGAGAGAGCAAAGAGACAGTTGACAAACTGCACTCTCAGCCCCAGATGCAACACTGCACCAGAAGACCTACTGCATATTCTCAGAGACTGTAATTGGAGTAGAGGCATATGGAACCAGTTTCAGATTCACACTCTTCAACCTGATTTCTTTGACAGTAACCTTAAAGATTGGATCCGGCAGAATCTCATTTCTGAGTATGCTCTGACTCTCCTTTCGAATGGAACCTACTGTTTGGAGCCTCCCTTTGGTACATCTGGAGAGATAGGAACGACATGATCTTCAACCAAAAATTTTACAGCCAGGACTCGGTCATCCGAAGAGTTAAAATTTATGTCTCGAACCTTAAAGAGGCACACCAGGTAATGGGGATGGTTGGAACTGAAAGAAGCCTTAGAATTGAGAAGCTAATCTATTGGGACTTTCCACCACAACAATGGATGAAACTCAATGTCGATGGCTCTAGTAGTGATAGAGGAACCCACTCTAGTTGCGGGGGAGTCATCAGAGACGACTCAGGTAGATGGATCATAGGCTTTAGTAGGAACCTGGGCAATGGATCCTCCTTAAGAGCTGAAATCTGGGGTATCTTGAATGGTATTCAAGTAGCTTGGAATTTAGGTTGCAGGAAGATCTTGATAGAAGGGGATTCCCAAGTTGCTGTTAACTTAGTTATTAACGGTTGCAAAAAGAACCACCCGATTGCTCCTATGGTTTACTAAGTGCAAGCCTTGCTTAGAAGACAATGGATGACAAAACTATCTCACATCTATAGAGAAGGGAACGTGATCATAGACACCCTGGCTCGTCATGGGAGCAAGTGGACAGATTGGGACTGTCACATTCTACAAGAACGTCCAGCTGAGTGTAGAGATTTTCTAAGCAGAGATTTGATAGGTATCTGTAGCCCAAGAACTTGTAACCTTCTATAACCTTTTATTGTAATTCCTCTTTTGCAAAAAAAAAAAAAAAAGCTTGAAAGTCGTCAACAATCAAAAATCAAAACTACAAATGTCTTGAAATACACATCTTAAGACTCTCTGGGAACTCACTAGCTTTTAATCAACAGTGTCAGAGTTATGTTGACTCTGAGAACTCATTTTACATAGGAGATGGGGTGACTGTATTTTTGTACAAAAGATAAGATAGACATATTTATTATAAATTCTTAACACCGTTAATGAGGGACTTAAATGGAAAAAAACTTAGGAGAGTATATGATAAAATAAAAATAAAAATAGGAAGATAAGTGATTAAAAGACAAATTACATGACATATTTGAACTTTTTTCTAAATTTAAATCAACGATCTCAAATACAATAATTTTCTTTTGAAAAAAGTTACGCAACTCTAGATTTTGCTTCTCTCTCCTTTATTTTTGTTAACAAATTATACCTCTTATTTCTCCTTTTTTCTACTGTTGATTTAAATACAATTTAAAGATGATAAAAAGGTAGTAAAGATAGAAAATTAAATAGATAGTTAATATAATCATCCCCGTTAGATTATCAACGTTTAATTTGATTAGGGACAAATGTGATTTAAAATAAATTTTTAATGGAAAAATACGAGTAATAAGAGCATGAGTTCGATCATTTCAAGTATCATATTTGGGAGGAATTTAAAATCTTAATCATGAACTGGCCCCAAACAGGATTGTCTCTCGTGGAAAATACATGTGATTTATCAAAAAAAAAAATTTCTTTATGTTTTTATACTATTATTTTTAGGGAAAAATATTTATCTTTTTAAAGAACATTTATTTTAGTTAAAATTAATATTTTTTATTTAATATTTAAATAAAAAATCTCTCACTTTTTTCTATTATGACTTTTGTTTCTCTCGCCATAAAATACGATAATTTTGACTAAAATTACACAGTTTATATCTTTTATAAAATACAGTAATTTTGACTAAAATGACATAATTATATATTTTTTTATAAAATACGTTAATTTTGACTAAAATAACACAATTCTATGTCTTTTAAAAGTAAAATCACTAATTTCTTATTTTGTTTTTGGAAAAAGTGTTTGTCATTTTAAATAACACAGAGTTATGTCATTTTTAATAAAATTACGTCGTTTTAGTGTGTTTTTACATTTCCTCTCTTCTATTTTCTTTTTCTTTACAATTTTATAAAAATAATAATAATAAAACACACAAAAATAACTAGTAATTTCATTAAAAATGACATAAAGATATATCATTTAAAATAACAAATATATATATAATAATATATATAATAATCAAACTTATTAATTAATTATTAATTCGCAATAAATGATAACCGTTGATTGGCGGAAATCAACGGTTAAGATGTGGTCGTAACATTGTGCGTAACATTATTTGTGTGTCACAATATCCTATCCTATATATATATATATATTTTTTTTTAACTGGTTTTACTTTTTCATTCAACTGTTTTCTTTTTTTGTTTTGTGTTTTTTTTGGGGGGTGGGGGTTTGGAAAAGAGGGTAATCAAAAAGGCCATGCAGGGAAGCAGAAACCATAAAATTTCACTGATCTTTTCTTTGGTTTTTTTATTTTCCACCACCATGTCCGAGAAATCTCCAGGTTCTCGATTCAACTCCAAAATGGGGTTTTCCTTCTCCTTTAAGTGCACAAACGATACTGAACTTTTCTACCATTTGAAAAATGTTCCTGAATAAAACACAAAACCATGGCGATACCTTTAATCCTTAGCATCATGATGGTGTTTCAAAATCTGCATTACAATAGAAGGTATGTACCTTAATTGGCGTATTGTTCAGTGAACAATTTTTCTTTTATTTCATGTGGGATTTAATTTGCTGCCTATATTATGTTTGTGGAAAGTCCAGAATGAATCAAGCTTGTTAATTACTAACAACCCTTTTGTTATTACAAATCTTGCTTCTTGAAGTTATAATCTTTTTTTTTTTTTTTTTTTTCATGGGATTCAGTAGTTATATATTGTTAAGTTGCACTTTAAAGCTAAGGCAGAAATATTAGAGTAACAAAGAAGGAATGGTCAGAAAATATTGGGTGGTTTCATTAACACTACTCTGTTTGTGCATCAAACTGGTGGTGTATGAACACATGAAGTAATCTCTTATAATCAAGGAATGTCTAGCCCATTTCATATTTCCTAATATTTTTTTTTTCTAACTCTACCCCCTCTAAAAGTAGAGAAAATCATTAATATGAGTCTTAGGAATGTAATAAATGGTGCTCGGATCATATTAAACTGGAATATATACCAAAAAAATAAAAAAAAATAAAATTCACTAATCAAGAAATCTCAAACATAATTCAACAACCTATATTTGACCAAAAGAATTAAAAAAGCTTCGGAAACATAAATCCAAACACAAATCATGACCATAACAACAAGGGACTTATGAATCTCTTGCTATAGGAGACATTTTGTCTCATGTTGCTGGGACAAAACATGTGGGGCCCACTTTTAAAAAAAAAAAGAAAAAAGACGCTGGTGTGACTTTTGATGTATCAGGCGGAGGGGAATAGTTTCTCCTGCAACACGAGAAACTAATTCCCCCAATAACAAACCCTACATATTTGGAGGAAACTTAAACATTACACTACCTTTAACTTAAACACGAACACAAATACATGCAAACAACTACAAACCTCCATCATTTAACATATCACACAAAACAGGGAAACAAATATAACCTACGTTAATTTTTTTTTATTTTTTTATACCAACCTTATTTATCTCTTTGATGCGAGTCGGCATCCTGGTTATCCCTACAAGCTTTAACTCTTTAGACCAGCTATGTGGCTAATCCCGAGTTGGGGCCAACTGAGCTACATCTATTGGGTCACTTTGAAAAGGGGAAGTGATTGATAATGATGAAAGCCATAGAATAAGAGTAGGTTGGATGAAATGGCATAGCGCATCGAGTTTTTTGTGTGACTGTAAAATTCCTCTTAGGCTAGAAGTAAAATATGGTAGAACAATAGTATGGCCTGCATTATTATACAAAGCTTAGTGTTGGCTGGCAGAAAAATAACATGAGCATATTATAGGAGTAGCGGAAGTGAAGATGTAAAGATGGACATGTCATCATACAAGGTTGGATAATATAAGAAATGAAGATATTTAGCGAAATATTAGAGTAGTACCGGTGAAAGAAACAATAAGAGAACATAGATTGAGATGTTCTTTATAAACCATTTGATGCTCTGGTAAGAAAAGAATTTTTTTACCGAAATCGTGACATAAATAAAGGAAGAGATTGGCAGAAGCTTACTACGGGGAAAGTAGTACATTAAGCTTTAATAAGTGAAAAATACATAGGAGTGGGTTTAGGTATTATTCTTTCTTATTTATTATTTATTATTCCTTAATTTGTTCTTGTTTTTAGATGGGTTCATCAATTGCCGTCCCGAATTTGTTTGGTATAGAGGTGATGTTGATATTAATAAAATGCAATCGAAGTCACTGAGGCGAGAATCTGAATTGATCAATGCATCTTGCTCATCCCTGCAGCAAAGTACACACCTCTAACACTTTAGGCATTCCTTTCTGGTTCAGGTGAGGCAAGCCTTTTAACTCTTTATTGTATAGCTGTTAAAAAAACTCAAAAATCACAATTACAAAATAGTTGCCCTACTAGTGATGCCGAAGAGGGTATGATATTCAGCAAGGAAGCACACAACAATTACAGCATAGTTCCCATACTAGTATTGGACTTAACATGTGATGTTGGATAATCCTGATTCCTCAAACACCCGTTGGATACTTCTAGTCTACATACTACAGTATTTTAATGTTATTTTTGTATCATTGTTGGAATTATTATACTTAATCTCGAAGATTTATGGTAGTATAGAATATGACTATGTTATAAAGCTTATTTTTAAACAAAGTTGACTGTTAGAATTTGTCCTTATATCATTACTATATATCTTTAAGATTTGTGTTTTTATATTGACTCTATATTAATTTTATATATTGTACTTTAACTGTGTTGAATCCTTTATTTTTTTCTTTAGAACCCTTTGTTGTGTCATATGCATGCTTCCTGCATAGTAAGACTAAAAAAAAATACTCTCCATTATACCCCAAATAGCGAAGAGGGGGAGAGAGAAAAGAGGGGGGGGGGGGGGGGGGGGGGGATAAAAAAATAATTAGAGTCCAGTCTTTTAGATTCTTAGCAGTAAGCATTTTACTGTTATGTAAGTTGAACATTTTAAATATTTTATTTTTACTATAATTGTTATGCTTGATTAACTAATTTGTTAGGCCAATTACTGCAAAATAGTCAAATAGTTTACTATTTTTTTTTAATGGTAATGCATTTCTTTATTGAGAGATACGTTTTTTGGAACTTTGCTTTTCGCCTTGGGTATATCCAAATTTTGACATTTATTAATATTCAAACTCAATGGCAAATGGTGTGCAAGTTTTGATTGGTAACATTAATCACATTTATGACATTACCAAATATGTTTTTGTTTTTAAATTTTGAAATTTTCGATATTTGAAACCAATAGAAATCCACCTCGGTCGTGTTTTGTTTGTATTTTATTAAGAGTGTCATATTTGCCCTCTTTATAAAAGGGTTTAGGGCTGAATCGTAGAGGCACAAAGAAGGGCAGGGAGAGGTGGTGGGTGAAAAGAAACTAGGGAATGGGGCAAGGAAATGAAGACGATACCAACCAATGTAATCGTTCTAAGACCCTGCCTCGGACTTCAAAATCAAGGAATCGTTCTAAGGCCCTGCCTCTGACTTCATCATCAAGTATGGTTTTATATGCCTATCTACCCATCTTTTAGTTTAGGTAACTTCGATGTTGTATCCATCGTGTTTTCGTATCACTTTTGTATATATGTTCTAAACTGAAGCATATGAACTCTCAACATGTTTTGTTATCTTTATGATTTTTCTGAAGACCTGCTTTGCTATTTGATAAAAAAATATTGTGGCTCAGTCCACTCTTGTGGGGTCTGAGGCAGTTTCCGCAGCTGGATCCATGACCGGTAGGTCACAAGATAGCAGCTTTACCATAGCGCCAATGCTTGCCCTCTTTTTTTCCATTTTCAATATCGAAGTTAAAGTTTGCAAGGTTCAAATGTTTCATGTTTGTTTGGGATGTGGGAATTTTCTTGTAAATTTGAAATGTTGTAAGCTTTGAAGGACCATGTTCTTCCTCCGCTGGTCTATTCTTTTAGATAAAGAAACAAGTGAATTACTTAGATACCTAATTAGAATTTGAGAAAACCCCAAAACTCATCCTCCAAACATATGAGCATCACTATTTTAGTCCTTAAATTTTTTTTTCATCGATTTAGTCCCTTAATTATACAGTGTCATTAAAATGGTCCGTCTTCAGTTCTTTGTCATATTGAGAGAAATTAATGTAATAGTATCCTAATTTAGAGACTAATATTGATGATATTTTGCGTGATTAAGGGATTAAACTCATACTTGTGAATAGCCCCGCTTTAGCGCGCTATAGCGGAGTTGCGTTGAGGTGTAGCGGCTGGCAGCCACAAACCGCGCCGCGATGGTCAGACAAAGTGTAGTAGATGTAGCTGCCACTATTGCGGCTGAATCGCGGTGCTATTGCGCCGCTACAGTAGTCTCTGCAAAAGTGTTCTCGTCGTAGAAGGAAGAGATTTACAACTTCGATACAAGTGAAAGTGAAGATGAAGATTTGGATGTTCATTATTTTAATTATGATTAGTTCCTTAAGTTCTTTGATTTTGACATTTCACTTAAGTAGCAGTTTGAATTTTGACTAATTTTGCCGCTTTATTTTGTTGTGTTACATTATTTGAGACTTTAATTCCTTCAATTTGCTTATGATTTGAATTTTAATGTTTGAAATCATTTATGTTTGAGTTTGAGATCCTTCAGATTTGTTTTTTATGTCACATTTTCACATTTTAAGTTTTATATTTGTGGAGTACAATTTAGTGTATCACTTAGGTACACTTTGCATAGTAGCGTTGTAGCACTACGCGCTATAGCAGTTTGGTCCGAGATTAATAAGTATGATTAAACTGTGACACTTTGCATTATTTAGGAACTAATTTGATGTGAAAAATCTTTAGGAGATCAAGGTGATGACACTTTGCATTATTAAGAAATTAAATTGATCACAAAAATATGTCAAGTACTAAACTAATGATGCTAGAATCTTTGGAGGACAAAAATGTGGGTTTATTTTTGAGATTTAATAAGTTTTCATGTTCATCCATTTTATTATGTCCATGGGAAACTAATGCAGCCTAGTATTGCCCGTGGGAGCTTCATCTTGTTTTAACAGTCCTTTCAAGTATTTCTATCATTTCTCATCTTAAAATTGTTTTTCTTTTCATAGTTTACAAGTTTGATGCATGTCCAAACGATCATGTAGAGGGTTGAGGTGGAGCCAAGAACTTCAAATTGGGATTGTGAAGCATTAAATTGAATGAAAAAAAAAAATCTAAAATGAAGGTGTTGAAGCTTGGAGCTGGCATTACCCCATCTGCTAGCCCCTTTGCATCTGTTCTTGATTGACTTGTTTAGTAAATATGGTATCCTTACAATATCACTTGTCTAGTGTGAGTATTAGAAAGGGTAGATGCTAATACTTCTTGAACTTTTATGGTGGTGTAATAGGGGTTGTTGTCTGTCCTAAACTCTTGCTATCATCTTGATTTATGCTGGTGATAACAGCCAACATAAACGTAGAACTCTCTTTTAGTCTGTCTTAGGCTGTTGATAGCAGGAATAGAAATTATGATCTTTCCATTAAATTTGGCCTCAAGAGGCATATTATAGTTACTTTCACAATCAGCAAATTTTTTGTAATTGTAGTACAATTTTGAAGGATGTTTTTATTCCTGAGTGAGTATGATAGGACTACACCCAGCTTTTACCTTGAGGACATGGTTAAAACTTTGGAGGGAAGTATTGACAGGACTACAACTGTTATGTGGGTGTACACTACGAAGGGCTGTATAGGTATTGGCCCTTTCCCATGTTTATCATGCATGACCTCCCTTTATCGGGAGAAGCTGCTACTAGGAATAGATTGCTCAGGAATATGATCATACCGGGTTTCTTCACATACTAAGCTCTTGGCTCCATATTCCTAAAGTTCTAAAGCTTTGATAGCTAACTCTTACTGCAAACTATTTCTAGTTCTCGTCACTCTGTTCTTTTCCTTCATCCTCAATGCTTCAATTTTGGAGGGAGAATCATATGTTAAGAATGCATGATGTTTCCAAGCTATCATATACTTTCTAGTCCATGCACTATAGCTTTACTATGAGCTTAATGTGGCTTGTGTTTGCTAATTATATGCTAGAAATTTATGGATGTGAAATCATCATAAATCCTTGCTAGTTATCAAAAGCTACAAAAATGCCTGAATTGTGTTTTATTATGTTTGTTCTTTGTAGTTAAACAGTCTGTCTTCTCTTAAGGAAGACAGATTTCTTGCATTAATTTACTTTTGAGGGAACTGGGAGGGCAAATTAGTTTTGCCTGGGGTTTTGTTGTATTTATTTAATTGTCAGCAACATTTTTAAAGGGTTTTGATCTTATTTATTAAATGTTCTTTGGGAAAAGTTATTCTCTAACCGTCACATATTGATCTCATTCTCTATACCTAGTTCACCTTTTCAAGAACACTAATTATTTTTCAACTATTAGGGATGACCTTTTATTCCGGGAAACAACCTGTTTGCAATTATGTAAAGGTAAAGTTGCGTTCAAAGATTTCCCTCAGCCCACCCTCACTAGTCGGGCTTTAATGGGGAGTGTTTTTTTTTTTTTAGGGATGACCTTTTATTGTCGGTAAGCTACGATGTTATGTTAAGAAGATTCAGCATTGGTTGGACTTGAATGTTTTCTTACAGCCAGTAACACTCGGAAGCTTCGAGAGGCAATAGTGACATTAAAGAATGAAAAGGAAATGTCACACATGACCATCCACTATTTCATTTTTGAGCTTCATTAGAATTCTAGTGTCACACATGTCTACTGCAAAATGAAACTTATTGATACAATTTTCATTTTTATTAGTATTCTAGTCTCACGCCTAACTATTTCAGTTACATCATACTGAAATTGTATTCCTGAGAAATTTGTTATCTCCCCCGTGACTACAGGAAAATCATATCGAAATGTTTATCCCCCCCGACTTGCCTTTTCCTATTTCTATTATTCCCTTTCTTTTTCCCTTTTCTTTGGGAGTAGGGTTCAATGAAATTCCATGTCTATTGTTAATATCTTATGCTTTCAGTTAGAATGCTATTTTCCATGTGAGGATGAATATATATATATATATATATATATATATATATATATCTTGTTTACTATTTAGGAGCATCAACTTGAAAAAAAGAATACAAAAAATTCACATTTTTAAAATGAGAATGGTACATAATTGTATTACATTTTGGACTCAAATAAGGATTGGGAAAATGAGAAAAGAATTCTTTCTTTATCTCCTTATCTCCCATAAAATTATCATATAAATGAAAAAAGTATACGTATTCCTTTTATAGAAGTTGGAAATCACCCATTGTTTTCATTTTTGTGATACACAGGCAAACTAATGAAAACGGAAGCAGAGTACAGTGAACTTCCTTGGGATATACTTGATATCATTTCCAAAAAACTAGATTTTGACGACCTCTTTCAATTTGCTGGGGTGTGCAAGAACTGGAGGACATTTCATAAAGTTTTCTGGAGAAATTTCATGTCGTCCCAAGCGCCGCTGCTTGTTCTAACTTCTTCTTATGCTAAGAAAGCTTATTTTTTCGTTAGCATGTCTGAACAAAAAGTTTATCGCTCGAAGCTAGATTACTTCTGGGGATTGTCCTATGCGGGGTCATCGAGTTGTTATTTAATTCTGGCAGGTACTGATAAACTTCTGCTAATGAATCCTTTTACAAGAACAAAGAAGGTAATCAGTACATTGGCTATTCAAGATAATTTACTGTATATGTATTGCCAGCCCTTAATTGCTTTTGCCAAAGGTTCTGAAGAATTTATCATAGTGGTTTTGTGTAAACACTCTTACAGTTTGCATATCTATCAGTCTCGACATTCTTGTTGGGTTACTTATTCAGCATGGGGAAAACCATGGATGGTTGTGGACTATGTGGTTTTGAATAATACTCTGTATGCTATCACTGAGGAGGGCAAGATAGGGGTATTGAGCCTGAATTCTGTAAGTTTGAGATTTCTAGAACTGAAGAATACTCCAAAGTTTACTTTCTTTTGGCTTAACTTGGTTAGTTGTGATGGTCAGCTTTTAGTAGTTCATCATATACCCATGTCAAAATTTGATGTGTACAAGATAGACTTGTGTGCCATGGAATGGATCAGGTTGGAAACTTTGGGTGACCTTGCATTGTTTTATGGTGATGACACAAACTGCTATGCTTTGAGCAACCCGGGTAGGTGGGGCTATCAAAGCGACTCTGTGTATTACATTTCATCTGCATTACGAGAATGCAAAGTATATTCACTGAATAATAAACTGAAGGAATGCATTGTACCTAGTGGACTTCGACCTCCTCCTAGATCAAGATTCTACTGGTTGGATTGGTATTTTCCACATGTACGTGATGAGGTTGATTATTCTCTGGTGGAGTAACCTGAACTTGATACCATGCAGCATGTTACCTTTTGTTTGGACCTTGTTCTTTATATTTCCCTTTTTTGTGCTAATAGTTTTATTAGACTGGAGAAACTTGTGATGGTTATCTAGTTTCCAAAACTTCGCTCAGGTTGTTATTTGACTTTGGATGGTTGTTTACCTTGTAATTTCCTGGTTTATCTTACTGTTCTCTGAAGATTTTAGGCTCGACTAAGCCAATTAATTATGTTTTATAAATTTCATTCAAAGTCTTAATTGGATATTATGATATTTAATTGAGATGTCTGAATTAAAGTCATTTGAGAATTTGATTGAAGACATCGTTGTTTTTGTATGTAAACTGTAGATCTTATATAAGACTGATATTGCCCTTTATGAGAATTTTTTTCTTTTCTTTTTTCAATTTGAACCTTATTTTTCTATTTATAAAAGTAAATAATAATGTCTTGGTATAAAATTTCATTTTATTTTTAGTTCATAAAAGTAGAAATACTTGGCATGCATATACCACCAATTAAGTGAATGAATGTGTTTATCATTAATAATCATGTTTAAATTATATAAAAATGAAACTATGATTTACTGGAAAATTTTGTTTGTTTTCGTTTTTTCGTTTACGTTGGTGGATTCATTCTAAGAGCATAATTTTCATTACGGTAAATAATAGACGTAAAAGAAAAAGAACTTGGCTTGTGTCTCGAAAATATTAATGTTTTAATTATATTTTTATTCAATTTTTTTTCTTAAATTGCATTTTTTGAAACATGTGTAGTTGATATTGTTTTTATTGTAATTATAATATAGTCATTATGTTCTTAATTTTCTTTTTTTCAAAAATATATAAAATTATTATAGATTTATTTTTTAAAAAAATCCTCATGTTAAATTATCCACGATTAATGTGGCCAATAACTAAGGTCATCTATTCGATACAAATATGCACAAAATTATATGTATTTTCATTTCTTATCCACGATTAACGTGCTACCAACTGATCGGCTTTAACAATTGCTGTATTTTCATTCTTTACCACAAACTTTATGGCGAGTTGATCGATAGACAAAAAGATTTTGAATTTCTTCATGAATGACTTGCCGAGTATAACATTGTAGATAGACAGAATATCCATCACTGCAAAAAACAAAGAGACCATTTTGTGAGTAGGCGCCCTGCCTAATGTCAATCTCAAATTAATGTAGCCCACTAACTTAATTATGTCTCTTGTAAATGCTATTAGTCTGCTCCATAAGGCTCCAACTTGTCATGATCCAGATCCAATTGTATGAAAACGTCCCAAAAGATAATGTCCATCGAACTTTCTAGGTCGACCAACATCTTATCTACCTGATAATTTGCTAAGAGCCCGGAGATGTTAATACATTTTACATCTAAAGTATTGTCATTTCATCACCTTAATTTTTTTTTTATGATTTGATCTTTCAGAATATTATTTTTCCCATAAACTAATTAACTTTTGTTCATGTTATCACGTGGTCACAAGTGACATGAGCATGTAACTTTTGTTGTTTTCGAGTTTGTTTATTTATTTATGGGAAAAAAGTTTCTGATGTAACTTTAGATAATTTTATCTAATGTTCATCGAAATGACGTTATTTTGGAGTTGAAAAATTAAAAAATTAGAGTGATAAAGACTATTATAACCCTGAAATAAATTAAAATTACAAAAATACTATGATTTCCGTCCCAAAAAGACATCGTTTTGATGAACATTAGATAAAGTTATTTATAGTAACATCAGAAAAAACAAACCCTTTATTTATGTATTAAAAAAGTATGATGTTTTTTAATCAAAGGCAAAATTTCTCTTCTTCTAAGTCTCTTTAATATTAACCTCGAAAGGTAGCTCAGTTGGCAACTGAGATCTCAAGGGTTTGCTTGAGTCAGGGGTTCAAATCCTGCCTCAAATAAATTCTTGGAAAATCTTTGGACATCAAAGGACATGCCTCTCTCCTCGAATTGAGGATTAGTCTTATTCTTCCTCCCGTAGCGAAGCTCAATGCACCCGCCCTTCCAATGAAGGGCTAGCCTTCAAGGCCGTACCCTGAGGACAAGGTGAGGTGACCGGAGGAGGTTGAATGAGGATACCTCCATATTAATACTAAGCCTCTTTAATATTATTACCACGATTGTGGACGAAAATGTTTAAGATATTAAATATTTAAGAAAATGATAAATATTATATGTTTGATTGATTTTTGTTGAATAGTAATAAGTGATTTATTATTTTTTATTTTTTAAAATTGATATAAATTTTTATATATATTTAAATATATTTATGATTTTTTTAATATTATAAATTTATATTAAACCCTTTTTTTAATATTAAAAGGGTTTAGTGCTCAATCTACTAAACCCTTTTTTTAATATTAACAGGGTTTAGTGCTCGATCGTAGAGGCACAAAGAAAAGCAGTGAGAGGTAAAGAGAAAGTAGGGAATGGGGCAAGGGAATGAAGACGATGCCAACCAATATCATCGTTCTGAGGGCCTGCTTCGGACTTCATCATCAAGTATGGTTTTACGTTCCTATCTACGCATCTTTTAATTTAATTAATTTTGATGTTGTATGCATTGTGTTTTCATATCACCGTGTGTATGTATGTTCTAAATTGATTCATATGAACTCTTAACATGTTGTTTTATTATCTTTATGATTTTTCTGAAGACTCTTTTTCGCTATTTGATAAAAAAATATTGTGGCTCCGTGCACGAGACTTTCTCTGTTTTGAGATCTAAGGCTGTTCCTGCAGTTGGAACTATTACCATTAGGTCACAAGATAGCCAGCCTTACCATTGCTCCAATGCTTGTTGTTAGAAGTCCCACGTTGATTATATAGACAATTGGTGTGGGATTTATGTGGGATTTATAAGCCCTTAGGCAATCCCACCCTTTGAGTTTGCTTTTGGGATGGTGATTCCATGAGTCCCTATCATTTGATGCTCTAGTTGAGAATTGAATCGTGGAAAGGGCTACCTGATAGGTGGGTGAAGCCGCCCAAAGGAGGAAAGGACTACCACCAGGTCAGAGTAAAAGTTGCCGTGAATGTCGGGCATTAAAGGGGGTGGCAATGTTCGGAGTCCCACATTGATTATATAGACAATTAGTGTGGGATTTATAAGGCCTTGGGCACTCCCACCCTTTGAGTCAGCTTTTGGGGTGGTGATCCCATGGGTCCTTATCACTTGCCCTCTATCTTTCGATTTTTGATATCTAATTTAAAATTTTGTAAGTTCGAATGTTTCATGTTTGGTTGGGATGAGGGAATTTACTTGTAAATTTGAAATGTTGTTACTTTTCAAGGTTCGTGTTCTTTGTCATATTGGGAGAAATTAATGTAATGTATCCTAATTTAGAGACTAATATTGATGATATTTTGCATGATTAAGGGATTAAAATGTGACACTTTGCATTATTCAGGAGCTAATTTGATGTGAAAAATCTTTAGGAGATCAAGGTGATGACACTTTGTATTATTAAGAAATTAAATTGATGACAAAAATATGTCAAGTACTAAACTCATGATGCTCGCATCTTTGGAGGACGAAAATGTGGGTTTATTTTTGAGATTTAATAAGTTTTCATGTTCATCCGTTTTATTATGTCCATGGGAAACTAATGCAGCCTAGTATTGCCCGTGGGAGCTTCATGTTGTTTTAACAGTCCTTTCAAGTATTTCTATCATTTCTCATATTAAAAGTGTTTTTCTTTTCGTAGTTTACAAGTTTGATGCGTGTCCAAACGATCATGTAGAGGGTTGAGGTGGAGCCAAGAACTTGAAATCGGGATTGCTAAGCATTAAATTGCATGAAAAAATTTCAGAAAAAAAAATCTAAAATGAAGGTGTTGAGGCTTGGAGCTGGCATTACCCCATCTGCTAGCCCCTTTGCATCTGTCTTTGATTGACTTCTTTTGTAACTATGGTATCCTTACAATATCTCTTGTTTAGTGTGTGTGTGTGTTAGAAAGGGTAGAGATGCTAATCCTTCCTGAACTTTTATGGCGGTGTAATAGGGGTTCGTGTCTGTTCTAAACTCTTGCCATCATCTTGATTTATGTTGGTGATAGCAGCCAACATAAATGTTGAACTCTCTTTTAGTCTGTCTGAGGCTATTGACGACAGGAATAAAAATTATGATCTTTCCACTAAATTTGGCCTCAAAAGGCATACTATGGTTAACTTCACAATAAGAAAATTGTTTGTAATTGTAGTACAATTTTGAAGGTTTTTTTATTCCTGTATGAAAGATTTGGAGGAAAATATTGACAGGACTACAACTGTTATGTGGGTGTACACTACGTAGGGCCTTATAGGATTGGCCCCTTCCCTTGTTAATCATGCTTGACTCCCCTTTATCGGGAGAAGCTGTTAATTAGGAATAGATTGCTAAGAAATATGATCTTACCGGGTTTCTTCACATACTCAGCTCTTGGCACCATATTCCTCAAGTTCTAAAGCTTTGGAAGCTAACTCCTACTGCACACAATTTCTAGTTCTCGTCACTGTTCTTTTCCTTCTTCCTCAATGTTTCAATTTTTGAGGGAGAATCATATGTTAAGAGTGCTTGATGTTTCCAAGATGTGGTATACTTTCCAGTCCATGCACTATAGCTCGTCTATGATCTTAATGTGGGTTGTGTTTGGTAATTATATGCTAGAAATTTATGGATGTGAAATCATCATAAATCCTTGCTACTTATCAAAAGCTACAGAAATGCCTGAATTGTGTTTCATTATGTTTATTCTTTGTAGTTAAACAGTCTATCTTCTCTTAAGGAAGGCAGATTTCTTGCATTAATTTACTTTTGAGGGAACTGGGAGGGTGAATTATTTTTGCCTGGGGTCAGCAACATTTTTAAAGAGTGACATGACTATCCACTATTTCACTTTTCAGTTTCATTAGAATTCTAGTGTCATGCATGACTACTGGAAAATGAAACTTATTGAATACAATTTTCAGTTTCATTAGTATTCTAGTGTCACGCCTACCAATTTCAGTTACATCATACTCAAATTGTATTCCTGATAGATTTGTTTTCTCTCGCATGAAAATCATATGGAGATGTTTATTCCCCACGACTTGCCTTTTCCTATTTCTTTGGGAGTAGGGTTTAATGAAATTCCATGTCTATTGTTAATATCTTATGCTTTCAGTTAGAATGCTATTTTCCATGTGAGGATGTATATATATATATATATATATATATATATATATATATATATATATATTGTTTACTATTTAGGAGCATCAACTTGAAAAAAAGAATACAAAAAATTCACATTTTTAAAATGAGAATGGTATATAATTGTATTACATTCTGGACTCAAATATTGATTGGGAAAATGAGAAAAGAATTATTTCTTTATCTCCTTATCTCCCATAAAATTATCATATAAATGAAAAAAAGTATACGTATTCCTTTTATAGAAGTTGGAAATCACCCATTGTTTTCATTTTTGTGATACGCAGGCAAACGAATAAAAAAGGAAGCAGATAATGGTCAACATCCTTGGGATATACTTGATATAATTTACGAGAAACTAAATTTTGATGACCTCTTTCAATGTGCTAGAGTGTGCAAGAACTGGAGGACATTTCATAAAATTAAGTGTGCTAGAATTTTGATGACCTCTTTCAATGTGCTAGAGTGTGCTAGAGTGAAAATGCAGTTTGACATTGAGAAATTTAATGTCATCCCAAGCACCATTGCTTGTTCTAACTTATTTATGTGCTAAGAAGACTTATTTTTCCATTCGCATATCTGAACAAAAAGTTTATCACTCGAAGCTAGATTACTTCCGGGGATTATCCTATTCGGGGTCATCTAGTGGTTATTTAATTATGGTGGGTGCTGATAAACTTCTGCTAATGAATCCTTTTACAAGAATAAAGAAGGTATTCAGTAAGTTAGCCATTCAAGATAATTTACAGTATATGTATTGCCGACTTGCTTTTGCCAAAGGTTCTGAGGAATTTATCATAGTGGTTTTGTGTAAAAAGTTGTACAGTTTGCATATCTATCAGTCTAGACATTCTTGTTGGGTTACTTATTCAACAAGGGGAAATCCATGGAAGGTTGAGGACTTTGTGGTTTTGAATAATACTCTGTATGCTATCACTGAGGATGCCAAGATAGGGGTATTGAGCCTGAATTCTGTAAGTTTGAGATTTCTAGAACTGAAGAATACTCCCAATGTAACATCCTCAAGGCTTAAATTGCTTAGTTGTGATGGTCAGCTTTTAGTGGTTCATCATGTTAATCTGTCAAAATTTGATGTGTACAAGATAGACTTGTGTGCCATGGAATGGATCAGGTTGGAAACTTTGGGTGACCTTGCATTGTTTTATGGTGATGACTCAAACTGCTATGCATTCAGCAACCCGGGTAGGTGGGGATATGAAAGCAACTATCTGTATTACATTTCAACTGTATTCCGAGGTTGCATAGTATGTTCCCTGAATAATGAACTGAAAGAAGGCATTGTACCTAGTGGACTTCGACCTCCTACTGAGTCAAGATTCGACTGGTTGGATTGGTATTTTCCCAATGTACGTGATGAGGTTGATTATGCTCTGGTTGAGTAACCTGTAACTTGATACCATGCAGCATGTGACCTTTTGTTTGGACCTTGTTCTTTATATTTCCCTTTCGTGTGCTAATAGTTTTATTAGACTGGAGAAACTTGTGATGGTATCTAGTTTCCAAAACTTCGCTCAGGTTGTTATTTGACTTTGGATGGTTGTTTACCTTGTAATTTCCTGGTTTATCTTATATGTTCTCTGAAGATTTTAGGCTCGAATAAGCCAGTTAATTATGTTTTATAAATTTCATTCAAAGTCTTAATTGGGTATTATGTTATTTAATTGAAATGTCTGAATTAAAGTCATTTGAGAATTTAATTGAAGACATCGTTGTTTATGTATGTAAACTTTAGGTCTGATATAAGACATTGATATTGCCCTTTATGAAGTTTTTTTTTTTTTTTTTTTTTTTTCAATTTCCGTTTCTTCTAATTCTTTTTTTACAATTTGAACTTTATTTTTCTATTTATCAAAGTAAATACTAATATCTTTGTATAAATTTGTATCTTATTTTTAGCCCAAAAAAGTAAAAAAATGCAAGTTTTTTCTTTACATAAATTAACAATTTTTTTTTTTTTTTTTTGCAAAGCAGCGTTCACTAAAATTACCAGATTTTAAATATTTTTTTGAGAATTTTATTGACCTCGAGTAAATAATTTTCACAAATCACATGATTTTTTTGTAGTGTTCTTTTTTCATCGACGTCTATTATTTACCGTGTAAATTCATTTATGATTATCAAAAGAAAAATTCATTTATGAAAATTGTGCTCTTAGAATGAATCCACCAACGCAAAGGATATATATATATATATATATATATATATATATATATATATATATATATATATATATATATATATATATAGTGTGATACCATTGATCTTTTTTGATCTAACAGCTCTCAGATGAGGTGTCAAACTTCAAATTTGACACCGGTGTCAAAAAATCCTACCTCACATATATATATATATATATATATATATATATATATAGATATATATAGAGGCGGGATCCTGTGAGACCGGTGTCAAAGAAAAAGTTTGACACCTCATCTGTGAACCGTTAGATTAAAAAATATAACGGTTTAGAAAAAGTTTGACACCTCATCTGGGAACCGTTAGATTAAAAAATATATAGAGACAGGATCCTTTTTCAGATGAGGTGTCAAACTTTTTCTTTGACACCGATGTCAAAGGATCCTGCCTCATATATATATATATATATATAGGTTTAATATTTCTAAATAGGGTATCTATATTTATTCTCAAAACGACGTCGTTTTGGATTGAAAAATTAAAAAATTATAATAAAAAAAACTATTATAACTTAAAAAAATCACATTCCGCTTCAAAACTATCGTTTTGAAGTCAATCTAAATAAGTTATCTAACCAACCCATATATATATTGAATATGTGAAAGATGGAAAGAAAAAAGGCCATGCAGAGGAGCAGAAACTATAAAATTTCACTGATATTTTCTTTGATTTTTTATTTTCCACCACCATGTCCGAGAATTCTCCAGGTTCTCAATTCTACTCCAAAATGGGGTTTTCCTTCTCCTTTAAGTGCACAAACGATACTGAACTTTTCTACTATTCGAGAAATGTTCCTGAATGAAACACAAAGCCATGGTGGTACCTGTAATCCTTAGCATCATGATGGTGTTGCAAAATCTGCATTACAATAGAAGGTATGTACCTTAATTGGTATATTATTCAGTGAACAATTTTTCTTTTATTTCATGTGGGATTTAATTTGCTGCCTACATTATGTTTGAGGAAAGTTCAGAATGAATCAAGCTTGTTAATTACTAACAGAGGAATATTACTCTCATACGAGAGAAAAATTCTATTATACGCTCTCTCCTCTAATTTGTGAGTGAACCAGTTTAGCAAGAGAGTAATATTCCCCTTACTAACAACCCTTTTGTTATTACAAATCTTGCTTCTTGAAGTTATAATCTTTTTTTTTTTCATGGGATTCAGTCATTTATTGTTAAGTTGCACTTCAGATTTAGGGCAGAAATATTAGAGTAACGAAGAAGGAATGGTCAGACAATTTTGGGTAGTTTCATTAACAGTACTCTGTTAGTGCATCAAATTGGTGGTGTATGAACAGATGAAGTAATCTCTTATAATCAAGGAATGTCTAGCCCATTTCATATTTCCTAATATTTTTTATTCTAACCCTACCCCCTCAAAAAGAAGAGAAAAATAATTTCCAAATTGTAGTTTCAGATTATCAAGCGGGACTAGGGCTGGGTGAAAACCCTCTTATTTAGGGTTTTGCTGCTCAAAGCGCTGGAGCATTTACAGCCTTTTTAACTATTTTTCCTATTTAAATTTGAAAGTTATCCTCATCTCAATGCTGTTTCATTGATCTAAAGGATAGAAACCTTGAGTGCTTATGTGCTCGACTTTATTTTTAGCAAATTCCTTTTTTTTTAATACAATTACCAGTTTAATGCTTGAAATGTAATTCCATTTGGGTTTTCTAGAATAATTTATGATTTACAAGTGAATTTCAAGTGACTTGTTGCAAGGTCTCTGCTAGTGTTGTTGTGTTTACCTTAGAAACTTTAAAATATGAGCAATTTGTTTGAGAGAAAACTTCCATTGACTCGATTTTTGTACGGATATATAACAGTGTTTTAACTTTCATGAAATCTCATAATATTAACCTTACTGGTAATTTCATATGGAATTTGTTTATGTACATTAATGTTTATAATTACAAATCTAATCTATATTTGCCACCGATTTTTCATTATAAGCTAAATTGTATTCAATGCTTTTATAAAAAATAAAGTAGTTTCGTATCGTTCTCTAAAAGATGTTATAAACTTAATGCTTTGTTTGTCTTTAAGCAAGTGTTTTAAAGAAAAAATAAAGTCATAGTTGTGTTTTTGGTTGGTTTCATATTATTTATCTAACTTTCCATGATAAATTTCCATGCAGAAATAAATATTCGCATTTGTTTAATGGATATTTAAAGTCTTCTTCTAATTTCCAAGCAAGAAACTTGCATTAATGGTTGGGGCATTGCAAGTCTTGTGATAGACAAGTGTGCACCCAAGGGAGTTAAGTAATATTTGTGTTTTTGGGTAGGATTGCAGAAGTAATTATGATCAATAATTACTTATGGTGTTTGGCAAAATTGAATTTTACTCAACATATGGGTGTGAATTACTCTTTCAAATTGAAAATTGAATTTTTATATGTTGCCTATTTCTAATTGAGCCAAACAGGACCTAGTGATATATTTATTTATTTTTTTAACTTCTAAAACATATATAATTTGGTGGGTATATTCAATGCAATAAAATTGCAAATGATGTGTTTATTGATGAGACTAAGGGTGGTGTTAACAAATTGGAATTATGGTTTAGCACACTGGAGTCTAAAAGACCTACATTAAGTTGGAGAAAGACTGAATACTTGGAGTGTGAGTTTGCCACGACAAAAGGAGGAGATCATGAATTTGTGAAAATGATAGGGCAGGAGGTACCCAATAAAGGTGCATTTAGATGTCTGGGATGAATCTTTCGAAAGGAGGTGATTGATAAAGATGTAAAGCCATAGAATCAAAGTAGGTTGGATCAAATGGCGTGCATCGAGATTTTTATGTGATCGTAAAATCCCACTTAGGCTAGAAGAAAAATATGATAGAACAACAGTATGGTCTGTAATGTTATAAAAAGTTTAATGTTGGCTAGCACAGAAATAACATGAGCATAATATCGGAGTAGAGGAAATGAAGATGTTAAGATTGATCTGTGATCATACCAGGTTAGATAATATACGAAATGAAGATATTTAACAAAAAGTTGTAGTAGTATCGGTGGATGAAAAAAATAAGAGAACATAGATTGAGAAGGTTTGGGCATGTTCTTTGAAGACCATTAGATGCTCTTGTAAAAGAATTTTGTTACCGAGATTGTGACTTAAATAAAGGAAGAGATTGACAGAAGCTTACTTTGTGGAAAGTAGTAAATTAAGTTTTAATGAAGTGGAAATGCATTGGAGTGGGTTTAGATATTATTCTTTTTTATTATTATTCATTTTTCCTTAATTTGTTCATGCTTTTAGATGGGTTCATCCAGTGTCGTCGTGAACTTGTTTTGGATAAAGGTGATGTTGAAATTAATAAAATGCAATCGAAGTCACTGAAGCAAGTACCTGAATTAATCAATGCATCTTGCTCAGCCCTGCAGCGAAGTACACACTGTTAACACTTTAGGCATGCCATTCTGGTTCTGGTGTGGCATTCCTTTCTGGTTCAGGTGAGGCATGACTTTTATCTCTTTATTGTTTGCCTGTTAAAAAAAATTCAAAAATCACAATTACAAAATAGTTGCCCTACTAGTGATGCTGAAGAGGGTAAGACAGTCAGCAAGGAAGCATGGACAATTACAACATAGTTGCCACACTAGTGTCGGACTTAAACATGTCATGTTGGATACTCCTCAAACAAACACCCGTTGGATACTTCTAGTCTACAAACTACCGTATTTTAATGTTATTTTTGAATCATTGTTAGAATTATTATACTAAATCTGAAAGATTTGTGCTAGTAAAGAGTAATGACTATGTTATAATGCTTATATTTTAAACAAAGTTGATTGTGTTAGAATTTGTATTTATCTCATAAATATATATCTTTAAGTTTTGTGTTTTTATGTTGATCATAGATTAATTTTATATGTTAACTGTGTTGCGTCCTTTTTTTTTTTCTTTAGAATTTTCCATGTCCCTGTGTGAGTGTTGTGTCATATGCATGCTTCCTACATAGTAAGACTAAAATAAATACATAAAATAACTCTCCATTATACCCCGACTAGCGAGGGTGGGGTGCCTACATAGTCAGACTATTAAAAAAATAATTAGAGTCCAATCTTCTAAATTCTTAGCTGTAAGCATTTTACTGTTTTGTAAGTTGAACATTTTTAATATTTTATTTTTACTATGAATGTTATGCTTGATTAATTAATTTGTATGGCCAATTTATGCAAAATAGTCAAATAGTTTACTACTGTTTATTTATTTTTTTATTTTAATGGTAATGCCTTTCTTTATTGAGATATATGTTTCTTTGAACTTTGCTCTTCATCTCGAGTATATCCAAATTTTAAAATTTATTAATACTCGAACAGTCGAACTCAATGGCAAATGTGTGTAAGATTTGATTCCAAACAATACTCACATTTATGACATTGGCAAATGTGTTTTTGTTTCCAAATTTTGAAATTTTCGATATTTGGAACCAATAGAAATCCACTTTGTCGTGTTTTCCTGTATTTTATTTAGAGTGTCAAATATGCCCCCCCCCCCTTTTATAAAAGGGTTTAGGGCTCAATTGTAGAGGCACAAAGAAAGGCAGGGAGAGGTGGTGGGTGAAATGAAAGTAGGGAATGGGTCAAGGAAATGAAGACGATGCCAGCCAACATAATCGTTCTGAGGGCCTGCCTCCAACTTCATCATCAAGTATGGTTTTACGTGCCTATCTACCCATCTTTTAATTTATTTAATTTTCATGGTGTTTGCATCGTGTTTTCGTATCACCGTCTGTATATATGTTCTAAATTGATGCATATGAACTCTTAACAGGGTTTTTTTATTATCTTTATGATTTATCTGAATACTTTTTTGGCTATTTAATTAAAAAGTATTGTGGCTCAGTGCACGAGACTTCTACTGTTGTGGGGCCTAAGGCTGTTTCCGCAGCTAGAACCATGACCGTTAGGTCACAAGATTGCAGCCTTACCATTGCGGCAATGCTTGCCCTGTGTTTTTCCATTTTCGATATCTAAGTTAAATTTTGGAAGTTTTAAATTTTCATGTTTGTCGGGGATGAGGGAATTTACTTGTAAATTTGAAATGTTGTAAGTTTTCACAGTTCATGTTCTCCCTCCGTTGGTCTATTCTTTTAGATAAAGAAACAAGTGAATGAGAAATTGAGATTGATTTTAAAATTCACGAGTTATTTAGATACCTAATAAGAATTTGAGTGAACCCCGGAAAAGATATATGCATCATCATTTTAGTCCTCAAAAATTTCTTGTCATCGATTTAGTTCCTTAATTATACAGGGTCATTAAAAATGGTCCTCGTTTATCGGATTGAGAGAAATTAATGTAATAGTATCCTAATTTAGAGACTAATATTGATGATATTTTGCATGATTAAGGGATTGAACTCTGACACTGCATTATTTAGGATCTAATTTGATGTGAAATATCTTTAGGGGATCAAGGTGATGACACTTTGCGTTATTGCAGAATTAAATTGATGACAAACATATGCCAAGTACTAAACTAATGACGCTCGTATCTTTGGAGGATGATAGTGTAGGTTTATTTTTGAATGATGTTATGCAAAGTAAGACGGTTAGAGGAAAGAAGATGCTATAATAGAATAGTGTAACCATAGAGTTGTTATAGGAGAGGAGGGCACTAGGGAATTTTCTTTTAGGAAAAATTCAGTAATGGTAACAAGGGGGAAAGGAGGAACTATGGAGGTTCTCTGGGGTATCATTTGTAGCGTAGTTCTCTGCTGTCAAGGCTTTCTCCAGCCTTTGTTATCCTGTTTTCTGTCATTGTATGGAGCCTGCTTCCATTATTGTTTTCATCAATTCTAATTTAATAAAATTAGGTTTCATCATTGGTATCAAAGCTTCAAATCCTTGGAGCGTTGAATGGCACAAACGAGGATAAAGGGAACAATAAAATAGGTAGAAAGTAGAGTGACTCAATTGAGCGCCAGCTGTGTGAGACTATCCTAGCTTACCTAGATAGAGTTGATCAAAGAGAGATGGGGTCTGGTACAGGGGAGCAGAATACAAGTAGAGATCGTGGATATGAAACCATGGGAGAACGGCAAGGGAAGGGGATCAAATGAGGCTTCTTGAGATCCTCTATTTCACAAGAGATGATCATTACGAGTGGATCTATAGAGCTGAAAGATATTTCAGGATCAATCAAGTACCATTGGAGGAGCAGGTTGAAGCAGTGTCGATTTATTTGAGGGAAAGGCCTTGAACTAGTTTCAGTGGTGGGAGTCTAGAAATCCTACTATCGATTGGAATTAGTTTTGGGTCGCTCTGTTGTAGAGGTTTCACATATCAGCCTCAGGGAACCTATACGAGGCTCACATATGCTTACGACAGGTGGGAACAGTCTCTGATTACAGAGAGAGCTTTGAGATGTTTGTTGTCCCTTTGCATGATGCTGATGAAGAAGTATTGAAAGCCGCATTTCGGAATAGGTTGAATGAAGAAATTTGCGTGGAGGTTAGACTACATTCAGTGACAACAATGGGGGAGATAATGACCTTGGCTCAACGTGTGGAGGAGAAGCAGACGATTACAAGGAAGATTAGTAATTTTGCGAGCCGAAGCGGGTCATGAACAAATGGTCTAGAGCAGGATATCATTTACGGGCTGCTTTGACGACTCAAATTGCAAACCAGAATGGAGAAACTTTGGGAGTTATAGGTTTAGGAATTCGAAATGGGCCCAATAACTCGTATCACAGAGGATCCACTAATACTGGAAGAAGCAATAGAGGAGATGGGATTAATGTATTTCAAACGCGGCCAAGTGATCCACCCATCACGCAAGGATCAATAGTGACATAATAGATCGAAGGGCAAGGGTCAACACGGGGAGCTTCGATTGGGCCTTCTAAAGGAAACGACAGGAGAGGCGTAAGATTCTAGCGGCTGTCGTCGGAGAACATGGTTGACTGTTGACGACAAAACATATGTTTCCGGTGTGATGCACTGTTCTCTCCGAACCATATTTGTACTAACCCGCATCTTCACATGTTGCTATTTGGGATAGAGAGCGATGGTGAGGGTGAGGGATTGGACGAGGAGGCCAAGGCGTGGGTAGTCAATTAGGAGGAAGGACCCATGCGGTTTAGCGTACATAGTGTAGTGGGAGTCACATCCAACAGGTCATTGAAGGTATAGGGGGAGATTCGAGGAATGAGAGTCATGGTGTTTGTAGACTCTGGAGCTTCCCCCAATTTTCTAAACGCTCAGGCGTGAAAAAGCTTGAGCTTCCTATAGATGAATCTCAAGAGCGCCTTTCGAAGCTTTATATGGAAGAGAGCCTTCATTACTAATTCAGTTTGAAAATGGCAGCACACAAATAGAAGCAGTGGATCAGCTTTTGTTGACTAGGGACACCATTTAAGCTGAACTCAAACAAAATCTATGTAGAACCCAAGAGCGCATGAATATCTAGGCGGATAAATCCCGAAGGGAGGTAGAATATGCAGTAGGAGATATGGTATTTCTAAAAATCCAGTCATACAAATTCAAGTCTTTGGCAAGACAACTCAATCAGAAGTTAAATCCCAGATTTTATGGCCCATTTGAGATTATTAGAAGAGTGAGTTTTGTTGCTTATCATCTACGACTTCCTGCTTATGCAAAAGTCCATCCTATTTATCATGTGTCACAAGTTAAAAAAGCCTTGAATCCAGCCGTACCAGTGTTGGGTTTTCCTGAATTTTTGACTGAAGCTATGCAGTTACAGGTCCAACCCAGTGAGATAATTGATGGCTGCAGATTACTGGATGGTAAGGTGGAAATACTGGTCAAGTGGGCAGACTTACCTGACTGTGAAAACTCTTGGAAGGATTTTGGAAGCCTTCAAGGAGCAATTCCCGTCTACTGTCCTTGAGGGCATGGTATAAGTTTGGGAGGGGGGGTATTGGGGAGGCTTTAAAGGATGTTTATAAAAGGAAACAACAGAAGAAGGAGAGAGCAGTGAGAAGCAAATCAGATTATGAAGTGCAAACCAGTCCAACAAACCCAAAGCCTGTGGTGCAAGCAATTCAACAGGGAGTCAGCCCAATGCGGCGAATAGAAGGTTCAGCAGAGCATAGCACACGGGGGTGAGAGTAAGATTCAACAAAGCATGGAAAGTAAGGGGATTAAGGTGGTTAGAGGAGAGAGAATGTTACAACAAAATGGTGTAACTTGTTATAGGAGAGGAGGGTAAGGGGGAATTTTCTTTTAGGTAGAGTTCAGTAATGGTAATAGGGGAAAGGAGGAACTGTGAAGGTCCTCTAAGGTATCATTTGTAGTGTAGTTCTCTGCTACCAAGGCTGTCTCCAGCCTTTGTTTTCCTATTTTCTGTCATCGAGTCATTGTAAGGAGCTTGCCTCCCTTACTATTTCATCAATTCCAGTTTAGTAAAATTGGGGTTCGTCAATATGCTATTTTCCATGTGAGTATGAAAATAGGTATATCTTGTTTACTATTTAGGAGCATCATCTTGAAAAGGGGAAAACAAAATATTCACATTTTTAAAATGAGAATGGTACAAAATTGTATTGCATTTGGACTCTAATATTGTTTGGGAAAATGAGAAAAGAATTCTTTCTTTATCTCCTCATCTCATTTAAATTATCATATAAATGAAAAAAAATTATATGTATTCCTTTTATAGATGTTGGAAATCACCCATGGTTGTCATTTTTGTGATACACAGGCAAACTAATGAAAAGGGAAGCAGAGTACAGTCAACTTCCTTGGGATATACTTGATATCATTTCCAAAAAATTAGAATTTGATGACCTTTTTCAATTTGCTGGAGTGTGCAAGAACTGGAGGACATTTCGTAAAGTTTACTGGAGTAATTTCATGTCATCCGAAGCACCATTGCTTGTTCTAACTTCTTCTTCATATGCTAAGAAAGCTTATTTTTTCGTCAGCATATCTGAACAAAAAGTTTATCGCTCGAAGCTAGATTATTTCTGGGGACTATCCTATTTGGGTTGTTCTAGTGGATATATAATTATGGCTGGTGCCGATACTAAACTTCTGCTAATGAATCCTTTTACAAGAAGAAAGAAGCTAATCAGTACATCAGCCATTCACGGATATCTGCACTATATAAATTGCCAGTCCTTAATTGCTTTTGCCAAAGGTTCTGAAGAATTTATCGTAGTGTTGTGGTGTAAACGCTTTTACAGTTTGCATATCTATCAATCTCGACATTCTTGTTGGGTTACTTATTCAACAGGGGGGAATCCATGGAAGGTTGTGGACTCTGTGGTTTTGAATAATACTCTGTATGCTATTACTGACGAGGCCAAGATAGGGGTATTGAGCCTGAATTCTGCAAGTTTGAGATTTCTAGAACTGAAGAATACTCCCAATGTAACAGCCGCATGGCTTAAGTTGGTTAGTAGTGATGGGCAGCTTTTAGTGGTTCATTATGAACACACGATAAAATTGGATGTGTACAAGATAGACTTGTCTGCCATGGAATGGATCAGGTTGGAAACTTTGGGTGACCTTGCATTGTTTTATGCCAATCGCAGAAGCTGCTATGCATTGAGGAACCCAGGTAAGTGGGGATATGAAAGCAACTTTCTGTATTACATTTCAAATATATCACGACACTGCGAAGTATATTCACTGAATAATAAACTGACAAAATGCATTGTACCAAGTGGACTTCGAGCTTCTCGTAGATCAAGTTTCTACAGGTTGGATTGGTGTTTTCGACATTTACGCAATGAGGTAGATTATTCTCTGGTCGAGTAACCTGTTACTTGACACCAAGCAGCCTGTGACCTTGTGTTTGGACATTGTTCCTTGTATTTCCCTTTTGTGTGCTAAGAGTTTGTTTGACAAGACTGGAGAAACATGTCGTGGTAACTAGTTTCAATAATTTAGCTCAGGTTTTTATTTGACTTTGGATGGTTGTTTACCTGCTAATTTCCTGGTTTATCTTCCTTGTTCTCTGAAGTTTTTAGGCTTGAAAAGTCATTTGACAATTTAATTGAAGACATCGTTTACATGTTTATGTATGTAAAATGTAGGTCTGATCAAAGACAGTGATATTGCACTTTATCATCAAAAAATTTCGTTTCAGTTTCAATTTCAATTTCTTCTAGTATTTTACCATTTTTACGTTATTTTCTAATTTTTAAAGCAAATATTTAATATTTTGTACAATAAAAGTTTTTTTTTAAAACCAAACTAAAAACTTGGCATGCATATACCACCAGTTAATTGTAAGAATGCATTTATCAGTAATAACCGTGTTCAAAGATGGGCAACTGAGAGAATGTTTAAAGATGACAAACTCCATAACTACTTTAAAAATGCATATCTTATTGACATTTTGGAGATTGGTGATGCAACTCTTCTCTTAGTGGGTTTGATAGAGAATATTTTTATTATCGGGAATCACGATTTTCAGGAATATGATGAGAAAAAGAGTTTTCTAAGAATGTTATCAAAAAGTTGTTTGGTAGACTAAAATATTCCCGAGAATGTTGGGTTAATTTTTTTAATGCTATGTTTAGTTGTATTAATTTTCCCTTGCCATAAAAATACTAAAATACCACCCCTGGATAGTATTCTTGAATGTTATTTTCGAAAAAATTTACACACAAAATAAAATCCCTGGAAAATCAGATTCCCGAAAATTTTCTAAAAATCTTGTGCAAAACATGAATAAATAATATTATCATTTTAATTTCCCGGGAATCTAAAAAAATCCTTGTACCAAACAGCCACTTAATAATGGAATTTGAATATCCCGCTGTAAATGTAGACGAAGAAAAACACGTTCCTAGTTGTAGTTTTTTTCTCAGTTACTATATCTTACTTAACAATGAAGATGGATCAATGTGTGCTTCTTATTCTCCAGTAAAATAAAAAGTCATGAGTTAGAACCCAACTACAATATTAGTATGTTGAAGTGAGTGCAAATAAGTTTATACAATCATATAATGCATGTCCTTGTTTATGTGTATGAAGTGCACACACGTGATTTTTTTTTTTTTTGAATAACTGCACACACGTGATTTTAAAAGAAAAAAAGAAAGAAAAGAAAGTGAAGTACAACAACCCCGTAACTAAAGTATCATCACTGATATCAAAATAATGAATCAGGTGATTGAAAATTAAACCATATTGAAATCCATAATGATGCAAGTAAACCGTAAATTTAGATGATATAAGGTGATTCATTGTTTGATATCAAGGGACCAAGTTGAAAGATTGATAATTGAAAAAATTGTAGGTTGACTCCGTGAAGCCCTCTGAAATTATGGGGATAAAGACTCTGACTTGAACCAAAACACAAGGCAAATGAAATGAACCGTAATCCACGTAACACTGATTAATGCAAAGCATACGTAACAAAGGAAATCACAATCACGACTTATTCAATGGGATAGATCAAGCTGGATTGGTGTTTTGACGTGTTCATGATGAAATATAGTAATTTATGATCTCCTCACATATTGAATGGAAGAGAATTAATGAATTTGATTCTTCTGATCGATCATATGATAATTTTGGGTCCATTCCCCCTGTGGCTTGAAGTTTTGAACTAACACCACAATTGATAAGTGTCGAATACACTATGGTTTTAATATGGAAAATGGTTCAAATAATAATTAATATGATTAAAAATATGGTGTTAAATAATAAAATCTTAAAGAATATTAAAATGTCAACAAATAAATAAGATTTTAATTTTTATTGTTGTTTCAGGTTGTTTCACACTAAAAGAACAAACTACTACTAACCTGATAAGGATGAGGAGGTGGTTCGCATCAGCTGATTATCAAGAAAATACAGGATTAAATAAATATATATATAATTTGTTAATGCTCGCTCCACTTCTCGCTTCAGCGAGCAAGTGAACGAGCAAAACAACTAAGCTCGCCCTTCAGCTCGCGCCAGCGAAAGAAATAGCGAGGAGCTCGCCCTTCAGCTTGCAGTAGCGAAGAGGAAGAGATTACTCGCTGAGCAGCTCGCTTCAACGAGCTCCTCAGCGAGCGGCCCAAAAATAAAAAGCCCAATTTTCAGCCTATAAATACAACGCGACGAAGCCTTCAGAAACAGACGTTCAGAAGACGAACGCGGAGACGAACTCGAAGGCAGAGGGCAGCAGTGGAGGAGAAAGTCTGGAGCGAGATTCCAGAGGGGGAGAAGGAGATCAAAGCTTCACCATTGATCGTCTTTAATTGTAACATCCCCGTCTCGAGCCGGTTCAATTAACATGCATATGATACAACCAGAAACAGCGGAAGACTTAGCTTACGAAAATACGAGCTAACTTTTTCTTTTTCTTTTTAATTCTCATTCGACGTAAACGAAAATCGGACAAAGTTTCCTCTATAAATCGGACAACTGGGGATTTTCCAATCCCACTCAGAAGCATTTCCTGATAAACAGTTTATACAGCACATCAATCCAGAAGTACCAGTCATGCAAATATAATCAGATACCCATCCATGGGCGCATGCATAACTTGGCTCAGTGCCGCTAATCTAACAGCATGCAATCCAATACATAAACATAACTGAATACTACATCATCATCATATAACGTACCTGAATACTCAAATGTACATGCCTCAAACTGACAGACATGTACAAAACATATACAGGCCACATACAAAATATAGGATCTAACATCATGATCCACAAAATACGGAAATACTAAATGAAGGTACTATACTCCAAAATAAAAGTAGTCTACAGCTACTCAAAATCCAATCCGTCCCAATCCTCAGCCACGTGTCGCGTCCCTGACTAGAGAAGTCTCACCGGGGATCTGGGCACCTGAAAATATGGCCCCAACGAGGCGTGAGATTACAAATCTCAATAAGCTCCAGGTTTATAGAGAATTCTCCATACCCCTGGCCCACTCCTGCATGAAAGTCAGATATAGAGTATACAAATACAACATATAACAGATATCATAACAGAACAGAGCATATATCCATATCATATCAGAGGTGTGTGCTGTCATTCCCAAGGGAGGACCCCAAGCGGAAATCAACGCACGTGTTCCCGAGGGAGGACCCCAAAGAATAACCAGACATATCAGAGGCGTACACCATTAGTCCCGAGGGAGGACCCCAAAGCGGACATCAGGGTACTATACAATCAATGGCCAGAGATTGTTACAGAAATCATATTACAGAAGTCATATCAAACATATTATGTTATCAAATAACTCTATATGAATGCATCTATACAAAACATCTAAATAACAGTCATACAGTCCAACCATAGTTCACTAACCATGGTGGAGCACTCAAGCAGGAAAAGACTCCTTAAACATAGAGCTTACATCTTGAAGCTTTACCAATACCCTTACTTGTTGCACAAGTTACTTATATATCTTCAAGAGATTCTGATTCCTTTTTAGTCCCTAGGTACACCTAGAGCAAGAATCCACAAATACCAATTAATAAAATGCCATCATGCCTAGTTTTCACATAAGGCATACATTTTATCGTTTCTTTTCATTTCTTTGCGTTTTTGTCAATCCTATGCCAATACACAAGTCTAGACCTCTTTATAACCGTTGGTGTTCTTTAATTTAATCACCTATTCCCTTAGGAATTTTTCAACATAAATCATGCTATTTTTCTTCAAAACTCATCACTTTTATACAATTTATTACAACACATTTTATTTAAAATAAAATGTACAAAATATATCCCTAAGCCACCCTATAGGTCGAATTCCACAATAACAATAGGCAAAAGGGTTCTTTTCTTTTTACTTATTCTTTCTTCACTTAGTTAGTAACTTACACACACATGTATATATTTATATATATACATATCCACAATGTCTAATTAAATTTTAAACATTAAACTCCTCCAATATACATCAAGGTCGAAACATAGGAGCATACTACATAGGATTTTTTCCCACTTTGGCATTCTCACTAATGCACCAAATTTCCACTTATTCCAACATATTAAACCTTCCCAATACATATAATAAATTTTGTACATCATCCCCTAATTACCCTATCAAGGCCGAAATCTAGGGCATCTCACCATGGGATTTTTTTCCAATTTTATACATGTTCACATGCTTATTCCACCTTCCTATATCCAACACATCAACAATCCATCATCAATTCAAATTTTAAACTAATTTATATCTCACTCAAAACATGCTCATAAATTCCAAGACATAAATCACAAAAATAAAACTATAGGATTAGAGGTTTCTCACCTATAGTAGCTATTTCAAGCTCCAAAGAACAAACCCTAAGCTTTGCTCACTCAAAAGCCCCACTTTTCTACAAGCATGAATAGTGTCACGAATTGGGTTTGATGAATAACTCTCTCCACAAGCCAAATCAGCCCAAATGGAGTGGTGGAATGGATTCATTAGCCTTTTTCCTTAAAGATTCATGTATGGCATCATGGCTTTTGGTGAGAATTTGAGTGGAAATGAGAGGAAATAAAAAAAACTAACCTAGGTCCCTTTCTCCATGGAAGCGTCGAGCAACAGTGAGAGAGATGGAAAAGAAAGGAAACAGCGCGCAGAAAGAAGGAGAAATAAGGATTTCACGGTGTGTAAAATTTAAGTTACTTTAACTGGATAAAAGTTTATCTATCTACACACCTCCATTTATTACCAAACTTTACCTAATGGACTAGAATATTTTTCTAGTCATATTTTTAACTTTACTTTCACTTTTCGGGTAACTTTGTTTACCCGCATTTTTATCCCTTAACTGTCATTTTAACTCCTTTTTCACTAAGGGTGACTTTATTTCTTTTACTTCTAATTATTCTTCAATATTAAATCCCCAATTACTAGTGAGGGTTATTATATTAATCAAGTTTCATCATGAATTCTGTTTGTTTTTCTTTATTTATCAATTCTGAATTTATGAACATGTCTGGCTAGTTTATTTATGTAGTTAGGATTATTGATCCGATGTGAATCCTATTTGTGGTTTGATTAGTTTCTTTTATAAATTATTTCAGTATTTATGTTTTACCTTGCATGAATTTCTATATCCTTGTATGAACTGATCACTCCTATAAGGATTTGAGGGTTAGAGCTCGCAATAGACATATTGGGGTTTTAGTCTTGACAGGGGTAAAATATCAATTCTTGCATGATCTAGACATAGGCTTGCTTGAGTTGTAGACTTCATAATTCATCGCGTTTAATGCTTATTCTAAGAGGAATTAACTAAGACATTAATATTCTAATTAGAATAAAGGGTTAAAATCACTAAGACATTAGGATTTAACCAATTAATTTTTAGAAGATGAATTGTCTGAAATATCTGACATAATTTAATATTGAAATTAATTTAAATAACTCTAGGAGGATCTGAGGCGAAATAATTTCTAACTGCAACTTTTGTTTTTGATATTCTAAGTTTAATTCTCAATTCTTGCGTTCTTGATATTCTTGTTATTTACTGCAATTAATTTTAGTTTTAATTTAAGTTCAAAAATTATTCTCAATAATCAATTCGAGTTTTCCAAATTAAAGGGAATAGTTATAATAGTATTTGGCGCATTAATACTCGTGGGACGATATTCTTATTTCACTACTTTATTACTTGAAACGATCGGTATACTTGTCGTAATCGCAACAACTATGCAAGTGTATTAACTGATAGATGTTATTTCAGCTTAATTAGTGATCTTGAGTTTTGAGTTGAGTCGTGACTATGCAGTTGTATTGAACCCAGCATCTCCGCAAAAAAAGAAAAAAAAAAAATTTATACCAACTGCGAAAATTATCAGCAACAATAAATGGCTTACAATAGTATATCTCAACCAACTTGAAAATTTCAAACATGAAAGAGAACAATGACTTTTTCCGGAGTAATTAATGATAAATAGCACCAAAATCAATATACGAATTTTTATACGAATCTTAACCTCTGATTTGCTCACGGGTTTTTCATTTTCTGTTTTGATTGTTGAAAAACAAGTAAACTGACCACGTGGTCGTGTACCGTCTGATTTCGTCTCTGTTATTTCACTTACGTGATAAATAGGGGTCCTCCTCGTTTAAGTATATGTCATTTGTTTGCTGAGTTTTTCAACCCAATTGTTATGATATGGGAGGAAACTAGAGTTTGAAAAATTGGTAATGGAGAAAGATGTATGCTCTCTCCATCACTCACTCAAATCTTTGAACCACAACATATGACATAAGGACCATAATACACATAACACATTATACTGAAAAGCATAACTTAACAAGGATACTAGAGCATATTCATCAAGATATTATATGATCTTCTTACAGCATTCAGTGGCAGAGAATGAATCCTGATTTGAGTGTTTTAGCAATTACTTGGTCAAGGCTATATCCATCATGAATTAGTTACGTTGGTAAGAAATTCAAATTCAGATTGAGACATGCAGATAGCAATGTAAGGAGGGAACTAACTAACACAATAATTAGTATCAGACTTATCACTTAGATGATCTAGCCCACTATAAATAATAGGATTATGTTTTAATTTCTGGGCTATAGAGGTGCCTCTAAAATTCATCTCCAATGAGGTTTCATCTTCATCTAGTCTTGTTGCCTTTCTTTATATCCTTTTGCATGATAAACTTGAGTATCAATATCAATGTAGCATCCAGCCACTGCCTTGTTCACCAGCATTTCTTGTTGCTACATTTGAAGGACAACCTTATATTCAACCCTCCCAAATCTACAAAACTGGTTCATTGGAATCAAAGTGGTGATTGTTGTCAATGGAATGGAGTAGCATGCAACAACAAGGGACATGTAGTTGGTCTTGACTTGAGTCAGGAATTTATTTCTGGAGGCCTAGACAATTCAAGTCTCTTCAACCTTCATTATTTGAAGAATTTGGATTTGGCTTACAATGACTTCCATTCTATGATTCCTTCCAAGTTTGGCTTGCTGAAGAATTTAAGGTATTTGAACTTGTCAAATGCTGGCTTTGAGGGTCAAATTCCAATTGAGATCTCTCACCTGACAAAGTTGGCTACTCTTGATTTGTCTATATCATTTACCTCAATGCATACTCTAAAACTTGAGAAGCCAAATATAGGTTTGCTTATGCAGAACCTTACTGAAATCACAGAACTGTATCTGAATGGTGTAAGGGTATCTGCTTTTGGGAAGGAGTGGTGCCATGCCTTATCCTCATTGCAAAAACTAAAAGTTTTGAGCATGTCATCCTGCAATCTCTCAGGACCAATTGATTCTTCCCTATCAAAGCTTCAGTCTCTCTCTCTGATTCAACTGAACTTGAATAATATGTCAAGCCCAGTGCCAGAATCCTTTGCAAATCTCTCCAGCTTGACCACCCTGCAGCTTAGCAGTTGTGGATTGACTGGTGTTTTTCCAAAGGATATCTTCCAAATACAAAAACTAAAGGTCCTTGATGTATCAGATAACCAAGATCTTCAGGGTTCCTTGCCAAATTTCTCACAAGATGGATATCTTCAAACCTTGAATCTTGCCAACTCAAATTTCTCTGGACAGTTACCAGATGCTATTTCCAATTTGAAGCAGTTGTCTACGTTAGATCTATCTAACTGCCAATTCAATGGAACACTCCCTATTTCATTGTCAAGACTCAGCCAACTTGTTCACTTGAACTTGTCATTCAATAACGTCACTGGCCCTCTTCCATCTCTCAATATGTCCAAGAACCTCAAATATATATCCCTTTTTCACAATGATTTAACAGGACCAGTTATATCTACTCATTGGGAGGGAATTTCAAATCTCATTAGCATCCACTTAGGTGATAACTCCCTCAATGGAAAAGTTCCCTCAACTCTCTTCACACTTCCATCTCTAGAGGAGCTCACTCTTTCTCATAATGGATTTGATGGTCAATTGGATGAATTCCCAAATGCCTCTTTCTCCAGATTACAGCTGGTTGATTTGAACAACAACAAATTGCAAGGACCTATTCCTATCTCTTTGTTTCATCTTACAAGTCTTGGTTACCTCCAACTGTCTTCAAATCAATTCAATGGCACTATAAGGCTAGATGTGTTTCAGAAGCTTCAAAATCTATACATGTTAGGCCTTTCACACAACAACTTGTCAGTTGATACCACTTTCAATGGTTATCATGGCCTTTCATCATTTCCAAATATGATAGGTCTACTTTTGGCTTCTTGCAAGCTGAGGGAATTTCCAGCTTTCTTGAGAAATCAATCCCAATTAATTCCTCTAGACCTATCCAACAATCAAATTCAAGGAATAATACCCAATTGGATTTGGAGATTTGATTCTATAGGTATTCTGAATCTTTCCAACAATTTTTTGACAGATTCAGAGGGACCCTTTGAAAATCTTAGTTCTAATACGTTTTTGCTTGACCTACACTCCAACCAACTTCGCGGGTCTATTCCCATTTTTACAAAAAATGCTCTCCTCTTGGACTACTCAAGCAATAGATTCAGCTTTATCCCACCCAATATTAAGAAGTACCTTCGTTTCACCCTTTTCCTCACTTTCAAACAATAGCTTTCATGGAAAAATCCCTCAATCCTTTTGTAATTGTTCTAATCTTCGAATGCTTGATCTTTCTCACAATAGTTTCAATGGCTCCATTCCCAAGTGCTTGACATCAAGGAGTAGTACTATCAAGGTATTGAATCTGGTTGGAAACAAACTAACAGGTTCTATTTCTGACACAATCTCAAGTTCTTGTAACTTAAGATTCCTTGATCTCAATGGAAATAACTTGAAGGGTACCATTCCAAAATCTTTGGCCAACTGTCAAAGCCTAGAAGTCTTAAACCTTGGAAACAATCTGTTGAGTGATAGATTTCCATGCTTCTTGTTAATCACCAAAAGACAAGAGGTATTCATTGTAATCCTTGTTATATTAAACTACACAACATTGGTGCTATTATATAGCAAACCAATTGAAGAATACAAAGAGACACACTCAATGTGGGACTTCTATACTATGTACAACAACACTCCCCCTCAAGCTGGAGCATATAGATCGTATGCACCAAGCTTGTTACATATCTGGTCTATCCTAGGTCCTCTCAAAGACTTAGTAAATACATCAGCTAATTGATCATTTGAGTTGACAAAACGAGTGACTATATCTCCTGAGAGAACCTTTTCCCTAAGGAAATGACAATCTATCTCAATGTGCTTAGTCCTTTCATGAAACACTGGATTTGAAGCAATATGCAAAGCAGCTTGATTATCACAAATGAGAGATGTTGGGCCAGTGTCTCCAAACTTGAGTTCCTTCAGTAGCTGTTTTAACCAGATGAGTTCACAGGTAGCTGTGGCCATGGAGCGATATTCTGCTTCAGCACTTGATCTAGCAACTACACTTTGCTTCTTACTTCTCCAAGAAATCAAGTTATCTCCAACGAATACACAATACCCAGAAGTAGATCTTCTATCAATAGGAGAACCTGCTCAATCAGCATCTGAGTATCCTACAACTCTGGTATGTATAATGACCCTATATGGTAAATCTTTATTAGAGATTTAATTTAAGGATTTAAATGCCATAATTAGATTTAGTGAGTGATTCCGAGTATTTTGACTGTAATCATGTCTATGTTATGAACAGTGCGTTCTGCCGGAGAATTTACAGTTTTGTGAATTAACCGGTAGAGCTTAAAAAGAGCAAAATAATTTTAGAGACATAATTTGATAATTCTGACGACAAATATGAGTTCAAAATGAAAATTTGTATAGTCTGGCACTTTCCGTGAAAATCTCATGAATAGTGTTTTACCGGGTATTTTGTACTGCTGTGTAAGCAACCGGTAGAGTCCAGAAACAAATAATTGATGAAGTAAGAATAGGAAAGTCCAATATATGCCAAGCAAGTCAATATAGGCCCAAGAAAATGATAAGTTTATAAGTGTTAAGTTTCAGAAATAAATAAAGTACAATTAATGGTTCACAGTGCATTTCATTAAAAACGGTGCAAAAATCATACTGTGAATTATAAATATTGTTTCTTAGAAAATAAAAATTAATGTAAATGATTTCAGAAAAATAAAAATATGTTTGTAGCTTTAAGTTGGTTCCGGGTCAGTTTAAGTGAACATACGCGAAAGAAAAACATCTGTTAAAAGCCACATGTGCTTATAAGGACCTTAAGTGACTTAAGATCACTATTCACCTCAGCTTCTCTCTCCTCCCTTCCCTCAAAAAACCGAGCTCTTCATCACCTAAGGGGGGGGGGGGTTAGGGTTTTGGCTTGATTTTGCTTGATTTCTCCATCAATTTTCAACCAAAACACAAAGTCCACCACATGAGATTGCTTGTAAACCACCTAATGAACCCATTCCACCCATCAATTTGAGCTATTGTTGAGTGTGTGAAGAGTTCTTCTCTTCCCCAAATTCGAGCTACTATTCACCAAGAAGAAAAAATGGATTTTTGGAGGGAGCTTTGCTTGGTGAAGGCCTTCTAGGCTTTGGGTAGTTCATTGGAGGTAACAAAACTCTAACCCTATGGCTTTATTAGTGTGAATAATGTTTTGAAAGTCATGAGCATGGTTGGGTAGGAAATAAAGTAGTATAGAATGTGAAAATTATGATGGATTATTGTTATTTAGGAAGTTATAGTGTTGAGTAAGTATCCACATGTGATAAAATAATTGAAAAGCCCTATTGTATTTTCCCCCTAGGTTCGGCCTTCATGGGTTATATAGGGTTCATCATGCAAATTTTTATTGTATGTTTGAAAAGGTAAAATATGTTGGAATGTAGTGTAAATGGATAAATTGGTGGAAATGCCAAAGTTAAAAAAAAAAAAAAATCCTACAAATACTTGCTCTATGTTTCGAACTATAGGATGTTTAGGGGTATATATATATATTGGTTACATTTTATTCTAATAAAATGTGTTGCATTTTAATATACCAATGGATGAGCTAAGAAGTGAAATGCTTTGACAAATGGTTGAAAAATAGCTTGAGTCCCTAAGGGTATTCCCGCGACTTTTAAAGAAAAATAGCATGATTTATGTGAAAAATTCTTAAGTAAATGCTTGATTAAATTAAAGAACGCCAACGGGTGTATAGAGGTCTAGACTTGTGTATTGGCATAGAATTGGCAAAAATATAAAGAAAGGAAAATAAGCGATAAAATGTATGCTTATGAAATAATCATGGTATTGCATCATTTTATTGATGCATTGTAAATTATTCTCTAGGTGTGCCTAGGGATTGAGAAGGATCGGAAATCTCTTGAAGCGATAAAAGTAACTTGTTCTACAAGTAAGCGTATTGGTAAAGCTTCAAGAGGTAAGCTCTATGTTTAAGGAGTCTTTTCCTGCTTGAGTGCTCCACCATGGTTAGTGAACTATGGTTGGACTGTATGACTGTGATTTAGATGCTTTGTATAGATGCATTCATATAGAGTTATTTGATAACATGATATGTTTTGCTCTGATATGACTTCTGTAATATGATTTCTGTAACAATCTCTAGCCATTGATTGTATAGTACCCGGATGTCCGCTTTGAGGTCCTCCCTCGGGACTGATGGTGTACGCCTCTGATATGTCTGGTTCCGCTTTGGGGTCCTCCCTCGGGAACACGTGCGTTGATTTCCGCTTGGGGTCCTCCCTTGGGAATGACGACGCACATCTCTGATATGATATGGATATATGCTCTGTTCTGTTATGATATCTGTTATATGTTGTATTTGTATACTCTGTATCTGACTTTCATGCAGGAGTGAGCCAGGGGTATGAAGAATTCTCTATAAACCTGGAGCTTATTGAGATTTGTAATCTCACCCCTCTTTGGGGACATATTTTCAGGTGCCCAGATTCCCGGTGAGTCCTCACTAGGCAGGGACACGACACGTGGCTGAGGCAGTTGATAGATCGGATTTTGAGTGGCTGTAGGCTACTACCTTTTGGAGTGTTTGATGTCTTTTAGTATTTCCGCATTTGATGGATCACGATATTGATCCTTTATTTTGTATATGGCCTGTATATGTTTTATACATTTCTGTCACTTGGATGCATGTACATTTGGGTATTCAGGCACGTCATATGATGATGTATTATTCAGTTTATGATTTCGTATTGGATTGCATGTTGATTAGGATAGTGGCACGAAGCCATATTTTGCATGAGCCCATGGATGGGTATCTGATTGTATCTGCATGACTGGTACTTCTGGATTACTATGCTGTATAAATTGTTTATCAGGAAATGCTTCTGAGAGGGATTGGAAAATCCCCGGTTGTCCGATTTATAGAGGAAACTCTGCCCGATTTTCGTTTACCCCGAGTAAGAATTAAAGTAGAAAAAGAAAAAGTTAACTCGTATTTTCGTAAGTTAAGTCTTCCGCTGTTTTCTGTTTTATCATATGTATGTTAATTGAACCGGCTCGAGACGGGGATGTTACAGTATGACTTTTGTTTTCATAAAGAAGACCTTTGCCAGGAGCAGTCTTGATGTACTTGAGGATACGAATTACTGCATTCCAGTGATCTTCACAGGGAGAATTCAAGAACTGACTTACTACACTGACTGCAAAGGAAATGTCTGGTCGAGTAACTGTGAGATAGTTCAGTTTCCCAACCAATCTTCTATACCTTTCTGGATCAGAAAATAACTCCCCCTGATTTGGTAAAAGCTTGACATTTGGATCCATAGGAGTATCAACGGGCTTAGCATTTAACAATGTTGTTTCCTCAAGAATATCCATAGCATATTTTCTCTGTGATAGTACAATGCCATCTTTGGATTGGGCCACTTCTATCCCTAAGAAATATCGGAGTCTTCCAAGGTCCTTTGTTTGAAAATGATGGCACAAATGTTGTTTTATCTGAGTTATGCCATGAGTATCATTACCTGTAATGACGATATCATCAACATATATTACCAAATAAATAGAACCTGAATCAGAGTGTCTGTAAAAGACTGAGTGATCAGCCTCACTTCGAGTCATGCCAAACTGCTGCACAACAGTGCTAAACCTTCCAAACCAAGCCCGGGGAGACTGCTTTAGACCATACAAGGATCTTCGGAGACGACAAACTAGGTTAGACTCCCCCTGAGCAACAAACCCAGGAGGTTGCTCCATATAAACCTCTTCCCGCAGATCACCATGGAGGAAAGCATTCTTTATGTCCAGCTGATACATAGGCCAGTGATGAATGGCTGCCATAGTAATAAAGAGGCGAACAGAAGTCATTTTTGCCACGGGAGAAAATGTGTCACCATAGTCAAGGCCAAATATCTGAGTATAACCTTTAGCCACCAAGCGGGCCTTAAGACGGTCCACCTGACCATCCGGACCAACTTTAACCGTGTATATCCATCGACAGCCAACAACAGACTTCCCAGAGGGAAGGGGAACCAGATCCCAGGTACCACTACTATGAAGTGCACTCATCTCATCAATCATGGCCTGTCGCCAACCAGAATATGATAACGCCTCACCTGTAGTCTTAGAAACAGATACAGAAGAAAGAGAAGAGAGGCAAGCAAAATGGGATGGTGAAAGACGATGATAACTCAAATTTACTAAATACCTGGGAGGGGGACGAGAATCACGAGTACCTTTCCGGAGTGCAATGGGCACATCAATGTCAGACGGAAGGATCGGAGCTGCCAGAGGAGATGATGATGGAAGTGAGTCCACAGGAGCCTCAGTAACAATGGGGGCAGGGTCCTGGGGAACAGGGGGACGTTGCCGACGATGATAGACCTGGAGGGGGGAACAGGGGCGGGAACAGGGACGGGGACATCGAAAGAAGGAGATGGTGAAGGTATATAGTGAACTGAAACAGGTGGTAAAGGTAGCTGAGTAGCAACAGAATCACTGGGATGGGAGGAGGAGTCAAAGAATGGAATAGACTCAAAGAATGTAACATCCGCCGAGACAAAGTAACGACGAAGACTAGGAGAATAACAACAATAACCCTTTTGTGAGCGAGGGTAACCCAGGAAAATACATTTATGTGACTTAGCAGATAACTTGTCAAGACCAGGACTGAGATTGTGGACAAAACAAGTAGAACCAAAGATGTGAGGAGTGAGTGGGTACAAAGGTTGATGGGGAAACAACACAGAATGTGGTACCTGATTATGAAGTACGGAGGAAGGCATCTGATTAATGAGATAACAAGCTGTGAGGACAGCATTGCCCCAATACTGGAATGGGATATGACCATGTAACAAAAGTGTCCGAGTAGTCTCAATTAGGTGACGATTCTTGCGTTCAGCAACGCCATTCTGTTGAGGGGTGTGTGAACATGATGTCTGGTGAAGGATACCGTGAGATGCAAAGAAGGTTTGAAACTGATGAGACAAATATTCACGAGCATTGTCACTTCGAAAAATGCGAATCGAAACACCAAATTGAGTAAGGATTTCATTAAAGAACTTGTTAAAAATAAAAAACAATTCAGACCGATTTTTCATTAAAAATAACCAAGTACATCGAGAATAATCATCGATGAAAGTGACAAAATATCTGTACCCCATAGTGGAAACGGTACGACTAGGACCCCAAATATCTGAATGAACTAAAGCAAAAGGAGACGAAGACCGACGACTGACACGATCGGGAAACGAACTACGAGTGTGCTTCCCTAACTGACACGACTCACAAGACAAACTAGATAATGAGAAACGTGGGACCATCTTCTGGAGCTTAGCAAGATTTGGATGACCCAACTGAGCGTGGATAGTAAGCGGAGAATCCACAACAGAGCACACTGGAACAGAAGTTGAAAGCTGATAAAGGCCATTGGACTCAGATCCGACGCCAAGTGTCCTCCTCGAGCTCCGATCCTGCAAAATGACAGACTCTTTAGTGAAAGAAATAATACAGTCAAGGGATTGAGTCAAGCGACTAATGGAAATAAGGTTGAAAGGAGAATGAGGAACATAAAGCACATTCTCAATGGGAATAGAAGGAAAAAGGAGAACAGTGCCAATCCCTTGGGACTGAACCAGTGACCCATTAGCCATAGTGATACTGGGCAAGGGACCAGACGTACAGAGAGAGGTAAATAAAGACTTATTACCAGAAATATGGTCAGATGCACCAGAATCGAGAATCCATGGACCAAGAGAGGGCGAGTGAGAAACACCATCAAAGGAATTACCCGTGTGTGCACTAGAGGCAGTGGTACCAGGAGGTGGCTGTGATCCAGCAATCAAGGCAGAGTCCGAGGCAAGAACAGTAGTCTGAGCAAAATGAGCGGAGCGAGGAGGGCGACCGTGAAGATCCCAGCAACGATCAATAGTATGGCCCGGCTTTTTGCAATGAGTGCAGAGAAAGCGTCTCGTAGAGGGTTTGCTTCCACGTGCAAAACCCTTGGAGACAAGGGCAGATCGGTCAATTGAAGAGGGAGCAGATACTGCAGGCTCCATAGAAGTCTTAGGTGGAATGCGAAGCAACGTAGACCAAACAGAGTCCAGCGATGGAACCAGCAACGAAAAGCAAAGAACCGCCTGTGAATAGTGACCAGCAAGGGAAAAGACACCGTAGGAAGCCGAAACAACAAAGTGAGGACAGATCCAAGTGCGCAAGGAGAAGACGAAGGGGGCCGTAGTGGTCCGACGGCCAACCACGGGTTGCAACCGCTGTTTGACGCGCGTGAGAGCGCGTGTAGGAGGATCGGAGGATGGGTCCTGGACAGAAAGGAGCGCCTTCTCGTGGCGATCAGATCGATATGGGTTTCACCGAAAAACTCGCCGGAAAATTCGCCGGAGACGGCGGTCAACGGCGGTGGATGGCGGTCAACGGCGGTGGACGGCGGTCAACGGCGGTGAACGACGGTGGACAGTGGTGCCTAATGGCGGCAGTGATCAAACAAGTCCGTAGACGATATATGGAAGCCAGAAACTGACAGATATGACTGTTTCCGGGGAAAAAAAAATAAAAAAATTTTACTCAGCAGACAGTGGTCCACCGGAAAAAAAAAAAACGCGGATTAGGATTCCTCTTGTTAGGCTCTAGATACCATGTTAATCACCAAAAGACAAGAGGTATTCATTGTAATCCTTGTTATATTAAACTACACAACATTGGTGCTATTATATAGCAAACCAATTGAAGAATACAAAGAGACACACTCAATGTGGGACTTCTATACTATGTACAGCAACACTTCTTAAGGAATATTTCAAACCTTAGAGTGTTGATTTTAAGGTCAAACAAACTCCATGGTCCCATTGGATGCAAACATAGCGTTGGTAATTGGAACATGCTTCATATTGTTGATCTAGCCTCCAATAATTTCACAGGTACACTACCAGGATCACTCTTGCAAAGTTGGACAGCAATGAAGGGTGATAAAGATGAAGGAACACATTTATTTTTTTATTTGTATGACACCAACTCTGTGCGTTTGAAGGATTTGTTGGCAACCATGGACAAAACTCTTCTCATGAAATTTGCCAAAGCAGAAGCAGCAGTACCTCCTTCAGTGATTGAAAATTTGTTTGCTTATTTTGTCAATACCTTCCAATTCCAAGATAGAGGAGCATACCTTGATTCAGCTACTAATGTCAACAAAGGCTTGCAAATGAAGTTGGTCAAAATTCAAGCTGCATTCACTTCCTTGGATTTCTCTTCCAACCATTTTGAAGGTCCAATACCAGAAGAGCTCATGAGTTTAAGAGCATTGAATGTTCTTAACTTGTCACACAATGCTTTCTCCAGCCATATCCCAAAATCTTTGGGAAATCTGAAGCAGATTGAGTCCTTAGACATGTCAAATAACAATTTGAGTGGAGAGATTCCCACAGAGATTGCAAGTTTATCTTTCCTTTCAGTTTTGAATCTCTCTTTTAATCATTTGGTGGGGAAGATTCCAACAGGTACTCAAATTCAGTCTTTTGAAGCAGATTCCTTTGAAGGCAATGAAGGGTTATGTGGACCTCCACTAACCAAGAACTGTGGCAATGATGATACAGCACAAGAGTTGTCACCACCATCTCCAGCTTCTAATACACATGGTTCAATTGATTGGAATTTCTTAAGTGTTGAGTTGGGATTCATTTTTGGATTTGGATTTGTTATCCTTCCCCTTATTCTCTGGAAGAGATGGAGGCTGTGGTATAGTAAGCATGTGGATGATTTGCTCTACAAAATCTTTCCTCAGCTTGATTTTGTATATGAACACCATGGAGGGCAAAATTACAGAATTCTAAGGTTGAGGCCTAGCTGAAGGGAAATTATCATGTAATTTTCTTTAGTCTTTCGTTTGTTTCAATTCTTGTAAATAAGGACTATGTTCCAACAATGTGTGCGTGTGAGACAAGATAGCTATATACATGTGTGCGTGTATGACAAGCAGTAGAATTACAAGGTTATAAAACAGTTTAGATAGTGTTGATGTCCTTGTTTTGATGATTCTCTGTAACCTTTCCCCAACAGGAGTAGACAAAAAGAAAACAAGAAGAGCGGATACAAGGAGCATAAACTTGTAGAGTTTTTACTTTTAAAGTAATGTTTCTTTCTTGAAGTTTGAAATGCAACTTTAACTTTCAAAAACACTTTGAATTAATTTGTAAATGTAAAGTACAGTTTAAGTAAAATTGTAAAAAATAACATTCAAATGCATTATCAAAGTAAAATTTGTTTAATCATTTATAAGAATAGTATATAATATATACAAATTTGAACGTAGTTACCTAAGTTTGTGAAACATCGTAAAATATTATGTCAATCAAATTAATAAAGATACATTTCCAATCCAATTCAAAACAATTTGGATGGGTTAGGTTTAATGATTAAAATCAAAGTATTTTTAGATAAAATTATTTTCAGTGAGCTCAAAACGACTTTGTTTTGGGTTATAAAATTAAAAAATTATAATGATAAAGACTAATATAATCTTGCGATATATTAGAATTACAAAAATATATTAATTTTCATCCCCGAACGACATTGTTGATGGAGCATGTGATTTTAAACATGCAGCGTCTCTCTGTTTAGATTTTTTGGACTTAGCCCTGCATTTTTTATTAAAAAAAAAAAAAAAACGATGTCATTTTGAACTTACAAAAGATAACTTTACAAAAATTCTTTCCCTTTTTCAATGTGTAGAAATTAAATGGTTTGCTTTGGCTAAGTTTTTCTTCACAACTAACATCTAGGGTGTAAATAGGCTAGGCTAGATTAGGCTTTGGCTTAAATAGGTCAAGCTTGTCTAAAACACATTGGGTCTAGTCTGGTCTTTTAGCCTGTGTAGACCCTAAATTACAAGTTTGATCTGACCTATATTTAAAAAATAAAAACCTTAATCTAAACTTGTTAGCCTGTTTAAGCCTATTAAACTTCAACAACTAAAAGAATAACTAACATAATATTATTTTATTATTCAAAATTATTAAAATAATAATTTATTTATTTTATTTAAAATAAATAATATGATATTGGCCGGCCTGTAGACTTATAGGCCCGACATGTAAAAAAAGGGGTGTTACCTGTTTTCTAAATAGATTTTTTTAAAAGCTCAGGCCTGTTCTATTTTACTATTTGTAATAGGCAACGTCTAGTCTAATATACGTTAAGCCGTAAGCCCCTATAAGCCGGCCTAACTCATTTACACCCCTACTAACACCCCTATGTTTTTTAATTATTTTAAATTTCTGCTTATATTTAATGAAATGTAATTATAATTAATATATTTCCCTCAAATTGTAACCTCTCTCTTTTGGGTACACTCTCTCTTTAGTATTCAGTATTTCATTCCTCAACTTTACAAGGTGCTTTTTAGTTCTCTCGCCCCGCGATTCTCCGATCGTCTTCTCAATTTTGGTAAAAAAAAATTCTGTTGGATAATTGAACGCCACAATTTATCTCTGCGTGATGTTTGTCTAAAATTTCGTGAATATTTTTTTTTTTGTTCTGACAGTGCTACCATATATATTTTGCTGTTCTTGTGGTTTCTCGGTTTCATCTCGTAATGTAGTATTTCCCATTTCAATTCTGTTAGTTTTAGGTTGAAAGTTTACAACTTTCCCTTTGCTTTCCTTTAAAAAAACGATTCAGTTTTGTGGGTCTCTTGGAGAGGTTGAAAATTGATTTGTAGAACTTGGATGATAATTTATTAGTTGCAAAAGCAAAACCCTACTAAACTAATATGAACTTTGGAGAATTAAAAAATTTCACTATGTGTGTCTAGTGCCTCCTTCCTTAAGGACTTTGGTGGGGTTTTTGCATTCTCAAGGTCTACTATGTCTACCTCCAAATTTATGAGGGAATAATTTAGGGGTTTACTCTTTATTAATAAAGGAAATAATTTTCATCTAAATTTATGTTCTTTTGCTTTGGATCCCTGATCCATTTTGAGTGGTGATTTCAAGCTTTAGTTATGCTAGATATATATATATATATATATATATATATATATATATATATATATATATATGATCCCTGCTTCTCAATTTTTTTACATTGTGATAGTGGTTTCAGCACCCATCAAACTTACTATTGAGATTGTCGTGTGGTTTAGCGGAAATTAGATTTGTGGTCGCTGTCGCTTTGATTTGCTCTCTGGGGCTGCAAAATCTTTCAAGTGATTTTTTTTTTTTTTTTTGTGGAGATATTCCAATCAATTCATCGCTTTGTGACTAATCTGATTCGGGGAAGGGTTCCGGGATTAAGGTTTTAAACCTCTCCTAAAGACGGTATTGGAGAGGATCGAACATATGCTCTCAAGTGATTTCTATAATGACTAATAATAACTATACCTTTTTGAACAGCTGACTTTTTCAGAGTTTCTAAGTTGGTGGTAATACATTACTGCCATATTTTCTGGGAGATTGCTTCTGTCTCATTTTTTCTTGGCACAGATTTGTCTAACTCGTGATTCTCAAAATGTAATGTGTTTACTTTTAAGAGAAGAGATAAAGCCCCAACTGTTTTTTGTGGCCTCAGAGTGCCACAACTGTTTGTTTTTGTTTTTGTTTTTTGTTTTTTTGAATTGACAGATTGTTTCTGAGATGAATGATGTCGAGACAGAATTGTCTTAGCCTGTGAGTGTATGGTTGTCTAACTAGAATTACAGCTTGTTTTACATGTGAATTCGAATTATAGTCATGATGTTGTTGTCATATACTTCAATCTTGCTTTAAGTTTTCCTAATTGTATCTGGAATTATCATAAATCATGGACTTATCTCTTATTCTTTCTTAATGGTGCTTTTATCTTTAATTCAGACTAAGAACACTATAGAGAGGAATATAGATCAGTCTATTGTTACTTAGCCCAAGTTTCCTTTGTTCTACTCTATTTAAAGTTTATTATTTTCTATTGTGCTTGCAGCTATGTAGAGATAAAAGTATTAAATAAATTCATGGGAGCATTTTTAAAAAGTAACTCTTGATAGAAAAAAATCCGTAGAGGAAGAGTAATGACTCTAAGTGATCATTTAATTTATTTCAAGACAATATAATACATATAAAAATTACTTCAGGTGTTTTTTTTTGGTACATATAGGTGTGCCTTTTTTTGTCAGCAGCAGTGCCTTTTTTCAAATTCTCCCTTAGTACTTTTCATTTGTTTTCTTTTACCTTACAAATACTTTATATTCATTCCTCTCCTTTTCTTAATCTTTGCTTTGATCCAGATACTCAGAGATCAATATGTCTCGAAGATATGATAGCCGTACCACAATCTTCTCCCCTGAAGGTCGACTTTACCAAGTGGAGTATGCAATGGAGGCCATTGGGAATGCTGGTACTGCAATAGGTATCTTATCAAAAGATGGGGTTGTTCTAGTTGGTGAAAAGAAAGTAACATCCAAGCTGCTACAAACCTCAACTTCCACTGAGAAAATGTACAAGATCGATGATCATGTTGCATGTGCCGTGGCTGGGATTATGTCTGATGCCAACATCCTAATCAATACTGCTAGGGTCCAAGCGCAACGTTACTCATTTGCTTACCAAGAGCCAATGCCTGTTGAGCAGTTGGTTCAATCTCTTTGTGATACCAAGCAAGGTTACACACAATTTGGTGGTCTTCGGCCATTTGGAGTCTCATTCTTGTTTGCAGGATGGGACAAAAATTTTGGCTTTCAACTTTACACGAGTGACCCAAGTGGGAATTATGGTGGTTGGAAAGCTGCAGCTATTGGTGCCAACAACCAGGCAGCACAGTCGATTCTAAAACAGGACTATAAGGATGATATCACAAGGGAAGAAGCAGTTCAACTTGCACTGAAGGTACTAAGTAAAACTATGGACAGCACAAGTCTTACCTCAGATAAGCTTGAACTTGCAGAGATTTTTCTCTCACCCACTGCAAAAGTCAAGTATCAAGTTTGCTCCCCTGAAACCCTGACTAAACTGTTGGTGAAGTTTGGCGTGACCCAACCAGCAACAGACACTGCCTAGCCTGCTGTTAAATGTCATATGCAGTTTAATTATGCCTATGAATATCATATCTTCTTCCTTTCAAAATAGGCATGTTATTTCAAAAAAAAAAAAATGTCTCTGAAGTTATTTCAAAGTTCAAGCTTATAAACATGTTACATCTTGGTGATGCTAATGGCTTTGTTATTTATTTATATATATATATATATTTCTTTGAATTTCAAGACTTAGATGTATGATATTTGCATTAAAGGTTGTAGAATCAACGCATGAGCTAGCTTGTCAAGCGATTTCATGTTCAGTGTTCTCGTAGTCTTACAAGAGAAAAAATAATGACATAGGGCTTGATATATACTTTATGGAGAAAGGGTCTTAACCAAAAAATAGCTCTCACCAAGATGAATAATGCTTTTGCAAAAGGCATGGTTGCTAAGTGCATGGGCCACTGGTGGTGGATAACATGGGCTTGCAATAGGTGTAGCATGCGCAAACTTGCTTCGGAGTACATTATTTTCATGGCCTTTAAAGTAACTTTGCATGAGGATTTTTTTTTTTTTTTTTGTTTATTTCGCAAGCAATAGGAGATCATCAAAACACCCACAAAAGGGAAAAAGGTGCTGCTAAAAGGTATCAATCTCAAAGGACGATGGTAATAATGGGCTTGCTCATGAGCACTTCTTTTTTGCTTGTTTGGATACAACCCATTAACACTTCTAAGCTTCTATCACATAGTGCCTAGCCCTACTCAGTCGTGTACAATCCATGTAAGATGGAACTATAGCGGAACCAAGTTTTCATGATTCGTATGTAAGACTAGGGATGTCAATCTGTCATCGACACCTTTCACACCTGAGAGTAGGCAACTTTCGTTTGATTCAACAGCCCGAGATACCACACAAGTCATTCAAGCGTGATTTAGACCTTAGGCTCTAATAGAGTTTTATAACAAAGCATACCATGACGATGGGAGTTGGTGAGTTAGCATTTTGTGTAATAATAATAATAATAATATAGAATAAAAAATTTAATGATATTAAATTATTTTTATTTGAACGGACGACATTTCCTTTCAGCAATACAGATGATACAGCTATCTTTGGAAACCATGGTGTCATGTTATAACCTTAAGTAACATAATTGATAGTCACAGAGTTCTATTTCGATTGCTATGTATATTTGCGAGTAACTAATAAGGATAATACAAGTTCAAATTATATTTATTTTTTATTATTTTTGTTTCTAATTTAATTTATTAGCACTATTTTGATTATAATTCAATTTATTATTTTGTTACACAATGATTTGATAATTAAAAACGACGAATAGGGATTTAAATGGGTCAGGTAGCCTATTAGGAGTCTACGGTCTGGCTTACCTTAGGTCTGACCTGGCCTGTTCTATTTCTAAATAGAACAGGTTTAGACTTTTAAAAAAGTTCATTTAAAAATTAAGTCATAGACCCACTTTAAAAAGCCTCGTCTAAAAACCTGCAGGTTAGCCTTTTAATTTTTTTAATAATATAATATATTTATGATGTATATTAAAACGAGCAAGGTTAGGCTTAGGAATATTTTTGGCTTCTAGTGTTGTCGCTTAAACAAATTAAAGGAAAAAAGGAAAGTACATGCTTTGCTATTGTGCTGTTTTTAGTGTTGTATAAATTAATACACGTGCTATTTTTTACAAGTACTATTTTCCAAGCTTGTAATGTCAAATAATGTTTGTCATTTATGGAAAATATAGGCATAAAGGAGCTCATTCCATACATCAGGAACTCCAGGGAGACACCAATGTATGCAATCTGCATAACTATTTGGATTTGATATCTGTTCTTGTGTTAGAGGTTCCCACTGCTTCCTGTAGATAGAGGGGTGGCCTTCTTTTCTGTATTCTGAAAGTTGTGTGATGTTAAGCATTTGAACATTTAAACCTTTGGTTTTCAAATCATCAAGCACCTTCTCCACCACACGCATCATTTTAGGATCAGACCCTTTCCCCCAATACCCCTCTTCTGCAATCATATCTGTTTCTTTGTAGCAATTGTCACCCTTAGCTGCTCCCCATTCCTCAGCCCTGTAATTTTTTTGTATTACAAATACAATATGTTTATTGATTCTAGTATAATTATATAGCTTTTGATTTATACTCATGCACTAATATTTAGTTTCATTTTTTGGTTTTTGAGTAATTGGATATGCACAATAGTGCCGTATGGTAGATTTTTTTAAATGTTTTTTTAAGGTTATTTTACTATATATATATATATATATATATGGGTCAGGATCATTTTACACCAGTGTAAGTTACACTCTCAATCTTGTCCGTTGATCCCATTTATATCTAAGGGTTCAAATTTTTTAGTAATGTGAGTCATTGGATACAAGTGGATCAATGATCAAGATTGAGTGTAAGACTTCTAACTCTTACACCGGTGTAAGAATATCCTGCCCCTATATATATATATATATATATATATATATATATATATATATATATAGGTGAAACTTAACTTGACATAGACCCCTCATAAGTCATCTCGTTCATTTATATCCCTAGATGTGAGTAAGTGACTTAATAATAAAGAATATTATGATTAAATTAGTGTGTTCAAATATTCCCTGCTGATAAATTGATACTTTATGATTGTGACCTGTCACCCAGGGGCGGAGACAGGGGAGGTTAGGGTGGGCGACCGCCCCCCTTCCCCCAAAAAAAAATTGAAAAAAGAAATTAATGCAGTCGAAGGCCAAACATAGTACTGTTGTTATTGCTAAATGTACTTCTTTTGGAAGTTCTGGTTTGAGATTCAAGTTGAAATTTACCTCCACTTCACTTAATATGTGTGTGTTATGTGTAACCTTTTCTGCATTTTCCTTTTTATTTTCATATGCTATGTTTTGGTTATAAAGGCTTTGGTCTTTTTGCCACCCTTTTGCTCTCTTTTCACTTGTATGGTTGTGTTTCTCTTTGTATAATGGTTTCATATAGAGAAAATGAGTTTGATCTAACTTAAAATATTCACTTTTTAGGACAACTTGGTTGCAGTCTTTTATTTATTTATTTTTTAAAAAATGTAGTTAAAAACATTGTTTTAGTTAAGGCACTTTTTTTAATTATTGCTATAAACTACTTTTTATGTCTATTGGATCCGATCAATAATACATTTTTTTAATCTTTCAAATGTTGTTAAATGTTAATATTTTGGTAAAAAATTACCTAAATGAGTTCCTACGAGGTCAATAGGTAAAAAAAATACTGATATTAAACAGGACAAAAAATTAATTTTCGCCCCTTCTCCCTTTCAATCCTGGCTCCGCCACTGCTGTCACCCCTGTTTTTTTACTTTTAACACAAATGCATGCATCTCCTTGTGGAGAGGGCACTTGTCCTAATAGATTGTTACCATATATATCAATATGATCAAATAATAGACTTGCTCTGTGGATACCTTTCATGAGTAGGTGACATGCTAACAAAGAACAATTGGGTCTTGTTACGATTGACATGCACTTCCAACCAATCGGACCATGTCCTTAGGGCCATCTCATACACTTTCAACATTTCAACTCCTTTGTAAATCCCATCTGGGTCTCCAAATGATCCCCACCTAATTGTTCAATTAAAATTGTCACAATCAAAAATAAATTTGTAAAGCAGAGTACCATATATATATAATTAAATAAATGAATGTATGATTGAAAATAGTATATCATAAAACAATCATGTCATATGGTGGTTCTATTGACTTGCAAGTGGATCAAGAAAGTGATGGTTAAGTTAATTAATTGCACTTACAGAACATTCATTATAGGCCTTCTCCACCAGAGGTAAGTGTTGAAAACCAGAAAGTCTGCATCTGTCCAATACCTTGCATGCTTTTCTATGGCCCTGATTCTCACAGTCCGTTCTGGTACCCTATGATTTACTGGGTCATCTGAGTTTGATTCTACTAGTAATGGGGCCCAATAGTTCTCAATGGTTGCATTGTATTCCTTGATTAAATGAGTCAATTAATTAACCAACTTTTAGCAATATAAATAGTTACACATGTTACTAATAAGATTGTCTAATTTATAATAATAAAAAAAAAACTGTGTTACTTGGTGAGATAATTATACAGATAGCTCGGAATGTGTTTTTTTTTTTTTATCTTTAAGAAATTATTTTTTGAAATATTTCTTCTCCCTCTTTATTGGTTTGAGTGAAAAACCTTAAAAAAAATGGTATGTGAGATTATGTGTTACTTATGTGCAAGTAACATTTCTCTAATCCGTCTCTAATATACAGTTTCCCTCTTATTTTTCAATTCTTGAAACATGGTAAAATAAAAGAAAGAAACAAGAATAAGTTCATGAGGATGAAGACTTACTTTAGCTTTGAAAATGTTTAGTGAACCATTGGCAATGGAATGCATGGTTTTGAGAGTTGGGGGTAGTAAAGAATCAACAAGGCAAACCATGGAAAACCATTGGCCTCTGTTGAGTGAATCCCCCACAAACACAAGCCTCTTGTTCCTTAGCCTTTCAAGCAATGCTGTGGCATTGAACCTTATTAACATAGAAAGAACCACATTCCACAAAGCTCAAAAACATAGCCAAACCTGATTAATAAGTATATCTTACACGTAGGTATAAACTATAAACTATAACAATCAATATTAAAAAATATCATGGGGCAGAGAGACAAAGACAGAGACACCTAGGTAGTTCACATTGGTGGGGCTTCCACCTCCAATTCTGGTAACTAAGATCCTTCCTTCCAAACTTTTCACAAGCCAACTGATCTGACATGAACGTGCACTGCTTCTCTTTGTATAGTGGATAAGATTCGTTATCAAAAACCCATTTACCAGAGAACAAGTCACATTTTGATGAGAAAGAGTCAATGGAGACATCTATTTTTTGAGATAATTGTGGTACATCCTGTCTTAGATAAATGGCAGTGACAACTAGAAGAGTGGTTAAGATGGCTACAAGAGAATGAAGGGTGTTTCTGATTCCCCAAGTGCTCCCTAACACTGTTTGGTTTGTCTTAGCCATTTCCATTTTGCTTCTTCGTTTCTCTCCGTGCAAACACCATCTCTATCTCCTTTTTGAAGCTTCATTGCAATCGGTTGGTGAGAAATATTTTATTATATCTGGCCAACTTCCCCACTAAAAGTAGTAGGTAGAGAAT